CAGTGCTGTCCCTATGAAAACACCTGTTTTGTTTGTTGTTTAATGCTGCACTCAGCAATATTTCAGCCATATATGACGGCGGTCTATAAATAATCCAGCGGTAGATATTGGCACTAGTCCTGTAGTCCTTGCCAAACTGCCCAATAGTTAAGGTATCATAAGGACTAGTAGAAATTTGCCATATTTAAGGGTTTTGCTATATGTTATCATTATAAGGACTAGTGGACTAAATATGTTAGTTTCTACCCCTGTAATCGAGTCATAATTGACGTCATGATGTTTGAAATTGGGATACAATGACATGCATCCATCAAGTCAGTTAGCCTGAGTACCCGATCCTGTTAGTTGCTTCTTACGACAAGCATGGGTTGCCGAAGATCACTTCTAACCTGGGATCCACCAAGTCAGTTAGCCTGACTACCCGATCCTGTTAGTTGCCTCTTACAACAAGCATGGGTTGCCGAAGATCACTTCTAACCCGGAATCCACTTGGGGTGCTTAAATAATCTCAACATGATTGTGACAGGGCTGCTAAACAGGTTCTTCAATCTTATTACAATTAGATCATTACTCTCATACACCTCTTTACACCTCCATAGGAGAATACATTAGATGAATTTTAATAGGCCAATCAGTGTGAGGCTTTTAAATTCTTGGCGTTTGTAAAACATTCAGGCAAGTAATATCCGATTTCTGTATTATTGCTGAGTTCCAAATGCTTGTTTGTTGTTTAACGCTGCACTCAGCAATATGCCAGCTACATGACGGCGGTCTGTAAATAATCGAGTCTGGACCAGACAATCCAGTGATTGACATCATGAGCAACAATCTACGCAGTTCGGATACAATGACATGCATCAACCAAGTCTGCAAGTCTGACCACCCGATTCCGTTTGTCGCCTCTTAACGGCAAGCAGTCACCTCTTATGGTAAGAGACCTGGATCTCTAACCAAATCTTCATGGGTCAGTTCCAAATGTAGATAAATAAAGCTCCACTACTAAATTGTTGTGGATATTTCATACATCCTGTTGTTAGTGATCACCATTGCAACAATGAACTATCCATGGTATATTTGATTCTGCGCCATATTTTTTGCCATGAATTGAATTTCTGAACTGAAGAAAAGAAGCTAAATCATCTTAGAAAGCTAACACCTGACTGGCTCAAGACGTCATGCAGCCTTTTTTAATATTGGGCGCTTCAGGATTGATCAGGGTTCATTGGAGGCAACTGTCTATAGAGGTGTCCTGAGATCATCGACGCAGAGAGGAATCGGAGCAAAGATCCGAGTTGAATGACACTGATGGTATGTATCTGCATCCACACATTGTAATGTCATCCATCTGTCCTGACACAGCAATCAACACACACACTCACACACGCAGACCCAGACAGACAGACACTCATTCGTTCTCATGACCTCAGATTTCATTCTATGATTTTACGATTCAGTTAGGAGGTGATAGCATGATACATGATTGAACCATCCAGTGATCCTGTGATTGAATCATCCAGTGATCCTGTGATTGAACCATCCAGTGATCCTGTGATTGAATCATCCAGTGATCCTGTGATTGAATCATCTTGTGATCCTGTAATTGAAACATCCAGTGATCCTGTGATTGAATCATCTTGTGATCTTGTGATTGAATCAACCAGTGATCCTGTGATTGAATCATCCAGTGATCCTGTGATTGAATCATCTTGTGATCCTGTGATTAAATCATCCAGTGATCATGTGGTTGAATCATCAAGGGACCCTTATACATGATTGAATCCTCCAGTGATCATGTGATTGAATCATTCAGTGATCCTGTGATTGAATCATCCAGTGATCCTGTGATTGAATCATCCAGTGATCCTGTGATTGAATCATCCAGTGATCCTGTGACTGAATCATCCAGTGATCCTGTGATTGAATCACCAAGGGACCCTTACACATGACTGAATCATCCAGTGATTCTGTGATTGAATCATCCAGTTATCCTAAAATTGAATCAATCCAGTTCCAATATTACCTGCAGCAAACAACAGAACTACAGATTCTAGGAAGGGCTTGATTATTGTACAATTATGCTCCAATTCTTGCCATATATACACAGGAGATACAAAATGAAACAAATGATTATATTTGTAAAAAAGGTATTAAATAGCAAAATATAGTTGAAAATGTACAGTGGAATCAACACAAACAGCATTGAAACATAAGTTATGCTAATAATTGCACTGTTGATAGGGCTTAAGCTCCACAGCTTAAGCGCCTTAGATGACCAGGCCACCCGTGCCCCTTCGCACAGAGTTAGTTAGGACCCAGTATTCCAGTTATAAAAAGGCATGTCAGCTTAATGTGGGAGGAAAGCCCAAAATGATGCAGGTCCTAGACGTTTACTACTTTGGTGAAACCCACAAGCACGGGTATGGTGCTGACAAACCTAGAAACATAATAGGGGCAAACCGGGATTCGAACCCACGATCACAGGTTTCTGGGGTGCGATTTCACTGTGAACCATACCGTTGGGTTAACATGGCTTCATCGTTATACAATTTCAGACATTAAATGGAAGCTCAATTAGGGAAGTACCAACTCATTCGTCAACAAACTAGTCTTAAAAATAAACGTCACCGCAATCAAGAGCCCAGGGCCACATGGTAAAAATTGGCATGAAAAGGTTTGAAATAAAAATATGGATAGTTAAAACAAAAAGCTTTGGCAATAAACAGCAGAGCTCCATGATAATTCTTGTCTGTTTTAATGCAAGATCAAGGAAAAGCACAAACTCACACACATGTCAAGGTTGGTTGGTTTGTTGTTTAACGCCGCACTCAGCAATATTCCAGCTATATGACGGCGGTCTGTAAAAATTTGAGTTTGGACCAGACAATCAAGTGATTGATATCATGAGCATCAATCCACGCAATTGGGATCGATGACATGCATCAACCAAGTCAGCGAGCATGGTCAATCCATGTCAAGGAGATTGTCTAGCACACATACATTCAGCCAAGGAGTCCACGGGTTGGTTCATCTAGACCGCATCAGAGGCCAATTTCCAGTCAAACACTGCAGCAAAATCTAAATTCTAAATTCTTGTTAAAATAGTTATAACTAATGTTCAATCTCATCAAAATCAGATCTAAGTTCTCGCTGCCGCTAAACAAAGATCTGAGGACATCCCATTACGGGTCACGTCAGAACGACTTTTTGCGAACTTTGACCGCCCACTGAAACGACTAACAAGAAGTCAACATCAGCCAATTAGAAAGCAGCTTTCTCGGGCTTTACGGCACTCGTTTCAACCTGGCAACTTCCATTTCAGACTACACTGGAAAAATATGTTGACACAGTTATGGATTAAAATTTTGAAAACTGAACAAACTAACAATCCGGAATGTCTAATATATGGTTGAAATTATATGGTAGTGCTTCCTACGTACTGTGCAACGCCTCCTCTGTTCAAATGTTTATCCCACGGCAGCGAGAGATAGTTTTGACGGAATCAGTCGTACGAGCTGTAATTGTCGTTCAGAATACCCTGTGTTAACGTTTTCGAGGTTGCATGATCAGAAAACCCATTCCGAGTGTCACTTTCATGATCTGGTAAGCGACGCTTTGATTGGTCAAATGAAAGGTCGTTCTGATGTGACCCTTAATGGGATGTCCTCAGACCTTTGTTTAGTGATAGCGAGAACTAAGATCTGATTTCAATGAGATTGAACTAATGTTATGGTTTATAACAGTAATTTGTAGATCACTGATAACTGGACCAATAAAGAGCAAGAGGTCTTAATGCCCGGGATAGACACGGCCTCTGGTCTCTTTGTCCGAGACCCGTGAAAATCTAGAGGGACTGGTTGTTTTATTCCAAAATCTAGTTATTTATTAACAAGTCCCAAATGAGCTTCAGCTTACTTGTATATGACCAATGGTGTCTACCCTAAATGCTAAATTTACATCATTGCACTGAATGCAAGAACTACCGTAAAATGAACTTTTGAACAAAATAATAATTATTTTTCCAAGTTAGCCTGTTAGTTAGTTAGGTGCTTAAAAGTACACACAATTTATGGATAAGAACTTCCCTAATTACTGTAAAGGCGAAGTTTCGGTATTGATCCTTAAACCGTTGTTAAGCTGTATAAGGATCTATTCCAAATGTCACCTCTACAGTAATTAAAGAAGTTCTTATCCATAAATTGTGTCAACTGTGTCATCTGTCAACTTCTAAGAAATGCCTATCAAACAATTCAAAGGAGCTAAGTTTATAATCCTAGATATATCCCTGTCTTCATTGGCTTGATGAGCTAAAGCTTCCCCCAGGAGATGACCCACGTCCCTCTATAGAGTACAATTACCGTATATGACTAAATAAGCGGCACTGCAGTTATCGTGAGTTAGAGGTGGGTCATTGACCAGGTCAAACACAGTATTCAACTTCACAATCTACTGTAAACAAGATGATCTAGCCAGATCCATTCCAATCCTTTGGCTCTAATTCGTCAAACATAATGCCCTAAGTTTGGTGGGATTCACAGAAAGTCAGAAATTACTGCCAAGCGAGATCATATAAACTACCTTTGTGATGCAGTGAGCTGCATGGCACAGGTGAGCTCTTCCACCGGACGTTATTGGCAGAATTTCTGTACATTTGTTCTTGGAGTCTTCAGAATACAGGTATGACACTTTACACAAGGCACTGTTCTCGCAATATGGACAGACAGGCACTGAATTCTGATGTGAACGAGTCTCTCTCTGTAGGAGGAAGGCATTTGTTCTCTCTCATACACAAATCAGGAACATGGGCTCACTCGGCCATAAGAACATAAATCGATGATGGAAGAGTGAGTGAGTGAGCGAGTTGGGTTTAACGCTGTTTTTAAGAGTATTCCAGTTATATCATGGCGTGTCAGCTTACTGTGGGAGGAAAGCTCGAAGTGATGCAGGTCTTAGACGTTTACCTCTTCGGTGAAACCACAAGAACGGGTATGGTGCTGACAAACCTAGAAACATAATCAGGGCGAACCGGGATTCGAACCCACAATAAGAGGTTTCTGGCATCGTCAAGGGACGCAACTCTGCACAGCGAATCGCGGCGCCTTAGGCGACTGGGCCACCCATACCCCCCCAATGATGCGAGAACTGCACAGACCGACTTTGTTGTGGTACCATGTTCGTCGTTCTAAAACGTCATTAAACCGTCCTCACACATCTATATCATTCCCTGTCAAACGTCCAATAGCTCATCCTGATACCATATTCTTCATCCATATTATAACTTTTTTCACATGGAATCACAAAATATATTTCCTTTTTTGATAAAATGTCTCCAAATTCACACCAAAAGCTTTAAATAGATCAATGTACAATATAAAATGTCAGTGATTCAAATATCAAGAGACGCTTTCGTCACAAATTAGGACCAGTCCTACGTTTAGTGGCTATCACAAAACCACATCTCTCACTGTCATCCACATGTAGTTATCTTCCCTACAATGACATGTCTCTTGCCCATGAATTTTGACCATCTAGCATATCACTGTCAGTCTACCTACGAATAGGTATCCCGCCAGGCAATGATCGTCCCCCTACATTCCACTCACTCGTCACACCCCATCAAATCTCACTCGTACTTCACACAGCTAAAACTCAATCATGAATAAAACCAACTGTAGCTGCCATTACATCTTCAATCTACCTTCAAGTAGGTACCACAATCCTTCATCATTCATGCATGCCACACACTTACCACTGTCAACAGATCTAGGACATTCTGGTTCTACCTGTGTACAACTACTGCATACGCTTGTCATGTCTCATCCACTTTTAAAAGTGGCACACATTTTGGCACATGGGCAAAAAGAAGCTATTTGCTAGCACGAAAGACAACCGGTGATGTTGGACAATCATCATGGCGGGTGGGTATCCATCCATTCAGCGTTACCATGGTATCACGTTTCCATGGAAACCAGAGTCCTGATGGTCGTCAAGGACATCGACAAGATGGAGCACCCTTTGGTACAGGAAGACGGCTTGCCGGAATCATAATTCCTCGAAAAATGCAACACGTGCATTAGAAGTACTCGCACCAATCTGAAATAAAGTGAGTGAAATTTAATTTCAGAGCCCACTTTCACAAAGCAGTCTTAGCGCTAAGATTATTTTAGCCTGTGTTAAAGTATGGGAGTTACAATAATCTTTGCAGTGAGACTATTTCAGCCTATGTTAAAATGTGCAAGTTAGTATTATCCTAGCACTGAGGCTTTATGAGTCAATGTTAAAGTATGGGAGTTACAATGGTCTAAAGATAACTTGCAAGTCAGTAGCTTTCAGTTTAAGGGACGAGCAGTATTCAAACCAATTAAGGCCAGGGTATAACTAATACGTGTTTCACTTTGTGTCTTCATCTGGACTTAACCACAGCTCATCAGTATTATGGAATGCAATCCAATTTGTGCTGTGAGTCAGATGGATTTAATGGCACTCTGAACAGTATTTCAGTTATGTCATGGCATGTCAGCATAAGGTGATACAGGTCACAGGGATGGTGAAACACACTTGCATCTAGGTGACAGGCACCATTAGGGGACCAGTACCATTAGGTGACCAGTACCATTAGGTGACAGGCACCACTAGGTGACCAGTACCATTATGTGACCAGTACCATTAGGTGACAGGCACCACTAGGTGACAGGCACTACTAGGTGACAGGCACTACTAGGTGACAGGCACCACTAGGTGACAGGCACTACTAGGTGACAGGCACCACTAGGTGACAGGCACTACTAGGTGACAGGCACCACTAGGTGACAGGCACTACTAGGTGACAGGCACCACTAGGTGACCAGTACCATTAGGTGACCAGTACCATTAGGTGACAGGCACCACTAGGTGACCAGCACCACTAGGGGACCAGCACCACTAGGTGACCGGGACCACTAGGTGACAGGCACCACTAGGTGACCGGGACCACTAGGTGACCAGCACCACTAGATGACAGGTACCATTAGGTGACGAGCACCACTAGGTGATAGGCACCACTAGGTGACCAGCACCATTAGGTGACAGGCACCACTAGGTGACCAGTACCATTAGGTGACCAATACCATTATGTGACAGGCACCACTAGGTGACAGGCACCACTAGGTGACCAGTACCATTAGGTGACCAGTACCATTAGGTGACAGGCACCACTAGGTGACAGGCACTACTAGGTGACAGGCACCACTAGGTGACCAGTACCATTAGGTGACCAGTACCATTAGGTGACAGGCACCACTAGGTGACCAGCACCACTAGGGGACCAGCACCACTAGGTGACCGGGACCACTAGGTGACAGGCACCACTAGGAGACAGGCACCACTAGGTGACCGGGACCACTAGGTGACCAGCACCACTAGATGACAGGTACCATTAGGTGACGAGCACCACTAGGTGATAGGCACCACTAGGTGACCAGCACCATTAGGTGACAGGCACCACTAGGTGACCAGTACCATTAGGTGACCAGCACCATAAGGTGACAGGCACCACAAGGTGACCAGCACCACTAGGGGACCAGCACCACTAGGTGACAGGCACCACTAGGTGACCAGTACCATTAGGTGACCAGTACCATTAGGTGACTGGCACCACTAGGTGACCAGTACCATTAGGTGACCAGTACCATTAGGTGACAGGCACCACTAGGTGACCAGTACCATTAGGTGACCGGCACCACTAGGTGACCAGTACCATTAGGTGACCAGCACCACTAGGTGACAGGCACCACTAGGTGACCAGCACCACTAGGTGACAGGCACCACTAGGGGACCAGCACCACTAGGTGACCAGTACCATTAGGTGATAGGCACCACTAGGTGACAGGCACCACTAGGTGACCGGGACCACTAGGTGACCAGCACCACTAGATGACTAGCACCATTAGGTGACGAGCACCACTAGGTGACTGGCACCACTAGGTGACTAGCACCAGTAGGTGACAGGCACCACAGTCACCACTAGGTGACCAGCACCATTAGGAGACAGGCACCACTAGGTGACCAGCACCACTAGGGGACCAGTACCATTAGGTGACAGGCACCACTAGGTGACAGGAACCACTAGGTGACCAGGACCATTAGGTGACCAGCACCATTAGGTGACCAGGAGACCATGACTAAAGGGTGCATCTCTGTACTACGCCTGTTCAAATAACAAGCCACCCAAAACATCAAGCTCAGAGAGAAGAGCATATAGGTTGCAGCAGGATCACGAGGGGTACATGGTGAGTGGTATAAAACCTAATTAGGGATGTATAAAACCCCATGTACCCCGAGTGATCCTGCTCCAACGTATTTATCTTACCGACATGTTTTAATGTGACATTGCAAAAGGATTCAAACAAATTCAAAATTGATAGAAAACAGCTGCTCAATTGAGCTGAGCTATGTCACATGACTTCCATTGACTCGGAAAAAGCATGCAGCTTTTTGCTTTGAAGCAGGGTATAAGGGATTATTCCTCCTGTCAGAAATCCACGTGCAGCCTGACTCTCTCATGGCGGGGTATAAGAGATTTATTCCCCCACTGAGAAATGTATTCCCCTCCAAGGTGTGATACACAATATACCTTATCAAGGTCACGTGGACCAGTGAGATCTCATCATTCTGACATGGAGGTATGATAAAAGGTAATGTTTGGCATAATTCATATTTATATGACATGATACTAGAATCTTTACAATTTGTGATACTTAGCTGTTATGATTTATTGGCATAGTGAATGAAAATAGGTTCACTGTCAACGCTTGAGTAACATGTAAAACTTTGGCAGTAATTTTCTCCTGGATTTGACTGTGTGGGAATTGTACCTTTCTGAGAGTGGAGTACTTGGTGTCCCCTCTCTGCATGATCTCCTCATGGAGTCGGTCGAAGTCTGTCTGTCGGTCCTCCACCTTCAGCACCTCGATCTCCGTCTTCAGCTCCTTCAGCTGCTCCTGCAGGTTCTTGCTCTTCTCCATGTACTCCTGCCTGAAACACACGTCACACACATGTACACATGTACACGCATCACACACATGTACACACATCACACACATGTACTCCTGCCTGAAACACACGTCACACACATGTACACGCATCACACACATGTACTCCTGTCTGAAACACACGTCACACACATGTACACACATCACACACATGTACTCCTGCCTGAAACACACGTCACACACATGTACTCCTGCCTGAAACACACGTCACACACATGTACTCCTGCCTGAAACACACATCACACACATGTACTCCTGCCTGAAACACACGTCACACACATGTACTCCTGCCTGAAACACACATCACACACATGTACTCCTGCCTGAAACACACGTCACACACATGTACACGCATCACACACATGTACACACATTACACACATGTACACGCATCACACACATGTACACACATCACACACATGTACTCCTGCCTGAAACACACGTCACACACATGTACACGCATCACACACATGTACACGCATCACACACATGTACACACATCACACACATGTACTCCTGCCTGAAACACACGTCACACACATGTACACGCATCACACACATGTACACACATCACACACATGTACTCCTGCCTGAAACACACGTCACACACATGTACACGCATCACACACATGTACACGCATCACACACATGTACACACATCACACACATGTACTCCTGCCTGAAACACACGTCACACACATGTACACGCATCACACACATGTACACACATCACACATATGTACTCCTGCCTGAAACACACGTCACACACATGTACACGCATCACACACATGTACACACATCACACACATGTACTCCTGCCTGAAACACACATCACACACATGTACACACATCACACACATGTACTCCTGTTTGAAACACACGTCACACACATGTACACACATCACACACATGTACTCCTGCCTGAAACACACGTCACACACATGTACACACATCACACACATGTACTCCTGCCTGAAACACACGTCACACACAGGTACACGCATCACACACATGTACTCCTGCCTGAAACACACGTCACACACAGGTACACGCATCACACACATGTACTCCTGCCTGAAACACACGTCACACACATGTACACACTTCACACACATGTACTCCTGCCTGAAACACACGTCACACACATGTACACACATGTACTCCTGCCTGAAACACACGTCACACACATGTACACGCAACACACACATGTACTCCTGTCTGAAACACACGTCACACACATGTACTCCTGCCTGAAACACACATCACACACATGTACTCCTGCCTGAAACACACGTCACACAAATGTACACACGTCACACACATGTACTCCTGCCTGAAACACACATCACACACATGTACTCCTGCCTGAAACACACGTCACACACAGGTACACACGCCACACACATGTACTCCTGCCTGAAACACACGTCACACACATGTACACGCATCACACACATGTACTCCTGCCTGAAACACACGTCACACACATGTACTCCTGCCTGAAACACACGTCACACACATGTACACGCATCACACACATGTACTCCTGCCTGAAACACACGTCACACACAAGTACTCCTGTCTAAAACACACATCACACACGTACTCCTACCTGAAACACACGTCACACACAGGTACACACGTCACACACATGTACTCCTGCCTGAAACACACGTCACGCACATGTAGTTATTGTACTCAGGTCCCTACCTCTCCTTCTCTATCTCCAGTGCCAATACCCCTACCTCTCCTTCTCTATCTCCAGTGCCAATACCCCTACCTCTCCTTCTCTATCTCCAGTGCCCATATCCCTACCTCTCCTTCTCTATCTCCAGGGACAGCTGGTCCATGTCCCCCGGCAGATGCTCCACTGGCATCTGTGGGGGGGGTGGAGGCGTGGGGGTCAGTATCGTGTGGTCAAGCTTCAGCTCGTTCATTTCTGGAGCCATGTGGTAACTGTGAAAACTCTGAAAATATGTGTACTGGTGAAAAAATGTATTCATTACAACTCTGGATATTCCTTTTCATAATTGCAATAGCATTAACGTTAGATTTAATATATAGATTTAATGGAGGCAATAGGAATAACATTTCAATGTATTATTCCAATCTCACTGATGAGAAGACAGGTAAGTTACCCCAGCACTGTAGGGGATGTTGGTCCGAGATACCTCCAGGAGCTTATCCTTGGCAAACTTCTCTGCGATCCTAGCATGAAGCAGTTCGTCCTTCAGGGTCTCTGCTTCCTTGGCTCTTGGGAAAACAAACAAACCAATCATCAACACACACGTCATATTGAGTACTGCTATATTATACTGCAAATTCCTGTTTATGCCCCAGCCTGTCCTCCAACACACCCCTGACCTGTCCACAACACCCCCCTGACCTGTCCACAACACACTCCCTGGCCTATCCCCAACACACACCTTGGCCTATCCCCAACACCCCCCTGACCTGTCCCCCAACACACCCCTGGCCTGTCCCAAACACCCCCTGACCTGTCCCCCAACACACCCTTGGCCTGTCCCTAAGACACCCCTGGCCTGTCCCCAACACCCCCTTGGCCTGTCCACAACACCCCCCTGGCCTATCCCCAACACACCTCCTCTCCGAGTCCTCCAGGAGTTTGGCTGCTATCATCTCTGCCTCCCTGGCCCGGTGCTCCATCAACAGCCTCTCCTCCTCCGTCTGAATACACACAAGAAGCAGCTGTACTTGTAGCAGGCTTCCACAAAATACATGCTACACCACTCAAACAAAGCTAACACCCAATTACTTCATATGACCATAGTTAACCTTTCATGGCTGGGGGGTATTGCAACACACAGCCTTCCAATTCTGATGTTCTTTAACTTGTTTTGAGTACAAAGTAGACACAAGTTATGTCAAGCAAGACAACGGTATAAGGATCTATCCCGAAACGTCACCTTTACAGTAATTAAAGAAGTTGTTATCCATAAATTGTTTCTACATTGTCATCCAACAACTTCTAAGTAATGCCTATCAGTGAGTGAGTGAGTTTGGTTTTATGCCGCACATCACAATATTCCAGCAATATCACGGCGGGGGGACCAGAAATGGGCTTCACACATTGTACCCATGTCGGGAATCGAACCCAGGTCTTCAGCGTGACGAGCGAACACTTTAACCACTAGGCTACCCGACCGCCCTTTAATGCCTACCAAAGAATTGTTTTGAGCAGAATATGTTCAGTAGCCAACAGGACTAGTGACACTAGACACATTGCCAGTATTACAGAAAATGTGCACAACAAATTGGAGGCTGGTTGGACCACGTTAATGTGTTAATGTAAGCATAGAACACAGAATATAAAAGCTTATGAAAGCTAAAGACCTTTATTGCAGACACTTTGATCCGATGGACTTCATTTTCTGCTTCTTTTGATTTTTCTCTCAACAACAGAGCCTCCTCATCCATGATGCGAACCTTCTCTGCCAACAAGTCTGCCGTCTCCTCCGAACGCATCTACACAAGCAGAAGCAACAAACTCAATATTTCATAGGCCGATACCATCAGCCAATGTCAAGCCGTTACAGAAACATCGTATCAGGGTTCAGTGATCACAATGGCCTGGTGCCATACGAACGCATCTACACAAGCACAAGCAACAAACTCAATATTTCATAGGCCGATACCATCAGCCAATGTCAAGCCGTCACAGAAACATTGTATCAGGGTTCAGTGATCACAATGGCCTGGTGCCATACGTGCACTGACATGTGAAATGGGGCATTCAAATTAGCAGTAAGGGCCCTTCCTTCTGTTGTGCCAGAATCATAGATGGCACGATAAATGTTATAATCCTAATATCGAGGTATGTCCGAATCTGATTACGACAGTACTGACAGTGACGTAGAGCTCCCAGAATGCAGTGTGACTGACCAGAGCTTCCTGCGACATGCGGACCTCATCTTGCAGCTGCATCAACCGCCGCTCCAGGTCCTCCTTCTCCCGCATCATCTCTTCCCGCATCTGCTTCTCCTTCGCCAGCCGCGCCCGGTCCAGCTGCAGCAGCAAACACACCATGATGAAATACATCATCGATCAGCCGGTGTAGCATGTCAACATTCTATACTAAAACCCTGGACCCACTGCTTCCTTTTGAGCCCAGTTCAAATGATCTGGTTGGTTTGTTGTTTAATGACGCACTCAGCAATATTCCAGCTATATGACAGCAGTCTGTAAATAATCGAGTCTGGACCAGACAATCCAGTGATTGACAACATGTCACAACACTAACATGAGACTACAAATCAAATTCAATCCATGTGCAGTGATTTCACTAAAAGCAAATAACATGATGACAATTTCACGATTTTATCTTAACTATGTGTTACACTTTGATAGGACAAGGTTAAATATTATTACAAAATATATCAAATGATATTTTGGATGGAAATCAGTCTACATTCTAGAACGTGAATTAATGTGTGAGATTCTTTTGGGAGTTACTGATGAAGAGCGATGAAGATTGTGACATCACTTCCTGTGTTCAAAATTAAGGGGAGTCCAAGGGTCGCCCGATTCCGAGCCTGACCCACATGTTTCTGAGCCTGACCCACCTGTTTCCTAGACTGACCCATCTATTTCCTAGACTGACCCATCTGTTTCCTAGACTGACCCATCTATTTCCTAGACTGACCCATCTGTTTCCTAGACTGAGCCACCAGTTTCCGAGCATGACCTACTTGTCTCCAAGATTGCCCACCTGTTTTCGAGCCTGACCCACCTGTTTTCGAGCCTGACCCACCTGTTTTTGAGCATGACCCACGAGTTTCCGAGCATGACCCACCTGTTTCCGAGCATGACCCACCTGTTTCCGAGCCTGGCTCACCTGTTTCCGAGCATGACCCACCTGTTTCAGAGCCTGACTCACCTGTTTCCGAGCATGACCCACCTGTTTCCGAGCATGACCCACCTGTTTCCGAGCCTGACTCACCTGTTTCCGAGCCTGGCTCACCTGTTTCCGAGCATGACCCACCTGTTTCAGAGCCTGGCTCACCTGTTTCCGAGCCTGACTCACCTGTTTCCGAGCCTGGCTCACCTGTTTCCGAGCCTGACCCACCTGTTTTCGAGCATGACCCACCTGTTTCCGAGCATGACCCACCTGCTTCCCAGACTAACCCACCTGTTTCCGAGCCTTTTCTTCGCGTGCTTGGGCCTTCATCTGCTGAGTTTCCATGGAGTCCGGTTTCCGCCTCCGCATGAACAGTTCATGGTTGCCCACACACAGCTCCAGGATCTGCACACCAGGATCACATGTCACAATAACGACGGCAGGGATGCTCTCATTGCAAAGTAGTTTGAAACACTTTTGCAGTTTAAAATCACTGACATGCACAATTGGAAAAGAAAAAGCCTTAGCTCCAACGTTCTGACACATCATGAAATAGTTCTTGATAATCTTATCCCAGATAACTTGATTTATTACTGAATCGTTTGGGAATATCACATCCACATTTAAATAACTTTAAAAACTTTCAAGTGTGGTATCTATCATCATCATCATCATCATCATCACCACCATCATCATGTCATACCTACCAACTTATTAATCCTCAGCTTTGGAGCATAGAAAGTAAAATCAGCCGCACCCTTGCCAACATTTTTTATAAGAAACTGCAATAAATGAGAAAAATTTGAATCAAAAACTTACAGGAAACAAATTCTAAAAAAAGTAAAAACACAGGTTCTCAGTCTAATTCTTGCATGCTTGCAAGTAATTTATTAACATGTAAAAACAATTTCTCTACAATGAATTTGGAAACTACTCAATTCTGAATTTTCAATCAAAGGTTGCAAATCCCAACAAATGCATTAATTCAGAGGCTAATATTTATATTGAATTATAATATCTTTGAATACTTATGATAATGATTACCTTCTTGTCCTTGAATGAGATATTCTTGATTTCACTCCAGGGGAATGTTATCTTGGGTGTCAGCCTGTTGTCCCGCTCGTAGATGTTGATCCCCCGAGCGTCCACACCCAGCCACAGATCTGTATGCTTCTTATTCTGATGCCATAAAAACATACAATTCAATTTGCTTTAACCATTCATTTTTAACGGTTTCGACCCCTAGTGGATAGAGCATCTGCCTGGAGAGCGAAAAGTCAGGGTTCAATTCCCTGGCCATGTCATTCCAAAAGACATCAAAAGATTGTACTTGTTACCCTGACTGGCATTTTGCATTAATGGGACAAAACAAGGACCTTTCGGGCTCAGAGTCAGTATACTGTGTCTGAGTAGGGTATCCTTGTTAAACTGAGGTATGGTATCTCAGTGAGCTAGCACTTTGACAGTCATTACTCCAGTGAGTGAGTGAGTTGGGTTTAACGCCGCTTTGAACAGTATTCCAGTCATATCGCGGCGTGTCAGCTTAATGTCGGAGGAAAGCCCGAAGTGATGCAGGTCTCAGACGTTTACCACTTCGGTGAAACCCACGAGCACAGGTATGGTGCTGACAAACCTAGAAACATAATTGGGGCGAACCGGGATTCGAACCCACAACCATAGGTTTCTGGCGTGCCCAAGGGACACAACTGTGCACAGCGAATCGCCGCACCTTAGACGACTGGGCCACCCGTGCCCCCCATTACTCCAGACTAGTTCAAGCACATACAAAAGATTTGGGACAGTTGGCAGCTATGCACGTTTAGTAACAATCATCAAATAAAACAAAAGATAAAGTCCATGGCATTGTGGTAGTACAGCTCCACTGGAGGATCTGCTTTGTCAACTAGATGCTTATTACACATCAACATGTTACTAGACAAGATCAGTCACACATACTCTACCTATTATTTCAATAAGCTTTAATAGACACAGATGTTGTATTGAAATAGTAACCATGGATCTCAATGCTTTGGTTTGTTTGGTTGGTTCGACAAGCATAGTCACCTTTTACGTCAAGCATTGGTTGCTGAAGACCTATTCTACCCCGGAATCTTCACGGGTCAGATCTTCATGCAGTCGGACACATTCTTCCTATTCTTACCTTAATCTGAAAGTAGTTTACTCCGTACATCTCAAAGTCCTGGGCTATCTTCAAGTACTCAATCTCAGCTTCATCTCTGCAACACACAATCACAACAGATGTTAGTGAATGAGTATAGCAATTTAGCACTTTCAGCAATATTCCAGCAATATCACGGCTGGGGACACCAGAAATGGCTTTCACTCACCGTAGCCATGTTGGGATTCGAACCTGGGTCTTCGGAGTTTATGGGCAAACGCTCTAACCACTGTCCTCGCCCACCACCCCACAACAGCTATTAACAATCACTGTTTACACACTTAAGTCAGTTTTCGATGGCTTTCATATATTGCAGCACAACAAACCAACAGATGTAACTAAATGTTGCTGGGCACTTTCATTTAAAAAAGAATATAATAAAATAGATATTAATTTGTTTAGTGTTTAACCAAGTTAGTATTTAATTTGCATGACTTTCGACCTCTATTTGAACTAGACTGACTATTTCTACTGTCAACAACTTCTTGGGGGGCATGGGTGGCCCAGTCGTCTAAGGCGCCGCGATTCGCTGTTCAGAGTTGCATCCCTTGGGCACGCCAGAAACCTATGATTGTAGGTTCGAATCCCGGTTCGTCCCAATTATGTTTCTAGGTTTGTCAGCACCATACCCGTGCTCATGGGTTTCACCGAAGTGGTAAACGTCTGAGGCCTGCATCACTTCGGTCTTTCCTCCCACATTAAGCTGACACGCGGCGATATGACTGGAATACTGTTAAAAGCGGCGTTAAACCCAACTCACTCACTCACTCAACAGCTTCTTGTGACAGTAAGTATAAGCTTTGATCTGCGTCATCTATAGCCATGCTTCTAGTAGTAGTAACTCACAGAAGCATCACAAATCTTTTATTTTTAGACCTTTGCTTTCTTTTCTCAAAACAACACTTTCAGTTTCACTGCTACAATAACAGCAAAGTGATGGAGTTAGTTTTGGTTTAACGCCTCTTTGAACAGTATTCCAGTTATATCACAGTGTGTCGACTTAATGTGGGAGGAAAGCCAAAACTGATGCAGGTCTCAAAACGTTTAACACTTTGGAGAAATCCACGAGCACGGCTACGGTGATGACAAACTGACAATCATAGGTATCTGGCATGCCCAAGGGAAGCAACTCTGTTCAGCTAATTTGCAGTGCCTTAGACGACTTGAATAACAGTAAGGATGATTTGCATGTAATTCTACCATGACATTTTAGAACCCTGCATTCTGATTGGTCAGCCAATGATATCACGTCTACATTCTACCATGACATCGAAGAATGCTTCATTCTGATTGGTTAAAATGAGTAATCAAATTTCCAGGCTTATTAAAATATATCGATAGCCTACGTTCCAAGAAATCTAAATGTTGTATTAAAAGAACTAAATCCGATAAAAGAGTCACTCACAGTTTTGTATAATTCCCTCATGAAATGAAGATCTAACATTCCTCACTAAGGCTCAGGCCTATAAACATGATAAATGTTGGCCAGAATACATTTTACCGGACACCTTCCTTTCGGTAATGGTTGTACTTTCCTTTCGGTAATGGTTGTGCTCCTTCCCTAACCATTGCTAGATTAACGGGGTTTCAGAGGCTTGCCAACACAACTGCCTTGAATTGAGTAAATGTAATTTTTAGCTACCAAAATTAATCGAAAATACTATGTTTCCTTAAATGTAGCTCCGATGGATGTCACTGACATGGTTGTCGTACGTCATTATGGAATTTCTATTTTTGAGTATTTTTTCGATGCTGGTGTCCAATTTTCAATGTTTATGAATTGCTCTGATATTCAATTTAATAATATTAAACCATACAAATGCACGCAGATATTTTTTCTGCGTATTTTTAGCTTTATCACCCTGTATTTCAAATAGTAAGTCGCGTGCAGATATATTTGAGCATCCAACAGACATAGCGGACAGGTGTCGGGTAAAAAGCATGTGTACCTAAACATTACTTTTACTCAAGTGAATGAGTGAGTTGGGTTTAACGCCGCTTTTAACAGTATTCCAGTCATATCACGGCCTGTCAGCTTAATGTGGGAGGAAAGCCCCAAGTGATGCAGGTCTTAGACGTTTACAATTTCGGTGAAACCCACGAGCACGGGTATGGTGCTGACAAAACTAGAAACATAATTTGGGCGAACCAGGATTCGAACCCACAATCATAGGTTTCTGGCATGTCCAAGGGACGCAACTCTGCACAGCGAATTGCAGCGCCTTAGACCACTGGGCCACCTGTGACCCCCATTTACTCAAGACAAAACATCTAAGCTTGTAAGTTATTCTCTATCTGCCAAGGCGTACTGACTGCCACCTACCTGGTCATGCCGCGGCGGTCAGCGTACCACACTTTGATTCTCTCCTCCCACATCTCGGGGGTCATCTGGTACTGGTCAATGACCCTCTGGGGCAGCAGGTCCTCACTGGCCAGCATCCCCGCCTTGTACGTCGAGGGGTCGTAGTCCCCATACTGCAACCCAGGTGGAATACAGTCACACTAGACTCTCGCCATTTTACATGTTTTTTCCATAAATGCAAAATGAAGTTACCTAATATAATATACATTTGAAAAAAAGAACTAACAGGCCTATAATAGGTTATTATGAAATTTAAAGAAAAAGGTACCACAGCAAAACTAAATTTCGGGGATTTCATAGTAAGTGGGTAATGTAAAAAAAATGTATTTGATGGAAACTAATCCCGGCTGTTTTTTGTTCGTTCCATCGTTAGTTCACTCGTATATTTATTTTACTTGTTTGGAAAGAAAGGGTATGACTGAGTGAGCAAATGAATTATATATATGTATATATAAAAAACAGAAATCTACAGCTATCTCCCCTACCATTTATGTTATTTTGTACATACTAGATTCTGTAATACAGAATTTAAAAAAAAATTGTAAAACAATTTTTAAACCCTGTGGGGATTCCTGGTTAAAATAGGTCCCTAGCAGCATACGCTGGTCTAAGAGGTGACCAAACTGACCGGGAGGCCAGACTTGGTGACTTGGGTGATAGCAAGTCCTCGTACTCCGAAGGCTCATAATATCGAACACTGGATTGTCGGGTCCAGATTTGATTATTTACATGCCACTGTCATATAGCTGGAATACTGCACATATGTTGCGCCCCACCAGTAAGTACCCATGAACCAAATTATAAAAATGACCGAGTAATGGCAAAAAAAGTGTTTTTCGCTTTTCAATATGGCGGCCATACTGACAATCGCACTTCAACTTCTTGAACAAATTTGGGTGTCATCTTTGGTGGGAACAAGATAGTGAAATTTCAGCTTCATTGGTCCAGGGGTGTCTGTTGTTGTTTGTTGTTTAACGCCGCACCTAGCAATATTCCAGCTATATGAAGGTCTGTATATAATTGTCTGGACCAGACAATCCAGTGATTGACACCATGAGGGTCGATGCACGCAAATGGGATACGATGACATGCATCAACCAAGTCAGTGAGCCTGACCACCCGATACCATTAGTTGCCTGTTAGGACAAGCATAGTCGCCTTTTACGGTAAGCATTGGTTGCTGAAGACCTATTCTACCCCGGATCTTTACGGGTCCCAGGGGTTTCTGAGGAGATGTTTACAGTGCCAGGAAATGTAGTGAGTGTTTGGGAACTATTCTGCAGCAGACACCCCACAGGGCTCACTTCCTCACAACCATGGTCTTAAGCCGCTTTTAGCAATATCACGGCAGAGGACACCAGAAATAGGCTCCACACATATACAGTCAAGTCTCGTTAATCCGACACTCGTTAATCCGACACTCGGCTTTATCCGACACAAATGATGGGAACCGATTGATTCAGTGCTATTTAGTCCTGTTAATCCGACATTCTCGCACTCCGACTCCGACACACCTAATTTGCAACGAATTACCGAAATCACTCATTAATCAGTCTCGATAATCCGACACAGTGATCAGCGTACTCCGTGGTCATCTGCCCGCGAGTACACAGCCAGTGTTTTGACACGCACTGGCTGCAGAGATTAACTTTCAATTAACAGGAAAAGCTATTCAAACCTGTATGTACAAAGCTATACAAATGTAGTTTACAAATTGAAGCCAGATTAATGTGCCAGTTTTAAATACGAACAGGTATATAAAACATGGTCGACTCACCATGGTGGACTGGTATGTAAACAAGAAAGCATGGATGACTTCATTAATATTCAAAGCCTGGCTACTGATCTTGGATCGGCAAATGCGATTGGAGCAATGCCACGTGGTATTGCTGTTGGACAACGCCCCATCCAATGCTACTGTCGACGTAACTAATGTGAAATGTCACTTGTGACGTGTGTCGTTGATGTGATAAATTCAGTGAGTAATGTCTCCATTGTTATGTATAAATGGGAAAATTATTATTATTATTGCACTGTCATTAATTATAAATTAAGGAATGAATGAATAAACAACATAACAATATTAATATTTCGTTTTTAATGATTTTATTACAAGGTACACACGGTTATTTTCTAATGTGAAGACGTCCGATTTTCGATCACAAATGAATTAATTTCGTTAATCCGACATACTCGTTAATCCGACACAATCATGTGCAACCAACGATGTCGGATTAACGAGACTTGACTGTACCTTTGTCAGGAATCAAACCCGGGCCTTCGGCATGATGAGTGTACGCCTTAACCACCAGGCTATCCCACCTCCCCTCACCACACCAAATACACAAGACTGGTTATTCAGGGTAGACCTTATCCTGTTAAAAACTGAATATTTTGTTCAGCTTGGAATATGCAGGGATTTAATAGGATTATAGTAGAAATGATATAGTTGGGTTCTGAACTTATGGTACATAATGCGAGGAGTACTTGCTTGGATTTATAGAGGGCTAAAATAAAGTCTGACACGTTTCGTTTTTATTTCCATTTTCCCCCCCAAAAATAAAAAATCATCCTTGAAAAAAAAGTGATCCAATATAGCACGCAGTTACTTCCCTTTACATGCGCACTGCTTTACTGCGGATCTCGTGTTATGGTCATGGCAGCAACAAGTTTGTAAGCTTGTTTATGTAGGGAGGCCCTTTCCCAGGTTGATGGTGCACTACTGTTTATTTGGGTACATACTAATTTGAACAATAAAAAAACCCAAAAAGAACCATCGCCCACCTGCACTATATTTTCAAAAGTCATTGCCTGAGAACCAATTTTTTTCATATTTTTTATGCCTAGGATTCCCTTCAGTACCCTTAGCAGGTTAAACTTGTAATTCTTATCAAAATTGGGATTTTTGTTAATGTTCTTTTTTTCTCAAATTAGGAGGTATTTTAACATTGCATTCAATGCAATAGTGTAAAACAGAACAAAAATGCTTTTTAATTCTGTTATCAGTGAAATACATGTCACCTTTGCAAAGCCAAAACACTGGTCATCGTTGCTCATGACTACAACAAGCGGGAATTTTGTTTCCAATTTTGGAATTTGTACTTGCAATGACTGCCGACTCTGAGCAGGTGCAGATAAATACCTGACTTCATGTCACAGAGACATGCGGTTCGATTCCCGACATGGGTACAATATGTGAAGCCCATTTCTGGTGTCCCCCGCCGTGATATTGCTGGAATATTGCTAAAAGCAGCGTAAAACCATACTCACTCACTCACTCACTCACAGAGACATGCGATTCCTAGCACTGACCTTGGCCTGCACGGCGTACGAGGCGAGCAGCACGGAGGCCTCGGGTGGGCAGTAGATGTCCATGTTGAGTATTGACTGCTTGACCTGCAGGAAGAACAGGTGCTGTGTGATCTCCTGGATCAACTCCTCCGACACGTCCTCTGGGTAAAACTTGGCCAGGAACTGAAACGGAATCGGAGTTTCCTTCCCAACATCCTGCCCTAGGACCTGCAACATCCAACACGCCATTATAACATGTCCGCCTTGTCCGACGCAGCGTTAGAAATTGGCACTAGTCCTGTAGTCCTCACCAAACTGCCCAATAGTAAAGGTATCCTAAGGACTAGTAGAAATTGGCCCATTTTAAGGCTTTTGCTATATGTTATCATTATAAGGACTAGTTGGCAAAAACTGTTAGTTTCTAACCCTGCCGACGTGTACACTATCAGACATCTTGACTGACATTGAATTCAGTTGTCTTGGACACGTGATCATGAAAGCTAATACGAATATTACAGACAGCAAAGATCTCATCTGTCAACTGCACAGGTAGAGTTATGAAAAAGAACTAATTTTAGGACTAAGCAAATAGTCCCTTTCAATATTCATTAGTCTTGATTTGCTTGTTGGTTTGTTGTTTAACACTGTACACAGCAATATTCCAACTATATGACAGCAGTCAGTATATAACTGAGTTTGGACCAGACAATCCAGTGATCGACATCATGAGCATCGATCTACCCAATTGGGATACGATGACATGCATTAACCAAGTCAGGGAGCCTCATCACCCGAATCCGTTGGTCGCCTTTTACGACAGGAATAGTCGCCTTTTACGACAAGAATAGTCGCCTTTTACAACAAGCATAGTCGCCTTTTACGACAAGCATAGTCGCCTTTTACGACAAGCATAGTCGCCTTTTACGACAAGCATAGTCGCCTTTTACAACAAGCATAGTCGCCTTTTACGACAAGCATAGTCGCCTTTTACGACAAGTGGTCCTATTCTCTACTCATATCTTCATGGCTCCAATATAGTCTTCAACTAACAGACTAATGGCCATGTCTATCCCTGTTTTCTATTTCTTTACCTTTTTATCAAACTTTAGCCATGCGATGTAGCCCTTGGAGTCGACAAACTGCAGCCCAAAGTACCACGTTTCTCTCAGGCCAATAGTGCGACACACCAGATCAAAAAGCTCCTTCCCCATGGCCTTGCTCTGTATCAAGATACATGATATATTGTAAATTTGTAAATCATGAATATAATGTGTCACCTAATTGATGCGAAAATCAACCCCTGGCCTAAAATCTGTCATGAAATTAATGCCAGTAGCCCTACCTTTGAGTTATAAAAACTGATCAGCAAATGATAACACAAAGACTGAAGAGTTTGAAAGACGCCGCCACAGGCAGTTGGCGACTGTCGAAACTGGTTGCTGAACTTGTGTAAATAAACTTGCTCCTACATCAGCTGTTGTGGCCAGTTCATAAAATCTGTGATATTAGCTATCAGACCCAGTCTAATAAAATGTATTTGAGGCTTTGTTCAGCAAATAATTGTCAGTATTCAATCCACATCTCTTGAACATGATGCAAGAATCATAATATAACTTCAAGCTGACAGTAAAACTCAATACTTTGGGCACAGACTGGTAATACATTCGCCAGCAATCGCCCCTTTCCGTAACCTGGAAGAAGACTTGTCCCCCTCATTCGACACCACTCGCCCCTTTCCGTAACCTGCAAGAAGACTCGTCCCCCTATTCACGAATGTTTTGTGCGAAAATACGACAAACCAATCAGAATGCACGTGTGATTTCAAGTTCTTCATTACAGAATCCCTCAGAAATAATTTTTGATTTTTGATGTCTTGCATCTAAAAATATACCCAAGACAGTCACACAGTTAAATGTGTTCACTCATACTGTATAATTCTGTATGTCCAGATGTGCTTTAAATTGCATCTGAAATATATATAATATATGGGGAAATATATGTGAACCATAACGCAACAAGTTGACAATTGTTTTAGGTGTGCCTGTTTGCGCTAAGACGGAACCCGATCGCAAAAATGGCCATGAGAGTGGCACGAGTCACTATTCGGCTTGTCCTGGAATAACACAAGTTGGTCACGAATGACTGGTAATATTTACCTATTCAGGTATCAACCATGGCAGTTATGACTATAGTCATTGACATGATTGAGAATATCTACACAAGAGTAGATAAGTGAAGAAATGTATGTTTATGTTTGCTTGTATCATGTGTATGAAATTGGAAGTCTACAATATATGACTTAAGATATTTATTGATGGTGCACTCAAAGAAACGAAATATTTTCATTTACAACATGTACAATGATTTAGGTCTTCTTCAGGCATGTAATCTTGCATATTTGTTTGTAGTTTTAAAGCCGGATTCTGCAATATTCTAGCTGTAAATAATAGAGTCTAGACCAGACAATCCAGTGATTAATATCATGAGCATCGATCTTCGTTATTGGGATACGATGACATGCACTAAACAAGTCAGCAAGCCTGACCACCCGATCCTGTTAGTCGTCTCATACAACAAGCACGGGTAGCTAAAGGTCGACCCATGAAGATCTGGTGTAGAATATGTCTTCAGTATCCCATGCTTGCCGTAAAAGGCGACTACCCTTGTCGTAAGAGGTGACTTACGGGATTGGGTGGTCAGGCTCGCTGACTTGGTTGCAGCATGTCATTGATCCCAATTGTATGGATCGATGCTCATGATGCCAATCACTGGATTGTCAGGTCCAGACTTGATTATTTACAGACCACCGTCATATAACTGGAATATTGCTGAGTGCGGCGTAACAAACCAACCAACCAATGCTAAAGGTCAGTTCTATCCCGGATTTTCTAAGGGATTCAGATATGAGGGATACACACACACATATATATAGGTTCAGTCATCATACACACATATATATATAGGTTCAGTCATCATACACACACATATATATATAGGTTCAGTCATCATACAGATAAATAGCAGGGATTTAGATACTTGACCAACGCCATAATTAGGGGTGACAGGAACTATTTTCACTATTGTGATAGTATAACCATGATAACAATAGTACCCCACACTATTACAATAGTATTGGGATAGTTGTCAACTAATACAATCGTATTGTGATACATGTAGTATAAACCAACTTTAAGGCTTGATAATTATATAACCAATGTGACAGAAATGAATAAATTATTGCAGACAATGTCAAAGTTAGCCATTTCCTTCCCTGTCACCACTCAATCCAAAGGAAATTACTCTAATCTAGTTGTTCTTATCCTTGCTATCCAAGTTTGAAATTCAACTGTAAAGTTGTCTGATGCATAAGATGTTTTATTTACAACTAATTGCAACTATTGAAATTATCAATTGCTACTCCTACTATTGACAATGCCATACAAATTGGCGTGTTTCATATTCCTATCGACACAGTACAGTTGTAGGGCAAACAATTGCAACACTTCAATAACTATATATATCGTCACACTCCTAATTATCATGTAAGACAATGACAAATATTTATAAACATTATTAAAATAAAGTGAAACGTAATATTCATATTGCTGTTAAAGAATTGACAAGCAACTACTAAATCGGTAAACTACTTAACTTGCTCTTTAGTAATGAATATGTGGATAGACATTTCATAAGGGAAATTAATGCTAATAAACATGTGAAACAGAAATTGGGTGGAAACGCCTACGCAAGTGCTTACATGATACTGACAGGTGATTTATTATGCCAATCCCAATCGTCATCATAACTAAAGACCGGTGGATTTCTAAAAATTTGATGACATCTTTGTCACCAGCTTCTCAGACTCGGCAGTTGTCATCATGTTAAATTTATAAATGAGTCGATATTTAAAATGATGCAAATCTCCTGTTTTCATCAAATCAATGGGCCCTGTACCTCAATCTCAAATTCCAGTTCAGCATCCATGGTCGTCACTCGGACAGGGAGGTTCTTGGAGTTGCCTCCCGACGATTTCTTCATTGAAACAAGAGGCATTTTCAATGTCTTATTCCCTCAACTCAGACTTTAAACGCCCGAAAGTTTTTAATCGATAGCCTTGTCATTTTGACACCCAAAATAGGAGTTTGTTGACTAACTCTTCATCACTTTCCTTCAATGTTGACTACCGGAAGTATATATTTTTATAATAAACTATTTTCCTAACAACTTCTTTTAGTTTCCACTTCCTGGATGAGGACCTGCTACTGGATGTGGGAATTATATTTCAGTAACTGTTCATATAATGACTCTTTGGTTTCCTTTTCTGTACGTGTTAAAAATATCGTCGAGTGTGGTGTCTCACTAGCTTTCATCATGTTAATTAAGACAACAAGTTCCAGTGCAAATATTTAGCTTTATTACATTTGCACTCGGAACTTGTTATCTTGAAACGCAAGTGAAATCAGCTGGCGAGACCAAAAGTTGATGAACAAAGAAACATATTACGTGAAACGCTTTCTTGGTTTGCGGTCATGTTGGCATCTTATATTCTTTTGGATGATATGGTCAATTTAATTTTTGTTTTCTTTTGACCGCGTGCATGTATGAGTTAGGAGAAAAATATACAGCATAATATGTGTATTTTTGTTCAGTTTCATATTTATACAGAAAACGATGGGTGTAATTCCGAAAGCCAAAGGCAATACTCTTTATCACATACAGACCACGGTAAGGCTATTTTTCAATTAAAGAGAGGCTGTTATGCTAATTTCTGGACTGGGTAATTAGTATTTCATGTGAAACTGTGACATTGGGGTGCATTGGGGTGCACCTCGGCAAAACGTCACCGATTTCTCTGGCGAAAACGGCTACTATGTGTCGGGCGAAAACGGCACCTCTATTTTTAATAATGATAAGAATGATTTTTGTAGTAATAGATATGGTTTATTTACATGTTATTTGATGTATGTGATGTATTTACACGGACAGGTAAGAAGTCCTCGGCAATCTGAAAATATGAATAAAAGTTAAAATACAATATTCGTTCTGGTACAAAATTGTGGTTATACAATAGCATTATGTAGTTTATTTTATTATTATTAGTACCTCGAAGTCCAAAGTCCTCGGCTCTTTGGGGCGCAACAGTTCCTGGCTTCAGTTCGCTATGCGAATGAGGGTTGAGTGGTTTTGGCGTCCTCCAGCCTGGTCAGGGTCGACGAGTCTCTGTTGAGCATCTTCAACGACACTGGCGCTCGATTTGTAGATGTTTTCAACAGCTTGTTCCTTTACCTAAAACATAATACGTTCATTACTCTACTGTAACAATAAACTATTCAACATGTAATTGAGAGCTTATTGTAAATTACCGAGAACAATTACACCAATCAGTTATAACAACAATATTAATACCTCAACTCGGACTTGAATTGCTGTCAACACTGTCCTGGTACCTGGTTAGGTACTCTCATTTCTTCTGCATCTTCTGATTGGAAACTGACATCAAAGTTACCGATCACCTCTTCAATGATGGGATCCACGCATCTCAAACAGCGGAAAGGGAAGTTTTCTTCTGTCCGGCAAATTTCTTTTTTACGGGCCACAGTTATCACATGATACAGCATATTGATAAGACTGGAAGTCGTTTCACCGATGTTTAAAAAAATTATTATTTAGGAGAGAACCAAAGAGACACGGAGAGCGTCTCAAAAATAAAACAGAATCACGCTTTTGGGCGAATGGTCAGACAGATAGACAGATAGTATGGTTATGTCTCACCTTGTGCGTACATACGATATAAAAGTATTCATGCAGACAAAGTAAAACATGCTCAAGCCACTCCTATAGGAGTTATGAGAGACAAGCATGTACATGCACATAAAAAAGGATACAGATAATATATTTAAAGTGTGTTCGCACATAACCAGTAGAGATAAAAGACTGAAAATATAATACGATAAGACACGAAGCATACTCTATATTAAGCGTGTATGCACACATTAAATATACAGGCATAAAAAATACAATTTATACATATACAGATACAGACATATATACACGCTCGTTAGTAGAATATCCTTGTAGGTTTCGCCTGAGTAAAATAACAGTGATGGGTTGCTAAAAATGTCACATAACTTCTGATCATTAGATAAATCTGTAAAGCCGTTAACTATTTCATTGCAACGTTGAAGAAAGGGTAAAGAAAAACTGGAACATGTAGGGCAGTTACAGTGAGTGAGTTGGGTTTAACGCCGCTTTTAACAGTATTCCAGTTATATCACGGCGTGTCAGCTTAATGTGGGAGGAAATCCCGAAATGATGCAGGTCTAAGACGTTTACCACTTCGGTGAAACCCACGAGAACGGGTATCGTGCTGACAAACCTAGAAACATAATCGGGGCGAACCGGGATTCGAACCATAGGTTTCTGGCGTGCCCAAGGGACGCAACTCTGCACAGCAAATCGCGGCGCCTTAGACGACTGAACCACCCGTGCCCCCTAGGGCAGTCAAAAAGAACCTGGATTTCGTTCTCAACAGCATTTTGGCAGGCGAAACAATATCTCTTACTAGGTGGTATATTTTCATATCTTCCTGTCTCTAGCTACACCACAAGGAGGGGCGGTCGGCTAGCCTAGTGGTTAGAGCGTTGGCACGCCACGCCGGAGAACCGGGTTCGATTCCCGACATGGGTACAATGTGTGAGTCCCATTTCTGGTGTCCCCCGCCGTGATATTGCTGGAATATTGCTAAAAGCGGCGTAAAACCATACTCACTCACTCACTCACTCCTGTCTCTAGCTACACCACAAGGAGGGGCGGTCGGGTAGCCTAGTGGTTAAAGCGTTCGCTCGTCACGCCGAAGACCCGGGTTCGATTCCCGACATGGGTACAATTTGTGAAGCTCATTTCTGGTGTCCCCCGCCGTGATATTGCTGGAATATTGCTAAAAGCGGCGTAAAAAACTCACTCACTACACCACAAGGAAACTGAGCTAGTGCACATCGGTTGCTTCTGCAGATACCTCTTACAACATAGTCTTCAACATGATAAAACATATTAAATGGTATACAGTAAACTACGGTTATAACGAACTCAAAGGGACCACTAATTTTAGTTCGTAATAACCGTAGTTCGTTGTAAGCATATATACAGCATATATACAACAAAAGGCCGGGACTAAAAAAATAAGTTCGTTATATCAGTCAGTTCGTTATAAACGTAGTTTACTACATATTTTTAGGCATATGTGAAGTTTATTATTGGATGACTCAGGCAGCCTCATCGGCAAACTCTACAAGTGTTAGAAAGCACTTCTGAAGTCCTTCGTGAGTTGGAATCTGACCTCTCCGTTGCCGGTTCTCCTCTACTTTGGGGGCCATTTGCCGCCTGCCTCACATGCACTGTGTCGCGTTGGTCTTCTGATCCATCTTCAGGACTGTCACGATCTCGTTCACACACCGGTGTGCCCTAGATACGATTTTCCTCAGACGTCCGTATCAGCTTTTATATTTATGTAATTTGTTATTTTCTTTTATATTATTTATAGAACAATAATTATTGTTTGATTTGCATTCTAGAAGTTGGTGAGTAAGTAATAAAACGTATGGATAACAACTTCTGGTTTAGCGACGTTACGATGGCGATTCTTACGCCGTTATGAAGCTGCAGTGACAACAACCAAGTGATGAGGGGTATGATATACATGTATGCAATATATGTTGTAATAAGAAGCAGATTAACATTGAAAACATCAGGTAATAGATAACAAGTAGCATACAGATAATTAGCCAATGTACAGTAATAATAACAAATAGCACACAGGTAGTGAAACACACGGGTAGTGAAGCCCGAGGTACAGCAAGGGTGAGGATTGAAGGGATTAAACAGTTATGACAAGCAGATTGAATCCTAATTAAAATAGTCTAATGCTTGATGAGGATTAAAGGGATTAAACAGTTATGACAAGCAGATTGAATCCTAATTGAAATAGTCTGTTACTTGATTACATCTTCATAGGCGGGCGGGATTTAATACCCTTGATCTCTGGTGATCAAGTTTTGTGACAGCGGATTTCTATAGCTTCTGAGATTTTTCTTTTGGTAAAGTCCTGATGTTTTTTAGTTGAGAGGATTAGGACTTTGCCAAACTGAATTTGATGGCTAGGTTTTTTTTTCGCTGGTGGTCTGAGAGTGATGATTTGCTGTCTGCTTTGGCGGTTGAAGTCATGGCGGTTGAATGCGGTATCTACTGGGCGGGACAGTCCACCAATGAACAAGTCACCACTGTCCAATTCATCTCCACACAGACCTAGAGTCAAGAGCACCTGCCCGAGCAGGGTGAGGTGAAATGGGGCTTAACGTCGCGTCCAAGATTATTGCACTTATATAGCGACGTGCATGCACGTGTATATGTGTGTGTGTGGCTTCTTGTACTAGTCCGGACTGATGCCGATTTATAGTGCTAGGACACTGAGATACCATTCCGCAGTTTAACATGAATACCCCACTCAGACACAGTATACTGACTCCGAGCCGACCAGTCCTTGTTTTAGCCCCTAATGCCGAGCGCAAGACATGGTAACAACAAGTACCATCTTTTAACGTCTTTTGGTATGACGCGGCCGGGGATCGAACCCCGGACCTACCGCTCTCCGGGCGGACGCTGTACCATTAGACCACGGAGGCGGTCCCTGCCCGAGAAAACTTGACCTTGAACTTAAACATAAGCAGCATGTCTTCACCAATCTCAACCAGTACCCTACCAAGCTAGTGAAGACGACCATCTCCACTACACTCCAGCCCGAACACAAACCAACCTGCCCAGAATCCACCCCCGTCACAATCATCCTACCCTACTTTGGAAAGGCTTCTCATCAAATCAGCACCAAGCAGTCATCGATACCATCTTCACTGTCCTCCCTCCCCATAGAACCATCCTCCAAGATAATGGCTGCACTCACTCACTCACTCACTCCTGTCTCTAGCTACACCACAAGGAGGGGCGGTCGGGTAGCCTAGTGGTTAAAGCGTTCGCTCGTCACGCCGAAGACCCGGGTTCGATTCCCGACATGGGTACAATGTGTCAAGCCTATTTCTGGTGTCCCCCGCCGTGATATTGCTGGAATATTGCTAAAAGCGGCGTAAAACCATACTCACTCACTTCACCAATTCGATTGTGTTACGTTTGCTTGTAAAACACTCAGTTAGAAATAACTAAACAATTAATCAAATTTCAATGCCAAGCCTTACGGGCTTACTTACATGTTAAAACACAATTACTCCTCCTAGACACAGCTGACCTTGGACTTCACTTGGGAGAATTGCAGCTTGACATACGCCTTCTACCATGAGCTGGGGTATCGTGCAGGAAGCTTGGTACCGTCAGCCCCCATGATCCCCGAGGTGGCCTAGCTTTGGTTACTGGTGGCTTATAGCTCGTGTTTTAAACAGTTGTAGATGAAATGGTAATGATAGAATATGTTTGACACAATGGCTTTTAAATATAACTTTGTATTCATGACTCAACTATATATTCTAGTCGCTATAGGCTGAAATAATGTCGATGCGACGCTTTACACTGGGTTCACTTTCTTCAATTTTCACTAATGATCAAAGTTTATTGTAAATCATTTGGATTAGTTAAATAAATACATTTTTTTGAGAAACTAAAATTGTTAATTCTTTATATTTATGTTTTTTTCATGGGTCCATTTGGACTTTTTAGCCTAGGCGTTTCGACTAGTGTGTCTGGACTTTTTGACATGTGTCCTTTTTTACCTAGACTAGTGACATCGGATGCACGCGTTGTAATTCGGTTGGGTACACTTTTGTTAGCGTGTTCGGTAATCGTTATTCAGGTTCGACTCCATGTATGATAATAAATCATACGTACGTGCACGAATCCTGTAAATATCTTTCAAAACTACAGTATATATTCCCACGTATTTCCTAGTGCGCCGTTGCTGTCAATTATATTTGATGTGATACATTCTACACACTAGCCGAAGTATAAAAGATAAATAAGTTCCAAAAATATATATCGATATATCTAATAAGAGATGCATATACATGTACTTGATTTTCGTGTATCATAATTGTATTGTCCATCCTAAAATCATCGTCTCCCAGATAGCCATAAATATTTGCAAGGAAAATAGTACTATTATTGGACAGGAAGTCGCAATGTTTGGACATGCGTAATGGTAGTTCCGAATTTATTTGGCGCCATTTAGTGTGTGTCAGCAAAACAATATCTCACAGAAGGAGAAAGGAAATAATAAGAAGATGCCTCCTCAACTTTCTTCCGGTTCCATTGAGGTACTAATTGGGGGAATACTTTGGTCTGATTAAGTTGTGACGTGTTGACATTGCTCAGTCGTGATTAATTTACTTATTTGTCAATATCATGTTGTCAATTTCGTTTTGGTTACGATCGGACCAAAGGCCTAAAAGAAATCACCATGTATCAGCATACATGTTTTGAAATATATCTTAAGTCAGAATTATGTTTACAATTGTGTGTTATAAGTTTACCTTTAAAGCCTATTAACTGTTCAACTATGTAATATTTGTATTCGGTTCAGAAATTCTCAAACATTCCAGGGTAGCTAATACATCAGCTTGTCATGTTATCATTACAAGCCGACTGACTAAACATTTTACTTTTCCTCAATAAGTCAAAGTAAACTTGAACATTTTCAGGAAATCATAGGTGGCAACACACCTGATAGCCCAATACTACAGATAATGGTAAGTGTTGTAGCCTATAGATATTTCATTCACCAGCTGTTCATGTAGGTTTCATATATCGATCAATATATCATATATCGACATGTCTCATTGCTAGATTTTATCATTCTTATATTTCATGTTACTGAGTACTGCTACTTGCATGAAGCCATCAGTCAATCATGAAGATGGATTGTGTCCAGTCTATCTTGGCAATGCTTGTTGTTTGAAATTGTTTGTGTAAAGCTGGTCAGCAGTCAGTCTTAAGCATGTTAAGATGTATTTATTATGCATGTTTGTTGAGGGGGCACGGGTGGCCCAGTCGTCTAAGGGGCCACGATTCGCTGTGCAGAGTTGTGTCCCTTGGGCACACCAGAAACCTATGATTGTGGGTTCGAATCCCGGGTTCGCCCCGATTATGTTTTTAGGTTTGTCAGCACCATACCGTGCTCGAAGGTTTCACCGAAGTGGTAAATGTCTGAGACCTGCATCGCTTCGGGCTTTCCTCCCACATGAAGCTGACACGCCGTGATATAACTGGAATACTGTTAAAAGCGGCGTTAAACCCAACCCACTCACTCATGTTTGTTGATGATTTTCCAAAGGTGATTCAGAGCTCAAGATAAGCTGCGTATCTGCGTAAAATACGCATCAGAAATGCAGAAATATGCAGTGAAATAAAATTCAAGCGTATCAAATACGCAACGAACATTCCAGATACGCTACAAAAATAAAACTTGTGCGTATCATCAAAATATTGTGAAGTAACCCTGCGTATTCGATTAGCAAATCAGAGACTTATTTTGAAATTATATACGGACATTCCGTCAACCTTACCAAACTCCATGATGACAGTTACATCATGATCATTTGCCATCACACTTTCTTGTGGAAGTATCGCAGTATTTTTGAGTCCTATAAAGCTCTCGAACCCACATGACACCAGTTTGCAGGGACTAGATGAATAGTGTTTTTAAATATTTAACTTAAATACCCACATGTGTAAAAACTAGTGGGTAACAGAAATTTGAATACGCAGATAGAATTACTGATACCCAATGATTTTTAAATGCATGGGTAAAATACCCACAACACCAAAAGCTTATCTGGAGCTCTGTGATTTCCTAAACCTGTTTTAAGGAAATCACCCAGTCAAGCTCATCAACAAATATGTATAATCAGTGACAATGAAACCCCAGATTAATCATCATGATTTTCTGTTCTTACATCCTTGTCCCTGGGTAGAAAAAAAGACAAAATGATAAGTGTTCATCATGATCATGATGATGATCAGGGTCATTGTAAAATGAAATATTTTGGTTATCTCCCTTAATTAGGGATTGGTATTGGATGTTTCAAGTGTATCACAGTGTTTTATGCTGCACATGGCCCGAATTGTGATACATATCACAATATATTGTATAATTTTAAATTTTGAATTCAGGAGCAATTTGAAACATCAGTGTAGGAACTGAAGTTCATAAATGGAACAAAACGAGATGCTGGTACAGCATAGTGTTTACTTATTCAATAAATACACACGGATGCATGCTCGCTCGGGGCAGTGATGACTTGGTGTTATGCCACTGCCAAGGACAAACTCCAGAATGCAAACTTGCATTTTAGAATAAGAGAACATTTCAAAGGTAGATGTACTTGGCAAGTATTACAGTGTATCACATTAAACACATACAAATCTCTATTTGAAATCACCGATATACCGAGCATTAAAAAATGATGTGATACGTATCATGGAAAGTATAAACCTCAATTTACCGATATATCGGTAATACCGCGCACCCTTACTTTTAATAATCATGAAGGTCATAGGTTTTGCACCACATGTATCATGATGTGTTACCATGGTTACACTTACAGAGTTCCAAGAAAATCTCAGCAGGTGGAGGGGCAGACAGATATCGGCTGCTGTTGTCGGATGGAAAGCACAGCTACTCTCGTATGTATCATGTGTATTGGATATCATGACTCTATTGTAGTGAAAAAACCTGTGCAATCAGGGATTTATCTAGACCTGCTCAGAGGCTGATTTTCGTCCCAAAGACTGCAGCAAATGCAGGGCTCAACGTAGCTAAATTAATCATGACCCAGTGCAACTAACTATTGAAAAGTGCAAACTAATATTTATTTCTACATGCCTAAAAAAAATCAAATTTGTTTCTGACAATATAACCCCTACTTCTCCACACAACACCTATCTTCGAACACAGTGAATACCTCTAAAAAAAATATATCTGAATTTAAGAATATATGAACAGCAAAAAAAAGAGGCACTTAGTTTAAAACTCTCGATAAATCAGTAGTCTAAAATCCTGGATAAATCCCTGGCCATGTACCCGTGAAGATTCAGGGGTAGAATAGATCTTCAGCAACCCATGCTTGCCGTAAAAGGCGACTAACGGGATCAGGGGGGCAGGCTCGCTGATTTGGTTGATGCACGTCATCAATCCCAATTGCATGATATTAATCATTGGATTGTCTGGTCCAGACTCGATTATTTACAGACTGCCGTCATATAGCTGGAATATTGCTGAGTGCTGCGTTAAACAACAAACCAACCAACCCTGGCCATGTTTCAGTTGTTGGCAAGGCAACCACAAAACCTCCATTAATTCAAACACTGTCTGTATGGATATTGTGCTTTTGTTCTGTAATCAACTGAAGTTTGTGATCAAGATTAACTGACAGAAAGACTACCGTCAGTCAAAGCCTTTTTGAGTCTACAGTACAAACTTTATGTATATTGGATGTGATTAGCTGAGCTTACTGTTAGATAGTGATACCATCTTCATCCAATGGCTAAGGTCGAAGACTGAGACTAGACCAGTTAGAGTACTCACTGATCAAATGACTGGGGAAATAATGTAGCTCTTTAAACATGCTTTAGGACGTGGATTTAGTGCATTATGCAGATCATCGTTATTAGTGACAAATGATGCACTATATATTACTGTATTCGACGTAATAAGCGCCCTGCTCTAATAAGTGCCGGCGGTGATATTTGCTAATATATTGGCAAGTGAACAATCCCAATTAGCACCCCTTCTGATTGATAAATGTACACAAGACTTATTTATTTGTGTATAATATGCACTCGTGTGTTATATACACCTTTAATTAGGAGCAATTAAATTCTGGGAAAATATATGTCGTTTATAAACAGTTCAGGCCGTCAGCATTATAATCACGAAATCTATCTTTCAACTGTTTTTTCCACCAAAATAATATTCTAATAAGCATGATAAGAGCATCCTATTTCTAATTTTGAGAGCACCCTGGGCGCTTATTACGTCGAATACTGTAGTAATCTGGTAATGACAGTTGTTTATGAACTAGCACCTGTTTTGTGTGTGCATTCCCAGATGCCATGTTGGCGACGCAGTTGAACGAGTTGATGGAGCAGAATGAGATCGACAATCTGAGCGTTGTGCAGGTCAACAAATACCTGTGTAACACGCTACAGGGGGACAGGTAAGACTCCGTGGCTTGCTGCAAGTACAACTTGTTAACTAACCTTCCAACATGTCTGCATGTCACCCCTAGCATAAGCAGACTCACCCATGCATGCACGTTGCTATGTGAGTGTTTTATTCTTGGAACGCCATGTAAAACCCCATTTCAATTCACGTCACCTTTTGGATGACAATAAAAAGAATCCAGTACACCAAACACTGATTACTACATGTTTGGCAATTCCTAATTATCAGCCTACATGATGCGTTTTCCAAATGGGGTGGTGGGGTCGCCTAGTGGTTGAAGCGTTTGCTCGTCATGCCTAAGGTCCGGGTTCTATTCCCCACATGGGTACAATGTGTGAAGCCCATTTCAAGTGTCCCCCGCCATAATATTCATATTCGTGATATTGTTGGAATATTGCTAAAAGCGACAAAACAATACTCGCTCACCTTTTCCAGATTTTGCCTGTCAGAGGCACTTAGTTGAAAGCCTGTTGGATCAGACCCTGTCACACCCAGGGGTTGATACCATTGGAGGATCAGCATGACTTAAATGAAATAGGGACCGCCTCCGTGGTCTTGGGTTAGAGCGTCCGCCCGGAGAGCGGAAGGTTCAGGGTTCGATCCCGGGCCGTGTCATACAAAAAGACGTTAAAAGATTGTACTTGTTGTTACCCTGTCTGGTGCTCGGCATTAAGGGGCTAAAACAAGGACTGGTCGGCTCGGAGTCAGTATACTTTGTCTGAGTGGGATATTCATGTTAAACTGCGGCATGGTATCTCAGTGAGCTAGCACTATAAATCGGCATCAGTCCGGACTAGTACAAGCAGCCACACACACATATACACGTGCATGCACGTCGCTATATAAGTGCAATAATCTTGGACGCGACGTTAAACCCAATTACACCTCACTAAATGAAATAGTGCAGAGTATTTTTTAAAGTTTTTGTTGTTGTATTCTTATCCTCCCGGCATATAATGCTTGGGGATATATAGTCATCATCTGGTCTGTCTGTCTGTCCATCCATCCAGTTTTAGTTTCCGGAGCATAACCTTAAAAAACTTAAAAGATTTTTCTTCCGAACTTGGCACATATATCAACCAGGGGCTTAAGTGGTGTCTTTTGCCATTTGGGGGGTACCTGTGAAGATTCCGGGGTAGAATAGGTATTCAGCAACCCCTGCTTGCCGTAAAAGGTGACTATGCTTGTCGTAAAAGGCGACTAACAGGATCGGGTGGCCAGGCTCGCTGACTTGGTTGATGCAGGTCATCGATCCCAATTGCGTGGATTGATGCTCATGATATCAATCACTGGATTGTCTGGTCCAGACTCAATTATTTTACAGACCGCCATCATATAGCTGGAATATTGCTGAGTGCGGCGTTAAACAACAAACCAAACCAAACCATTTGGGGGCCGACTCTTGTTAAATTAATCCTTTGACACCTGTGCCTGGTATGTTTTGTGTTTAACCACATGGTTTTGATGTCCCCTTCAGACGAGTGATGATACTGCTGGACGTGAAGGTTGTCAAGAAGGGTTCAGAGGTCGGGGAGAGAATTGGGAACCCGGTGCCTTTCAAACCTGGCCAAGAAAACACTGCACGTAAGTAGAACTGTTTCTGTGTCGAATACACAGACGCTGCACAAAGGTGTAATAGATCTGAGCTGGACCTCCTCAGGGGCTGATATTTGGCCCCAAGTCTGCAGCAAATGTCATACAAAAGTCCCAATTTATATTATAATTGGGGGCACGGCTGGCCCAGTCGTCTAAGGCGCCGCGATTCGCTGTTGCGTCCCTTGGGCACGCCAGAAACCTGGTTCACCCGATTATGTTTCTAGGTTTGTCAGCACCATACCCGTGCTCATGGGTTTTACCGAAGAGGTAAACGTCTAAGACCTGCATCACTTCGGGCTTTCCTCCCACAATAAGCTGACACGCCATGATATAACTGGAATACTGTTATAAGCGGTGTTAAACCCAACTCACTCACTCACTCACTCATATTATAATTATATCTGATCATGCTAATGTTATTACGTTGTACATGTTGTAGAGGTAACTGTATTTCACTGATAGCAGGACCAATATAGAGGAAGAGATTTTATGTTATTGCTTTGGACGCAGTGTTAAAACACCACTCAGTTTGAGAAATGTGGCACTGGGGGTACTCCAGGACAACAGGTCCCCAGCAACCTTGTTTGTTGTTTGAGGTGATCTTTTGGATGAAATGGAGTAATCAGCGGTTTTTGTTTTGAGATGACCCCTTTCTTCTCTATGTGAAGTTGTTGCTGAGATGATCTACTTTGCATTGAAGTAACAATTTGTTTCATTTATTTGCATGTAGCAGTACAACCAAATGGACAGAGTGCAGGTGAGCAAAACATCTGGAAATTGTTGACTATAACTGTTGACTAAATGTTGACAATAATTGTTGACTATAACTGTTGACTAAATGTTGACAATAATTGTTGACTATAACTGTCGACTATAACTGTTGACTAACTGTTGAAAATAATTGTTGACTATGACTGTCGACTATAACTGTTGACTATAACTGTTGACTAACTGTTGAAAATAATTGTTGACTATGACTGTCGACTGATAACTGTTGACTATAACTGTCGACTAACTGTTGAAAATAACTGTTGACTAACCGCTGACAATAATTGTTGACTATAACTGTTGACTATAACTGTCAACTAACTGTTGAAAATAACTGTTGACTATGACTGTCGACTATAACTGTTGACTATAACTGTCGACTATAACTGTCGACTAACTGTTGAAAATAACTGTTGACTAACCGTTGACAATAATTGTTGACTATAACTTCACTATAACTGTCGGCTAACTGTTGAAAATAACTTTTGACTAACCATTGACAATAATTGTTGACTATAACTGTTAAATATAACTGTCGACAAAAACTGTTGAATATAACTACTGACTATAATTGTGGACAATAATTGTTGACTATAACTGTTGACTATAACTGTCGACTAACTGCTGAAAGTAATTGTTGACAATAATTGTTGACTATAACTGTCGACTATAACTGTCGACTAACTGTTGAAAATAACCGTTGACAATAATTGTTGACTATAATTGTTCACTATAACTCTCGACTAACTGTTGAAAATAACTGTTGACTAACCATTGACAATAATTGTTGACTATAACTGTTAAATATAACTGTTGACAATAATTGTTGATTAAAACTGTCGACAAAAACTGTTGAATATAACTGTTGAATATTACTGTTGACAATAACTGTTGACATTAACTGTTGGCTATAACTGTTGACAATAACTGTTGACTATAACTGTTGACTATAACTGTTGACTAATTGTTGACTATAACTGTCGACTAACTGTTGACAATAATTATTGACTGTAACTGTTGACTATAACTGTTGACTATAACTGTTGACTATAACTGTTGACAATAACTGTTGACAATAACTGTTGCCTATAATTGTTGACTATTACTTTTGACTTCCCGAGAAGAAGTCGGTACCTCATTATGACTCCATGGGGATTCTGGGTTAGAAATGGCCCCAGCAAGTTCTACTTGTAAGAGGTGACTCACAGGATCTGGTGGTCAGTCTCGCTGACACCGTTGAAGACATGGATCATTGCTCACAATATCAATCACTGGATCGTGGAGTTAAACAACAAACAAAACCTCTGTAACAACTTGTCATAAAAGCGAACTACGTTGGGCATCTTGTAGTCATGCAGTCAACCACTTGTTGGCCTGGGAACAGTTTCCATTGATGATAGGAGGGCACAGTGACATCGCTTACTGCAATCCGAAGTAGTTCATTGGATAACAGATACGTCTGTTTATGTTCTAGTTTCTAATGGACCAGCTCAAGTGAATGGTGTCAGCAATTCGTCCAGTGCCAAGTCTCCATACAACAGAGGTGGGTATGCCGGCACGGTGGTAGGGGTGTTGTCATGCTAGGGAGGTGCTGCCTCCAATCAGGACACTATCCTCCTCATGGGACATATTTTGGTAGTGACACAATAGCAGGGAGTTATCTATCAGTGCGCAGAGGCCAATGTTTGGCCACATTTGTTGCATTGGCGACTTGCATTTCACTGATAACAGGACCAATAAACAAGGAGAGGCTTGAATATTAGTTTTACTTTTTTTTTGCATTGATTGAAATATTAAAATACCCCTGAATTTAAGAAAATAAGGACTTTTAAGAAAGTCACATTTTTTTTTACAAAATTAATGTTTTTCCCCATATTGCCTGCCAAGAACATTTATGTGATATATTTTTAACACCATGAAACCACACACTCCCCCATTCACCATGCCAAGGCCCCAAACTCAAACCTACACCCTGGTCACCACGCCAACAACCCCAACCCCAAACCCACTCCCAACACACCACACCCCCACTCCAAACACCCCACACCCCACACCCCACACCCCACACACCCACTCCCAACACCCCACACCCCCAGTCACCACACCAACACTCCCAACCCCAAACCCACTCCCAACACCCCAACCCCAAACCCACACCCACTCCCAACACCCCCAACCAAAAGACCCGTGAAGATTCCGGGGTAGAATAGGTCTTCAGCAACCCATGCTTGCCGTGAAAGCAACTAACAGGATCGGGTGGTCAGACTCGCTGACTTGGTTGATGCATGTCATCGATCCCAATTGCCGATTATTTTACAGACCGCCATCATATAGCTGGAATATTGATGAGTGCGGCGTTAAACAACAAACCAACCAACCAACCCAACCCCAAACCAACTCCCAACACCCCACACCCCCAGTCACCCCAACCAACACCCCACCCTGTATAATGATAGGATGAAGGTATCGTTCCCACTGAAAGCAAGGTTGAAATCATGAATTGATATATGATGTTCATCTGTACATTTTCAGCACAGACCACAAATCGTTCCCCACAGAAACCGTCCGGGGGTGCTGGCAACTACAGTATCCGGGGTGGAGCTGGACCCTCCACCCCCGGGTCATCTCGTGTTCACACCATTGCAAGTCTCACCCCCTACCAGAACAGGTGAGACAGGACACATTGTTACCTGCACTACATCATTGGGCCATGAAGAGTATAGAATTGGTCTTCATCAACCATGCATGAATAAGTGGCGACTAACTGGATTGGCTTGTCAAGCTTGCTGACTTGATCATCGTATCCCAATTGTGTAGATCGATGCTCATGATGTCCATCACTGGATTGTCTGGTTGAGACTTGATTATTAAGAGGTCTTGTTCATATAGCTGGAATATCGCTGAGTGCGGCGTTAAACAACGAACAAACAAACCAGGAATACCAACTGGTATGTTCCATTTGGGATATTGTCTGAGAACGTGTCAACTGTCTGCTGTAGTTCGTAAAGCTGAGTTTGAGAACACCCCATTACGGGGCATTGTCAGAACGACCTTCCGCAGACTTTGACCGACCACTGAAACGACTAACAAGAAGTCGATATCAGCCAATCAGAAAGCAGCTTTCTCGAGCTTTATGGAACACATTTCAACATGGCGACTTCCATTTCAGACTATGCTTGACAAATATGTTGACATAGTTCTCGATTAAAATTTTTATAACTGAACAAACGAACATTCCGGAATGTCTAATATATGGTTGAGATTGTATGGAAGTGCTTCCCACGTAACTGTGCACTGCCTCCTCTGTTCAATTGTTTACCCCATGGAAGCGAGAGATAGACGATAATTTTGACGGAATCAGTCGTACAGGCCGTTACTGTCGTTCGGAATACCCCATGTTAACGTTTTTAAGGTTGCATGATTAGAAAATACATTCCGACTGCCACTTTCATGATCTGGTAAGCAACAGACAGATTGGTCGGATGAAAGGTTGTTCTGACGTGACCCGTAATGGGATGTCCTCAGATCTTTGTTTAGCGATAGCAAGAACTAAGATCTGATTTGAATGAGATTGCAAATTAACAAACATGACATAAATATTGGTTGCCTTCATATTACCATATTTATCCACCAGGTGGCGGATCAGGGCTCGGGTGACCCAAAAGTCCGGGATTCGGACGTGGAGCAACTCCCGTGGGGAGGGGAAACTGTTCAGTGTCAACTTCCTGGACGAGTCTGGAGAAATCCGGGCCACAGGTTTCAACGAGGCTGTCGACAGATTCTACGAGCTCCTGGAGGTCAACAAGGTGTTCTTCGTCAGTCGCGCCACCCTCAAGACAGCCAACAAGCAGTACTCCAACGTTCAGAACGACTACGAGATGACCTTTAACCCCGACTCCCAGATCGAGATCTGTAATGAGGAATGTGACCTCCCTACCATGACCTTTGAATTTGTCAAGATTAATGAACTGGACAAACATCAGTCCAATGCCCTGATTGGTGAGGAATATGAAGTATAGTTGGTTGGGAATCTATGTTTACCTTTGCTGTCCGTTTTTGTTCAGTACCAATTTGTAACAAAATTGAAACATTGAGAACTGGTTCAGAATTATTGCGGGGGGCACGGGTGGCCCAGTTGTCTAAGGGGCTGCGATTCGCTGTGCAGAGTTGTGTCCCTTGGGCACGCCAGAAACCTATGATTGTGGGTTCGAATCCCAGTTCGCCCCGATTATGTTTCTAGGTTTTTCAGCACCATACCCGTGCTCATGGGTTTCACCGAAGTGGTAAAGGTCTGAGACCTGCATCACTTCAGGCTTTCCTCCCTCATTAAGCTGACATGCCATGATATAACTGGAATACTGTTAAAAGCGGCGTTCAACCAAACTCACTCACTCAGAATTATTGCCCTCAATTGTTACTAGTCTAGGACTACCACCTTTGGATTTTTACTTGACCTCAGCAGAGTTTACTTGTCTCGGGCTAGCAGACTAGCATGAATTTCAGAGTCTGCGCACTTAAACTTGCACTGTCTGGATCATGGACCTCAGACAATGAATTCCTATTTCTGATCAATGTTCAACCTCTGGTCCTTTTATTCTGGTGACCTGTGAAGATCCAGGTTTTAATAGGTCTTCAGCAACCCATTCTTACCGTAAGAGGCGACTAACAGGATCGGGTGGTCAGGCTCGCAGACTTGATTGATGCATGTCATCGTATCTCAATTGCATGGATAGTGCTTTCCTTCCAAATTTCACTGAAACACATTGCTTTAAGCTCAGATGAGGGCATTTGGGTAGATTAATTGTTAAAGTAGCCTCTTGTTTTGCTAGGATGTGTTTTTGTCTGAGACATGTTTTTATAGAGGATTGTTTGTTACCATGGTTACAGATATAGTGGGCGTGGTCAAGGTGTGCCAGGATCTATCCACAGTTGTTGGTCGTCAAAGTCAGAAGGAGATCACTAAGCGAGATCTGCAGATTGTCGACCAATCAGGGATGGGGGTGAACCTCACCCTGTGGGGGAATGATGTAAGTATATAAATATAGACAATGTCTTCAATGACTCGAATGTACATGATCCATAGACATGGGGAAGGACCAGTAAAGATCCGGGGTAGAACAGGTCTTCAGCAACCCATGCTTATCATAAGGGGCGAAGATCCGGGGTAGAATAGGTCTTTAGCAACCCATGCTTATCGTAAGGGGCGAAGATCCGGGATAGAATAGGTCTTCAGCAACCCATGCTTATCATAAGGGGCGAAGATCCTGTATAGAATAGGTCTTCAGCAACCCATGCTTATCATAAGGGGCGAAGATCCTGTATAGAATAGCTCTTCAGCAACCCATGCTTATCATAAGGGGCAAAGATCCGGGATAGAATAGCTCTTCAGCAACCCATGCTTGCTGTAAAAGGTGACTCTGCTTGTTGTAACGGGATCTGGTGGTCAGGCTTGGTTTGATGCATGTCATCGTATCCCAGTGGATCGATGCTCATGATGTCCATCACTGGATTGTCTGGTCCAGACTCGATTATTTACAGACCGATGTCATATAGCTGGAATATTGCTGAGTGCAGCCTTAAACAAGAAACAAACATGGGCTAGACAAATTTCCTTGTTGTCTGTACCATATATACAATGCATGAATACGATTTAACACAAACTACAAGTCTGTATCTTCCTTCATAGGCCCAGGCCTTCGATGGCAGTGCAAGTCCTGTGATAGCTGTGAAGGGTGCCAGGCTGTCTGACTATGGAGGTAGGTCATTCTTCAGAATTTTGATTTTTGCCTGGTATAAAGCCGGAATACAATCTACTCTTGACGATGTCAACTTCCTAGCTTGTAAATATTTTCTCATACGAGAGCTCCAGATAAGGTGCATGTTGGAGTGAAATATTCAAAATATAACAGCGTTACCATTGATTGCATGTCATCATACTCCTATGGCATGGATTGTTCATAATATCAATCACCGGATTGTCTGTTCCAACGTTGTTTATTTACAGGCTCTCGTCATAGTTGGAATATTGTTCGAGTGTGGCGTTGAAGAACATACAAACAAATCTGTAGGCAGATACATGTACAGTGCTTTGTTTTCTTGCAGGGCGGTCGCTGTCTGTGTTAGCCAGCAGTCAGCTGATCGTCAACCCAGATATCCGAGAAGCTCATATGCTGCGGGGCTGGTTTGACCGGGATGGACAAAGCATGGACTTCGACAGCTACCGCAACGAGGGAGGCGGCGGAGGGGCAGGTATGAATCTGTTGAGAACCCCTTTACAGATGTGACATTGCCATCATCAGGAAAATGTTGAAAAACCTTTTAGTTTCAGTGTTCAAGGAGGGGCGGTCGGGTAGCCTAGTGGTTAAAGCGTTCGCTCGTCACGCCAAAGACCCGGGTTCGATTCCCAACATGGGTACAATGTGTGAAGCCCATTTCTGGTGTCCCACGCTGTGATATTGCTGGAATAATGCTAAAAGCGGCGTAAAATCAAACTCACTCAGTCAATGTTCAATGATAGTAGTAATACCAATATCACTGCTAACACATGCCCCAGGGCATTGGATCCACATATGGAAATAAGTGTGAGTGCCAATGACAGTTATCATCCCCCGCGACGATGTGGAAGGGGGATATAGGAATAGTCCTCCAGTCCGTCACGTTTCGTTTCCGGAGCAGAACTCAAAAACCACGAGAGATATCTTAGCCAAACTTGGCACATGGATAGGTCTAGTGGTGAACTGGTGCCTTTTGATAGTTTGGGATTTTTGGATCTTGAAAACCGTACAATATTTCTCCACCAAACTTGGCACATAGATAGGTCTAGTGGTGAACTGGTGCCTTTTGATAGTTTGGGATTTTTGAATCTTCAAAACCGTACAATATTTCTCCACCAAACTTGGCACATAGATAAGTCTAGTGGTAAACTGGTGCCTTTTGATAGTTTGGGATTTAAAAAAAATAAATTTGTTCGAGTTTCCATAGCAACGACTTTGCTATGGCAAAGACTGAAAATGGCGGTAGTGCTCATTTCCTGAGCAGATCTTGAAAGCCATACAATATTTCTTGCCTTGCACACAACTGGACATGTAATTTTGTCAGGGGATACGAGTATTTCATGCTTGGTTAAGGTTACTTCATGATTTAGATATTAGGTGTGGCCAAACACTTCTGACTCTTTTCTTTCTTCCATGTAGGCATGGCCACAAACTGGAAAACATTCCAGCAAGTCAAGTCTGACAACATCGCGTCTATGGATAAGGCTGACTACTTCACCAGCAAGGGAACTGTTGTGTTCTTGAAGAAAGACAACTGCATGTACAAGGTAGGGGGAGGAGTTCACCCTAATGAGGGGCCACAGTCAACCCTAACAAGAGTTAACCCTTATGAGGGGCCAAAGTTAACCCTAACAAGAGTTAACCCTTATGAGGGGCACAGTTAACCCTAACAAGAGTTAACCCTTATTAGGGGCCACAATTAACCCTAACAAGAGTTAACCCTTATGAGGGGCCAAAGTTAACCCTAACAAGAGTTAACCCTTATGAGGGGCCACAGTTAACCCTAATGAGAGTTAACCCTTATGAGGGCCACAATTAACCCTTACAAGGGGCCCAATATTTGAGATGCTGTTCTCGCCGAATTCGTTGAATGTTTTGATGGGTGGTTACAACTTGTGACCTGATTGTATGTTTTAGTTCCCCAACATAAGCTCATCCTATCAATCACTGGTTTGCCTAACCCAGATTCTATTATTCATATAGTCTGTCATGTCACATGTTATGTTGCTACTTGGGTCAAACAATGTATATGTAACCCGTGAAGATTCCAGGGTAACCCATGCTTGCCATAATAGGTGACTCTGCTTGTCGTAATAGGCGACTAACAGGATCGGGTGGTCAGGCTCGCTGACTTTGTTGATGCATGTCATCGATCCCAATTGCGTGTATTGATGCTCATGATATAAATCACTGGATTGTCTGGTCCAGACTTGATTATTTACAGACCGCTGTCATAAAGCTGGAATATTGCTGAGTGCGGCGTTAAACAACAAACCAACCAACCAACCAAATGTATTACCATATGTTTAGTTTACAATTTTGGGTCCTTGGAAACAACCAAGGCGCCCACTTGCACAAAGTGATCTTAGTGCTAAGATGATCGTAACTCCCATACGTTAACATAGGCTTACGATAGTCTTAGCGCTAAGATCGCTGTGTGCAAGTGGGCCCAGGTCCCCGTTCCGCAATCCGACGTTTGAGCTACAACTGTCGCATGTCAGTGTTAAAGAATGGTCGTTGCAATCATCTTAGCACTTGGATCACTTTGTGGGACCACCCATAATGTCTACCACTGTTGTGTCCCTGGTTACAGGCATGCCCCACAGAGCAATGTAACAAGAAGCTGGTGGACCAGGGCAACGGCTTGTACCGCTGCGAGAAGTGTGCCCGCGAGTTCCCCAACTACAAGTGGAGGATGATCCTCAATGTAAGTAGTGGGCGGTCTGGTAGCCTAGTGGTTAAAGCGTTTGCTCGTCACGCCGAAGACCCCGGTTCGAATCCCGACATGGGTACAATGTGTGAAGCCCATTTGTGGTGTCCCCCGCCGTGATATTGCTGGAATATTGCTAAAAGCGGCGTAAAACCATACTCACTCACTCACTCACTCACTCAATGTAAGTAGTGCAGGAGGACACATGGTGACTGGCGAACAGAGACCAGGAGTTAAATTCAGCCATTCTACATCTCTTGACCCGTGAGATCTGGGGTAGAATATGTCTTCGGCAACCCATGTTTGTCGTAAGAGGCGACTAACGGGATCGGGTGGTCAGGCTCGCTGACTTGGCTGATGCTTGTCATCACATCCCAATTGCGTGGATCGATGCTCATGATGTCAATCACTAGATTGTCTGGTCCAGACTTAATTATTTACAGACTGCCGTCATATACATGATATAGTTGGAATATTGAGTGAAGATTGAGTGTGGCGTTAAACAACAAACAAACAAACAAACATCTCAGTTCATACCAGCTGCTTTTATTGGATAATGACAAAAACTGTTTTTTCATGTGTTTTTTCTAAAAAATTAAGTTTCCAAAATTTTGAGTAGGCTCATCTATAAGATAAGAATGAAATAATAAAGAATTACATTAACACATTGTGATGTGTTTGGTGTGTTGAACAGTGTATACATAGCTATGTCTGTAACCTGGTGAGGGGGGCACAGGTGGCCCAGTCGTCTTAGGCGCCGCAATTCACTCTGCAGATTTGAGTCAATTGGGCACGCCAGAAACCTATGATTGTGGGTTCGAATCCCAGTTCGCCACGATTATATTTCTAGGTTTGTCAGCACCATACCCGTGCTCGTGGGTTTCCACGAAGTGGTAAACGTCTGAGAGCTGCATCACTTCGGGCTTTCCTCCCACATTAAGCTGACACGCCGCGATATAACTGGAATACTGTTAAAAGCGGTGTTAAACCAAATCACTCACTCACTCACCTGATTATTTCACAGGCTAATCTGGCAGACTACTCCGACAACCAGTGGGCTACCTGCTTCCAGGATTCTGCTGAGGTCCTCTTGTCGGTTAAAGCTGACGAGTTGGGAAGCCTCCGTGATTCCGTAAGTATTTCATTCTGATCACATTAATCTTTTCACGAGTAGAACTTCCTCGGGATTCTGGGTCCGCATTTTATTCCCAGCAACCTTTGCTGGTTGGAAGTGGTGACTTGATGGACTGGGTCAATGGCGTGGATCATGCTAAAAATATCAGTGCTTGTCGTAAAAGGCAATTAACAGGATCGGGTGGTCAGGCTCGCTGACTTGGTCGATACATGTCATCGATCCCAATTGCGTGGATCGATGCTCATGATGTCAATCACTTGATTGTCTGGTCCAGGCTTGATTATTTACAGGCTGCTGGCATATTGCTGAGTGTGGCACACACTTGTAGAACTGAACTAGACTGCCATTTTTTTTAACACCATTACCTCCGTCATTGCTGTGTTGCAGTTGGTCAGACATGTGATTAAGTGTTTTTTTATCTGTTTGATGTGTCGTTATTTATTGGAGTGTAACGATTTATCAAACTACCATTCAATGTATTGCAATTGTTTGCCCTAAGATAGAATTATGTCGATAGAATTAAATCATGCCACTAGCATTGTCGATAGTATGCATAACAGTTGATAGTTTCAATAGTTGCAATTTGTTATATATAGAACATAACTTATTCGAACATGCCTGTGTTGGTTAGCAAGGATTACGACGACTTCAGATTAGAGTTACTTCCCTTTGGTTTGAGTAGCGCCAGTGAGGAAAATGGCCGACTTTGAGATTGTCAGCAATGCTTTATTTATTTCTATTACATGGATTAATATTGTTATCAAGCCTTAAAGTTGGTTTACTACTGTAACAATACTATTGCAATGGTGTGGACTGCTAATGCAATACAACCGCAGTGGTGAGAATAGCCCAAGTAGTCCCCCATACTTATGTATGATCGTTTTCCTTGTTGTGTTTCAGAATGAAGCCAGTTTCGACCAGGTCTTCCAAGATGCCTTGTTCAAATCCTACATCTTCAAGTTCCGGGCAAAGATGGAGATGTACAATGTAAGTACATCCAAACTTCTAATTAATGTAATTAATTGCTGGCCGAGTGGTGTAATGTGCTAGCTAGCTTGCAGAGTTGTGTCCCTTCTTCATGGCAGGATCTGCTAGTCATGGGTTCCAATCCCAGATTATGATGCTTGGTTTGTCAACAGATTCAGCATTGTACTCATGTTTGTGGGTTTGACAAAGGAGGTGAAACATCTAGCGTCTTCCTTCCCACATTAAGCTTATGTGCCTTGATATAATCATAATACTACTCAAAGGGACTTTAATCCCGTGAAGATCTGGTTAGAATTGGTCTCCAGTCCCTGATGGTCATGAGAGGCAACACATGGGGTCGGGTGGTCAAGCTTGCTGACTTGGATGATGTAGGTTATCGTATCTCGATTGATGCTGATGTCAGTCTCTGGATTATCTTGTCCAGCCATGTCTTGTCTTGACATCATAAGGGGGCACAGGTGGCCCAGTCGTCTAAGCCGCCGCGATTCGCTGTGCAGAGTTGCGTCCCTTGGGCACGCCAGAAACCTATGATTGTGGGTTCGAATCCCGGTTCGCCCCAATTATGTTTCTAGGTTTTTCAGCACCATACCCGTGCTCTTGGGTTTCACCGAAGTGGTAAACGTCTGAGACCTGCATCACTTCGGGCTTTCCTATCACATTAAGCTGACACGCCGTGATATAACTGGAATACTGTTAAAAGCGGCCTTAAACCCAACTCACTCACTCACTCACTCACTTGACATTATATACCACGAATCTTGCTGAGTGCTATGTTAAGCAATATGCAATCAAAACAAAAGGGACATTCACTCAATACTAGAAAGAAGTCTATTGATACCTTCCATATTAAGATGCAACCCATGAAGATCCGGGGTAGAATGGATCTTCAGCAACCCATTGTGGTCAGGCTCGCTGACTTGGTTGATGCATGTCATCGATCCCAATTGCGTGGATCGATGCTTATGATATCAATCACTGGAGTGTCTTGTCCAGACTCGATTATTTACAGACGGCCATCCTATAGCTGGAATATTGCTGAGTGCGGCGTTAAACAATGAACCAACCAACCAACCATATTAGATACACATGGATTTGTTTACGTGAAAAACAATTTTGGAAATATAGCATAAGCAACTGTAACGCCATTGCAAATGATAAATATTTTAGCAAAGTTTGATCTTGGGGATATAAAACCCCCACCATAATATGTGGACTTGTATTTTTATTTGAATACATTGAAGTTGATAACCTATTGACTATTACGTCTTTTATCAGGACGAGCAGCGCCTGAAGACTGTGTGTATGTCAGCAACACCAATTGATTGGACAGAATACGGCAAGCGGTTGGTCGACGAAATAAACAAGCTAACGGGTTGAACCAGGAAACCTAACACCCAATGTTAAGATTCCCACGTTACGGAGTACAACCAGCCTAACAAAGATTCTGTCAGAACATCAGCGACCATGATTCTTGGACAGAACAAGTTATCACTTCCAAGTGATGGGGGCAGTGACAATTGGCAAGTCTGATGTGTTGCCATGGTTATGGCAGTATATCAGTCTTGATGACTGTTTTGAAAGGCACTATGTGTGTGTATATACTGCCTACGTGTACTCCAGGCATATTGCCAGTGTATATAGATGTAAAAAGATTGAACAACATGTATTCAGATAACTACATGTTTTGTTAATTTAAAAGTGCTCATTATATTTCAGTCGAATCTCCTACCATTCTGATGAGCAATGTCGACAACTGTTTGATTACCACAGATGAAGACTTCATAGTGCTTCAATACCAAACAGATCACCATTTTGAAATCAGACATTCATTCTTTCATCGCTATATAATTATTTTTCTCATTATTATGCGAGTAGCAGTTACTTGTCAAAACGTCTTTTTCCAAAGATATTCTTTCATAAATTGTATGTTGAAATGTCACAAAGTATTGGTTTGAGCATGTATTCTTGTTTCGTCATGATGTACCCATTAGAGAGGGAATAAACCCGAACTCACTGATTCTAGTTGTGTTGTCATATAAGCTGACTACAGACAGGGCAGAGCTGGTAACTGGGTTGGATTCCCAACATCAGCTACTACCCAGCAAGGAAGGATCCAGCATTTTCAAAAGGGAGGAATCCAAGATAACAAAATCTTCTCTCAGATAATTTTACTGCCCACAACATAACTACAGTTGTCGATGGTGGTGCAGAGTTGTGTCCCTTTTGCATGCCACAAACCTGTGACCAAGGGTTCAAATCCCGGTTTACCCCGATGTATCAAGGTTTGTCAGCACCATATTCCTGATCATGGGTCTAGTCGGGACAAGTAAAAGCACCCACAGACACACGCATGCGTGCACATCGATATGTAAGTGCATTATCTTCAACGTGACGTTAAACCCCATTTCCCTGTAGTAAAAGGCGACTAACAGGATCGGGTGGTCAGGCTCGCTGACTTGGTTGATGTATGTCATCGATCCCAATTGCGTGGATCGATGTTCATGATGTAAATCACTGGATTGTCTGGACCAGACTTGATTATTTACAGACCGCTGTTATATAGCTGGAATATTGCTGAGTGCGGCATAACACAACAAACCAAACCAAACCAAACCAAACCAAACCAAACCAAAACCATTTCACCTCACCTCTGGTCCAAGACTTAATTATTTATGGTTGAATGACAAAGCTGTGAAAGTACAGTGTTATTATTATACAGAGGAAGTGACGCACTGTGTGGCCCAGTCTACTAGGGCTCTGCAATTCGCTTTTCGAGTTTTGTCTCTTGGGCATGCCAGAAACCTATGATTGTGGGTTCGAATCCTGGTTTGCCCAAATTGTTCCTAGGTTTGGCAGCACAATACACGTGCCTGTTGGTTTCACCAAAGTGGTAAACGTCTGAGACCTGCATCACTTCAGGCTTTCTGTCCAAGTTAATCTTGGATGCTGTGAATAACTGGAATACTGTTAAAAGCAGCGATAAACCCAATTTACACACTCATCAACGCGGTAGTAGAGATGTGGTCAGATCATTGATATTTTTTTATATCTAGCTTGATTTAGGAGAAAACGTTTTCAGATTTGCAGATAATACTGAGCATTTGATGGATTGAAATTTGATTTGGACGCTGAGAGCATCAGACAGGTTACAAATGTTACATAATTTCCAGGCACTGAATTCTCAAAACCCACGTATCTGTAAACATGTTTGTCGACATTGTAACATACATAGGTTATCAGTTATTTTCTGTATCTCTCTATACCTGAACTCACAGTTATGTGACAAACATAACATCACTCTGAAATTTTTCACCTGGCTGCATGTCGCATTTTTAAAATTTGGGATTGAGAAAAAAACATGACTTATTAATAAAAGTTTTCATGTGCAGTGAATACCCCAGGAGATTTCCAGGGTTCCCATTTGATCAGGTTTTTTTACCAATCAGATTGCAGCACACACTCCCATTCGTTATAGGATTAGTTGTGATATTACAATTGATCTCAACAATGACAGTTACATCTACATAGCAGCAGCAACGTTATATTATACCTGTACATCTTGAATATTTACTTCACCTGAAGATCCGGGGTAGAATAGGTCATCACCAACCCATTGTTGTAAGAGGCGACTAACGGGATCGGGTGGTAAGGCTCACTGACTTGGTTGATGCATGTCATCATTTCCCAATTGCGTGGAATGATCCTTATGTCGACAATCACTGGGTTGTCTGGTCCAAACTCGATTTACAGACCACTGTCATATAGCTGGAATATTGCTGAGTGCAGCATTAAACAACAATCACAGAAAAAAATATTATATTTATGTGGGTTTATTGACAAAGATCACATAAAAAACATGGAATGAAAATGACGAGAAATATATCACAGATTTGGACTTGGTACAAAGCGCAAGTATCGAAGACAATTGCAAGGATTTATTAAGGCAATCTCAAATTCTCAATAGACGAAATAAAAATTTAGTTTTACAAAGGTGGCTTATTTATTATTGACGGTATAAATACTTATGTTTACATTGTTATAATGAATACAATGCTAAAATATCTGCAAAAGAAAAAAAGGACTTTAGTAAAGCTCCCAGTTTGGGGACAAATTAACAGCTGTTTCCCAATGTCCCTTCCACATGCCTTAAAAAGACGGATTCTTGTGCATCCTGACTTCTAAAAGCTCACGTAGGCTTGTCAACAGTGTCCGTTCTTGATGAGATTTTGCTGGATATATTGGCAAACTCTTCAACCACTGATATTGCGGTTTTCTTCGCTTCTCTGCTTGACATGATTTTCACACCTTCTGACCCAGGTAAACCCCGCCGTTTGGCATCTTGGTCCATCAGTTTCTGAACTTTCTTGTCAAGTTTTATGCATTCCTCGCGTGTCTTGCGCACACGCTCTATCATGAACTGCTCTTGTTGCTGTAAATCAACAAGAATTCACATTAAAGGTGCAACATTCAATTTATAATTCAAATATAATATCAGCTCTCATGTGAGAAAATAATTATTCTGCTGTGCTGAAGCCCATTTCTGTTTTTGATTTGGGAGAATTCCATAACAATGTTGACATAAATGCTCAACAAAAATGCTGGTCGGAACAAACATGCAAATAAACCTCAGGACCAGTAAATCTAAAACTGGTGGTCCAACTGGCTGGTGGTAAATATTCAATGTCAGTATCCCAAATCGTATTTGTGTTTGATGATTGGCTGGAGTTTTAGAGAAAATATACTTCAGATCCATCATAAAGTGTTAACCCTCTGGATACCGAGGTTTTTTTCTGAGGCACATTTTCCTAGGGGTTGCAGAAGCTATTAATTAAAACATAGACTAGTGTGTACAGAGGGCATGTCACCATCAAGGGAATTAGGTGCAGTGTGAAACCAAAAACATTAGCATGATCAGGGAGGAGCATAAATAAATGGCACATTTTCCGTATTCGACATAATTAGCACCCCGCTCTCAAAATTAGAAATGGGGGCTCTTATTAGAATGTTATTTTGGTGAAAAAAAAAGAGTTGACAGATAAATTTTGTGGTTTATGCTGACAGCCTGAAATGTTTATATACGACAAATATAGTTTCCAGAATTTAATTGCCCATAATTAAGGGTGCATATAACACACGTATGCGTATTATAAGCGAATAAATAAGTCTTGTGTACATTGATCAATCGAAAGGGGTGCTAATTGGGATTGTTCACTAGCCAATATATTAGCAAATATCACCGTGGGCGCTTATTAGAGTTGGGCGCTTATTACGTCGAATACGGTACTTTTAAAATGTTGGCAGGCCTCATTCGTGGTTTTTACACTTGTGGTTGAAGAGATTGTTGAAAAGGTATACAAGTACCAGGTAAGAGTCATATTCAGGGAGATGGCAATTTTTATATCGTCGGAAATCGTTTTTCGGACATCATACGTTTTCGAACGACCATTACTCGCGCTATAACAGGGTGTAGCATCACACAGACATCTTAAATAATCAGATGATGGCTTGTTTTTAAGAGATAGTTGTCTTTTGTAGTGAACGAGATGTTTTACAGTTGTTCATGTGATTGGAGAGAAATCTAAGAATGTTTCTTAAGCGTCCGAAAACCCATAACACGGGGATACAAAAACTCCCACAAGCACAAATTAATACATACATGTCTCTGCGATGCTCGTTGTATCAAGTGTTCAACAAAGTTTAACAAATAAATATACTTGTAATTAATCATATTACATTGTTCATATAGTCATTTCTTTGCATCGTACCTATTTCCTTAATATAAGGTCATTTACCTTTCTTCTAAGTTCAGCTTGAGTCTGTTTTTCTTCTATTTGTTCACGTGTAAGCGAGGGTTTGACGTTTACTCGTGTAAGTCGTTGTGGTGGTGGTCTCAGTTTTCGCTCGGGCTCGCCAAAGTCTAACTCAAATGCTTTTGGTTTATCCATTGCGTTTTTCAGTTCGTGTTGTCATGTCACCACCAGTCTATACTGACAAAAACACAGCGACATGCACGGCTGCAGCAACTACATCACATCGCCAGATGATGAGGATGTTTACATTGGACACCGTTTGTCTCTTGACGACAGCACTTCCGTTGAAGAGGCACGCGCTGACATGGAGTTACCTTCAAGTTACCTGAAACAAAACAAATAATGTTTGAAATTCAGCGTTAAAGATAATTAAAGCAGATGACGGTTTCATTGTTCGAAATCAATCACAAATATTTTCTATTAATATTCGGAATATTATTGTTACACAATTCGCATTAATGCCATACCGATGAAGTATATGGGATTTAAGAAAATATTACGCCTGAAACCAGTTGTTAAGAATATCTTATTATTTGGATTGACCTTCAGGAATCGTCTGCATGAAATTTATTTTAGATTTATGCACGTGGAAAGTAACGACGGATTCCGACGATCGTAATCGTGAAAGAGAACATGACATATTTAAACATACTTTGATAAGATATTTTGGTATGTGAAAACATATTTTATTTGTAGCGAGAATGTCGTATCTGCCATTTTTTCAGATAATGTAGCCTCCATTTACCATTTCATCTAGGTCCTCTGTTTTCGCGCAAGGACACTTTCTATGTAGTTTTAAGTACAGTTTGGCCATTGCCATGCAGACACACCAACTGACTGATATATTTATTATAGTCTTTCATACCAGTAAATTGTATCAAATTTGAAGCGTTAAACATAAAGAAGTAGGATTATCCTATAGACTGATATATTGATAAAATGTAAAAATAAATCATGTAGACCCACATGGGTTACCAAATGAACAAAGTATTGTTCTTGATTTATGTGTGGAATTAGTAATTAATTATGAAAATGGGGTAGAATGTACACTGTCACCCTCTATCACGTCTATTATCTAGTGTATTAGATCTCCATTATATGTTTAATAATACTTTATCATGCAGGTTTATTAAACATACATGTATAACCTATTTATGTAGAGAACTAGAATCTGTTTTGTGTGTTTACAGGGATGTATATTTGTATATGTAAATAAGTTGTAAAAATCGATGGACACTTTACTCTTTGGATACTTTTAGGCTAGTAGTGTTCCAGGTTCAAGACCGGCAAAATATTGTTTTCCTGAGAAATGGACTAATACAAGTCATGTTTTCTTGCAGGCTATGCCAATGAGGTAGGTGAATCTTTCCGTGCCCTGATCCACGTGAACTGGGTGCGGTTGTCCTACCTGACAGCATCTGGATATGTGGTGGCAGACTCCATACACAAGGGATACCTCACTTCACAGGTTAACCACACCACTATTTTGAATTTCCTTAAAGATTTGATTTAAATACCCAGTAGTTTGTTCTACTCATACAATTTTGGCAATAACTAACAGATGGACAATCCATATCTATAGGCAAAGTTGTTATTGAAATGGATAATGGTATTTATTCCTCAACTAGTGGTTGGAATGTGTGTTTTTAAAGCCGAAAGCCAGAGTTTGTTTTTTCACACATGTGTGGAACCCATTTTTGGTTTAGCTGTGATACTTAAAAGAAAGTGGCGTAATACCCTTCTCACTCATTCCTAGGGTAGAAGAACTGAGTTTCTGTTAATGTGTGTTATTGTTTTGAATATTTTGTATTTTCATTGAATTATGAACATGATAAGCAGTCACTTCTGCTTAAGGAACAACTATATAAATTTAATCTATATCTAGTCAATAGACCACCTTCTTGATCATGATTTCAATATCTTGATTTTATTAGACTGTACAGAGTTTTAGAACAAGAAGAATGTTCTTGTTGTAGGACCATAATTTATAAAAACTTGGGTATTAATTCACAATTAATACAACATTACATAATATGATTTTATTAAGGGTTAAAATATCGATTTTAGTCACTAGTCTGAAGCCTGAGTCTAGTAAAATTCTGTTAATACATGGTGTCCATATGAATACACTAAAATCTAATGAAAATGATGTCAAGATCCATGTTTGGGCAAGTAGACTCCAAAGTATTTGGCACAGACTGAACTATTAAACTATTTCAGAATTAAACATTATTACTGTTCTGCCTTCAGAAGTCCTTCAATAGTCCGCATGAAAAGAGAACTCAAGTTTCCGTGTCAGTGGGTGACACTTTGGTCTGGCAGGGTTTGGCATCCGTCGCTATTCCTGGTCTGACAATCAACAGAATCTGTGCCCTGTCTAACATCCTCTTGAAGAAAACTTCCAGCCTCCCATGCAGTGTGAGAAAATGGACAACCACAGGCATAGGACTAGTCTGCATCCCTTTCATCATTTCTCCGATAGACAGATCTGTCGATCACCTCATGGACAAAGTTATTCGACCCTATTATCCTGTATCAAGTGACCCACATAGTAACCATGAAGATTCGGAATCAGGATCTTGACCTTTTTCAAAATGAGACACTTCTGCATTTTATTGTGTATGAAAGAGGGACTTTGATTGTAGACGATGTTTGCATGATAATGGCAAAAAGAGGTAGATTTTAGAATTTGTATGATCCATGTGACCATTTGTGGCAGAGCTCCAGATAAGCTGCGTATCTGCGTGAAATACGCATCAGAAATGCAGAAATATGCAGTAAAAAAAAATCCAAGCATATCAAATAAGCAACGAACATTACAGATACGCTACAAAACTAAAACTTGTGCATATCATCAAAATATTGTGAAGTAACCCTGCGTATTCGATTAGCAAATCAGAGACTTATTTTGAAATTTAAACGGGCATTCCGTCAACCTTGCCAAACTCCACCATGACAGTTACATCATGATCATTTGCCATCACACTTTCTTGTGGAAGTATCGTGGTATTTTTGAGTCCTATAGAGCTCTCCAACCCATACGACACCAGTTTGCAGGGACTAGATGAATAGTGTTTTTAAATATTTAACTTAAATCATGTTAAATACCCACATCTGTAAAAACTAGTGGGTAACAGAAATTTGAATACCCAGATAGAATTACTGATACCCAATGATTTTAAAATGCATGGGTAAAATACCCACAACACCAAAAGTTTATCTGGAGCTCTGCATTTGTGGTACAGCATTTCCTGCAACATAGTAAGCAGTAGATGTCATGTAGATCGCAGTCATCTGATGTTAAACAAGAAACACTCTCCAACAATTATCCACAACATTTTCTTTATCTGTTTATGTGCAACATGATTCCAGTTAGTGAGGATTTAGTTGAGGATTGAAAGGCCACCATGTGTTGTGGATACTTGTTCACGCTGTCCTACTGGGTTGCTGTGTCTCGGTTACAGGGCACTTGTTGTGGACTTCAGACATGACCGTACTCTGTAACACATGGCCGGTCAGAAATAAAACAGAATCAACACCAGCCATATTTGGAAGTGTCTTGACAAAAATTGGCCTTTAATAGTTAAACTGTTCTTGCCAAGTATCTCTTAGACATAGGTTGACAGAAACTTCCATATCTTGCTAGGTGATAACCGCAGGTGCGTCCCGCTCGACCCATGTCCACTTCTGGTGTGATGATGTTCATTGTTAGCAGGGATTTATTTTGGGTTCTAAACTAAGTGCCCATGGCAGGCGAATTGGGCAAAAATGCAGGGATGTGTAATTCCTCGTTATTTTCATCGGTATCCATGCGACAGACATTTGTCTCCCTGATATCCCAGAATGTTAATGTAAGAGGTATTGCTATTTGTATATAAAGAAATTTGCCAGATTCTTGTAAAGCAGAAATATAATACCAAATATACAGGTGTATTTATTGATATATATTTTGTATTTAAAACTTACGTAATACTTCCACATACCACTATGGAATTATGTTTTATGACAACAAATTGTACTCTTGGCCTTGAAGACAGTTTATTCTTGGATACTGAATAAACTCTCTCTCTCTTTGTTGCTGACTGAGGTGTAAAACAACATTTACTTACCGATAGAATTTTATATGATCAAAGATTTGTAGAAATCTATTATATATACTCAGTCCATGTTTTTACTCAGATATATGTATATGTAGTATTTAAACATACACTGATGTCAGCAATGCATGCAGACCAGCAAACTACCCCCAAGAAGTATTCATGAAACGCCGTTGAAATGTTCTTGTTGCCACGTGGGGGGTATTTCTTCCTTTAGACAAGGTGGGAGTCAAGGGGTACAACTGCGTCTTCTCAAATACTTCATGCCAAAATTGAAAAAAATCAAGTTCTTAAGCCACAACAAATCAATATCTTGTTTATCTTTTTCCAAATCTGCAGAAATTATGGTTTTATGTTTTTCAACAATTTACACTATTTGGATGCAAAATTACTTCCAAGGCCAAAAATAACCTCAGGTTAGACTCAACGAAATGACAAACAAGTTCTTGGTATTTTTTGTGTCCCTTTCAGTTTAAATAATAACTCAGCTGATGCCCACTATGACCATTCAAATGAAAGGAAAATGTGTTGTTTCTTAATAATAACTTTTTTTTCATTTAGTTATTGGTAAATGAAGTTTGGTAGTGAAGTGTAACCTCAGGATTTGTTTCCACGTGATCTCAGGGTTTAATGATCTTTCGTTATCCTTTACAAACATCACCATGTAGATGATCTTTTGTGTCTGTCATCCTGCAGCGATTTATTTCCTTACAATAAAGTCAGTATATGTTTTTTCTGTATCATGTATTGCCAGTGTTGCTTTATTTCATTTCTTTCAACGATCATGGGAACACCGTGTCCAAAATGACTGCCTGCCCGCCTGCCCTAGGCAGTTACGAGGGATGGTCAATAAGTTCATAGAACATGGTATCTAAATGAACCCAGCAGAAGATTTGATGATTGTATCGTAATCTGGCATCTTTCATACTAGTGTCTACAAGAGTATAGGTAGTTACACCCATTAGTAATGTTACAGTACTTATTTGATGTGAGGTAACCTTGTTAAAATATGGATAGCTCCAAAACTGAGTATAGGGCTGTGATCAAATTTCTTACCAAAGAAGGAGTAAACGCTCGCACAATTCATGAGCGCATGGTTAATGTCTACAGTGAGGATGCTCCTCAATATTCCACCGTAGCAAAATGGGCTGCTGAGTTTAATCGCGGACGTACAATACTTGAAGATGACCCACGGTCTGGCAGACCAGCAGATGTCATCACAGATGAAATTGTGGCCAAAGTTCAAAATATAATTACGACTGATCGCCGCATCAAGGTGGATGAAATTGCCTCAGAGTGTGGTATTTCTCATGGAAGTGTTTGCAATATCATCCATGAACGTTTGCATATGTCTAAAGTGTCTGCCCGATGGGTACCCCGAAATCTGAATGCGCAAGATCGTCACCAACGAGTGGTATCAAGTCGAGAGCTCTTGGACATTTATAGGGCAGATCCAGAGAATTTTCATGCTCGCCTTGTGACTGGAGATGAAACCTGGATTCATCATTGGGATCCAGAAACCAAAAAGGATTCTAAGCAGTGGAAGAACAAGACATCTCCGCCGCCAAAGAAGTTTAAGACTCAGCCATCTGCTGGAAAGATCATGGCCACCGTTTTCTGGGATTCCAAGGGCGTCTTAATGATAGATTATAAGCCACCAAAGAAGACAAAAATCACTGGTGCTTACTGGGCAGATCTAATGAAGAAATTGCGAAATGCAATCAAAGAGAAACGGCGCGGGATGTTAACTGCTGGTGTTTTGCTCCTTCACGACAATGCACCTGCCCACAAGAGAAGAGTTGCGCAAGCCGCCATTCGTGAATGCAAGTTTGAACAATTGAATCAACCCCCATATAGTCCAGACCTGGAACCAAGTAACTATTATCTGTTTCGACATCTCAAGTCACACCTGCGTGGAACGAGATTCGCCAATGATGACGATCTCATTGCTGCTACAGAAGCTTGGTTTGGGGGGCAAGGAGAAGACTTCTATTTTCAGGGAATTGAGAGTCTACAGCATAAATGGGAAAAGTGTATTCAAGTGCATGGAGATTATATTGAAAAATAAAAACATGAAACCTCACTTACACCTTGTTTTTATATTGAGTTCTATGAACTTTTTGACCATCCCTCGTACCTTTGCTGTCAGGCTGAATGAAATTTTCCTCCACCTACTCAACTATCGGGCACATGATTTTAAGACTACTTATGCAATCAAGACTTGATTTGTCTCTTAGTTTTTGTGATAGTTCAGTATTTATAATGCCTGTGCGGGCAGTTAATTTTGAAGATGGGCAGGCAACACTTTCGGTCATCAACCTGACTGTGTTGTTGGGTTTAAAATTATTTCAAACACTTTTTGAACATGGATGGCCAATGATCTTTTTGTTTGTTTGTTTGCCTCACTCAGCAACATTCCAGTTAGTTCACCGTGTTCTGTAAACAATCCAATCTGGACCTGGCAATCCAGTGATTGATATCATGAGTATACCATACCATAACAGCCGAGTTAGTGAGTCTGATCACCCGATCACGTTTGTCACCTTTTATGACAAGCATGGGTTGCTGAAGTATTCTAACTGTGATCTTCACGGCAGCCCATCTTCCCAAGCCAAGAGAGTTAACTGACTATTAAAGTCTAGTTTCCACCCTTACCCAACTTGGTTTTGTTTTCACTGGACTAACTAGTCTATGCAAAATCGCGTAACAAAATCGACAACTGATTCGTAAAACTTTTTTTTGTTTTAATCAAAGTGCTGACGTGAAGACAATCCACGCAATTGGGATCGATGACATGCATCAACCAAGTCAGCGAGCCTGACCACCCGATCCCGTTAGTCGCCTCTGACGACAAGCATAGTCGCCTTTTACGCCAAGCATGGGTTGGTGAAGACCTATTCTACCTCGGATCTTCACAGGTCTGATGTGGGAGTGAGTTCGGTTCCTCGCTTGAGAAGGGTTTCAGTTGCATCACGGCGTATCAGGTTCATCCAGATGCCCGTGTAACGCAGATCATATATAGGCGCTTACCACTTTGTAAAAACCCACGGGTATGATGGTGCTGACAGACCAGAATCGGGGTAAAGCTGGGATTTATCGTAATTATGTTACATGACAACAAATTGTACCCTTGGCCTTGAAGCTTGAGGGGATACTGAATAAACTGTCTCTCTGTGTGTTTCTGACTGAGGCATATAACAACATTGACTTACCGATAGAATTTTATATGCTCAAAGTTTTGTAGAAATCTATTATACATACTCAGTCCATGTTTTTACATAGAATTCTGGCACGCCTGAGAAACACAACTCCGTACAGCGCCTAAGGGACGGAGTCATTTATGGAATATCTGAAGTTAAAACTGCTTCGGCCCATCTCTTCCCTGTACAGTTCGTCAAACATCTCACTCTGGCCCACAGTGAAGTGATTCTTCCAGTCTCCCACTTCACCTGCCCAAATGACACACGGTAGTATAACAATATATTCTGATAGTAAGAAATAGATGCTTATCAACAGATTGAACAGAACCATGACTCCCCCCACATGCGTACTGGGGGATAGGCTCGTCTTGTGGTGATACTGTCTTCTCGTCATACTGAAGGCACGGCTATAACGAACTCAAAGGGAGCTCTTATTCTAGTTCGTTATAACCCTAGTTCGTTATAAGCATGTATACAGTATATGTACAGCAAATTGCCGGGACCAAAAAAGACAGTTTGTTATAACCGTGTTCGTTATAAACGTAGTTTAGTGTGTTTGCCAACATAAAGCAATGGACGTATGCAGATAATTCATTCAGACCTGCAAATATTAAATGGGCGATCCCTTATGCTCCCTTGTTGCTTCCTCGTCTTACCAACACATACGTCGCCTCAAGGTGTGAGGAAACCGGTTGGGATTCCGGGTAGGAATATGGTCCCAGGCAGCCAATACTTGTTTGGTTTGAGATAAGTATTGTTTTAAAGCTTAGGAGCTCAATTATTTTGTCTCACATTAACTGGTGCTCAATGTTTTATTTTTAAATATATTAAGATAACGAATTAAATGGATCAGGTGCCAGGCCGCGTGACTTGTTTGTTAGGATGTCATCCTATCTCACCCTTGGGCACGCCAGAAACCTATGATTGTAGGTTCGAATCCCGGTTCGCCCCGATGATGTTTCTAGGTTTGTCAGCACCATGCCCGTGCTCGTGGGTTTCACCGAAGTGGTAAACGTCTGAGACCTGCATCACTTCGGGCTTTCCTCCCACATTAAGCTGACACGCCGTGATATGACTGGAATACTGTTAAAATTCGGCGTTAAACCAAACTCAATCACTAACTCATCATATCTCAACTACGTGGATCGATTCTCGTGATGTCATTCACAATATATTGTCTCGTCCAGACTCGATTATTTACAGACAGTGCACAGAAAGCTGGAATATTGCTGAGTGCAGAATTAAACAACAAACAAACACACACAAAGATTGTTTTAGGAGTTGGGTTCCACCTTTCCTGTACACTATTGAAGTTCCACCGTGTTCCTTGAGTAGTCTCCCCTTGGTGGCCTGCATATGACTGAAGCTTGTCCTTTCCGCCACTGTCTCGTAGAACTCCTCCGATCTCTCAACCCCTAGAAACTCCGCCATCTTCCTGATCACTGACAAAGAGTCCTGAAAGGAAAGACGTTTCAGGTAAAACGTTCTGAAAAGAGGGTGCCGACACCTTTTTGGTACACCGGATGCCGAACGCTGGATACCATGAAATGTTAATCTGGTTCCGTATGCCAACGTTCTTAAGAATTTTGTTGGTGTCTGTGTTTCTTGCAAAGAGTGACACATCAATATAATATGAAGCTCTAATTTAAGCTTTTGATCATCCATGGTCATGCATTCTATGTGACAATCTCGTACTAAAATGCTTGTTCCAGCTGTATGCACTGATGTGACTCAGGAGATCTTTTGAAAATTGGATGCCAAGACAAATTCAAAATTGAAAAAATTAAACCATCAAAAATCCTGTCTGATCACAAGACGAAGTGACAACGGAGATAATTGTACCTCTTTCAAATCCTCGTAAATGACGGTCAAGAACGGTAACTCTGGATGGTTCTTCATCTCTTTCTCCCAATTCTGCATGTACGTGAACCAAGAGCCAAAGTCAACTGCAAGATGAAGGACACTGTTTGTTACAATCCGGCCATGTACGGAGCTCAGCAACCAAAAATGGGCTGCCAGTAAAAGAATCGTGTGCGAAATACGTATCATGTCGGAAAGCGCACGTAAAATCTCTCAAAATAAAAGAAGAAAAAAAAGGGAATCATCTCAGTTGGTCAACAACCTCCAACCGGTGCTCATCGTTGCGAAGCCATCAGAAGAAGCCGATCCCCAGGGTAAAGATAGGATTGGTTGGTTGGTTGGTTTGTTGTTTTACGCCGCACTCAGCAATATTCCAGCTATGTGACGGCGGTCTGGAAAATAATGGAGTCTGGACCAGACAATCCAGTGATTGACATCATGAGCATCGATCCGCGCAATTGGGATACACAATCTCATTAAAATCAGATCTTAGTTTTCGCTACCGCTTAACAGAGATCTGAGGACATCCCATTACGGGTCACGTCAGAACGACCTTTCGCGATCAATGAAATGACTGTCAAGAAATCGACATTAGCAAATCAGATGGCATCTTTTTCGAGCTTTACGACACTAGTTCCAAACTGGCGACTACGCTTCGAAACATATTTTGACGTATTCTCGATTAAAAAATTTAAAACTGATACAAAGAACATTCTGGAATGGTTTACAGATGGCCTAGATATTGTATCAATATAATCATAAAACCCGTAACTCTCGTTCCGAATACCCTCTTAGTCTGTAAATATTTCGAGGTTGCATGATTAGGAAACAAATTCCGTCTGTCACTTTAATGATCTGGTAAGCGACGTTCTGATTGGTTGGATGACAGGTCGTTCTGACGTGACCCGTAATGGGATGGCCTCAGATCTTTTTGCTTAGCGATAGCGAGAACTAAGATCTATTTCAATGAGATTGTTGGGATACGATGACATGCATCAACCAAGTCAGTAAGTCTGACCACCCGATCCCGTTAGTCGCCTTTTACGACAAGCACAGTCGCCTTTTACAGCGACTATGGGTTGCTGAATACCTATTCTACCCCGGACCTCTCTTTGACCCCTCTTTAAACCTGTTCTGGAAAAAGGTGAGATCTATGCATCCTGATACACATCCAGATGTCCTATCAACTACGTGTGGATGAAGCCCATTGTCAAAGATATTATAGTTCAGGTGGAATTGTCTGAGTCTGAAGACTGTCAGTGATCCAGCCAATGAGGATCATAGTGACCAAGATAGACCCTGAATAATGTTCTGTGTATTGTGCATTTGACTGTAAGGTGCTATCAAGAAATGTCTCCGTCACTAGTATCATATATATATGGTGGAAATAAATATTATAATTGTATTCATGCCTTCAAGTTTATTGACTGAGTGGCAGGTGGCAGGTTAAATATATCTGGAGATATACGTGTGTGAGACACCTATGCTAAGTCTATCTCCCACCTAACACACAGGGACGGTTCACCACTCCTTGCATTTGCGACTTAAAAAGTAGTTTCGTGTTTGCAAAATCTTAAACAATATAAACAAAAGTATTAAAAAATATTAAGGGTCACAAAAAATCTTTATCATACATTTAGATATGATTATATACAAAATCAACTAAAAAAAAAATCTTAAAAACTAGGAAACCGCTGTTGGAAGCGAAAGAATACACGCTAGTCAAGTAACAAAAATGGCACTTTGTAAACATGGTGAAACGAACAGTCTCGATTAGGTGATTGAGAAATTTACAGTTTATAACGAAACATTTTCGAGAGAATAACAAACGGCAAGAAGTGATATTAACTCCATAAAAGACCATTATTTTGCCTTGTCAGTGTGGAACTAACGTAAAAAGGACGTCAACAGTTTGTGTACGAGCTAGATACTTACGATGAAAGGAGACAATTCAAGGGGAGGTTACTCTTGTATGACAATAGTTCAGTCAAAATGTTCTGTTCACTGCAGTGACATTTCAAGTGTATGTTCACTGCAATGAAAATATCACTTTTCTCAACTTCAGAAAACTCTTTCACACTGAAATATATGATAAATATTTACACTATCAGCTTACTTTAAGTTTGTTTTAATAATAATTATAAAAAATCCAAAGCTTATCGAACTAACTAGACAGTCCAGCTACGTGACCTGGTTTTACTTTCTGTTTACTTAAGCTTTACACTGTGCACACTCCCCCGAGAGACAGGACTTTGTTATGGTCATAGCTCAGGGCTTTCCCCAGTATTGCACCATACCTCGCAATAGCTACAATTTTACCGCGACGTTAACCCCTACGCGATACTCATTGACCAATCAGAACACTCGTGCCGGAAAAATCTATTTATAAGTGATGCTAAACTCTCCTTTCTTCTTCACATGTCAATGGACTTGTGTTCATAAACATGTCTTCACGCAATATTGTCTTTGACTATTTCAACAGATGCACACAATTTGACGTATTACCTTTCAAAGTGGTGATCCTTAGCAAACCTTGAGTAGTATACCATCTTAACAGTGGGATCGGCGGGATCACAGTTCGTTTTAATTGTGTATTCCCTTAGTCAACGAGCTTCAATCGACACATAATGTGAGTATAACTGTTAGTTACCTTTGCCTTCCAGAAATAAGGGGAGATAATTCTCCCACGTTCCTTCATATTGATAGTACATCGGTAGATTCTTATGGTGTTGGTAGAACGAGACTGCCACATCTTTCGGGTTCCTGACAAGGGAGATAATTTTACATTTCTTCTCTAGCACTACCCGCGGCAGCTGATGGAACAGCACGTGCATATTCAAAATTCGCGGCGATGGAAACTTCTCCATGACGTCATTTGCTACGAACTCCAGGTGGAGCTCATCCTTCTCTCGTATTTCCCCGTCTGTATTTCCCGCCAGCAGTAAGCGGGTTATTTCCCACAGCCAGTGTGTGCCTGTGAATGAGAGCCAATCTTGGGAGATTATATACAGCGGATATTACCGAAAAGAGTGCAATATATTTCCGATATATAGAGAATCTCACCAGAGTGTCTTTTGATATCAAATATATCAACACGAGTTGATAAAAGTGGAAAAATTCCGAGGCTTGCCGTGGATTTTTGCCACTTTTATCAACGAGTGTTGATATATTTGATATCAAAAGACACGAGGGTGAGATTTTATTTATCATCCAACATCATTCTTTTAACTATTTCAAATTGTAGACAGTAATTAGCAGTGTCTTCAGTGTAAAAAGTACTGCAAACAGCTTCAGTAGCAGAGCCATTAGTGATGTCATTTGATTGTGACGTCATTGTAACCAGTGACGTCACAATGGTCTGCAAAGCATTGTGATGTAATTTCATTGCAGCGATACCTACAGTGTAGATATCGCTTGAACTCATCCAAGCGATATCTCCTGTGGGAGCCAGTTTTGGATGATAAATCTAGCTTTACTCTTAGGCTATTCTCAGTGCTGATTAGTCAGCTTACTAGTTAAAACAACACGACATGACGTCATCCACTGTTCATGACGTCACATATTGATAACATTACGTAATCGGAACAATGGGCTGACCAGTGAAGTTGCTGTTTTTTCTTTCTTAAAATGACAATGATGTTTGTTTGTTGTTTAACGTCGCACTCAGCAATATTCCAGCTATATCTGTAAATAGTCGAGTCTGGACCAGACAATCCAGTGATTCACATCAAGAGCATCGATCCACGCAATTGAGTTACGATGACATGCATCAACCGAGTCAGCGAGCCTGACGACCCGATCCCGTTAGTCGCCTCTTACGACAAACATAGTCGCCCTTTAAGGCAAGCATGGGTTGCTGAAAAATGGAAAAAAACGACCATAAGGACACAAAAAGTGCATGATTGAAGGTGGTGGAAAAAAAACCTACACAAAACACACGCCTAAACGCAACCAGTGGTTTATCGCATGCACCTGTAAGACATGTATGACAATTAACAGTCAGTGTGGGAATAAAATGGTTCTTTGCAGAAGGAACTGAACTGCACTCTTTGAAGTTGAAAATGCGACGCTCCATCTCTCATTATCTTTGTGACCCCAAAATAATGACGCTAACTATATATATATGTTACAAGTACACACCCAATGACGGAATATGCTGACAGTCCTTTCTCTGTGAAGCTTTCATAAAATATAACGTGGAAATTCAAAAATATAAGTAAATATAAGTACATAAAATGTAGTTCCCGTATAGCATTTAAGTCTTAGACGATTAAATTAGAGAAAAGTGATAATGTTCCCTCCCAAACAATCTCTCCCCTGTCATATTTACCACTTTTAGGGTATGCGCAAATCAATACGTCATCATCTCTGATCATGACGTCACGTATACCCCTGATGACGTCAGCAGATGAGTTTGGGTAATAATGGCCGTCCACTTCCAGCAGTGTCAGAGTGCTTCCCCCTCCATCCGGGATCTTCACTGTCGTCATCTTTAGCTGAAATATGCCTGCAGCCTCTGAGAATGTTTTTGGGACAATCAGACCAAAGAGGTGATCTGTTTATACATCCTACCTTCCTCCTCATACCTACGAAATAAACAACGACCACGAGTCGTTTATTTCTTATATGATATATCGACATTATATACAGTCTCTTTAAGGATGTTTATTAAATATAAAAGCTTTAAAACTATTTACCAAAATTTTAATAATGATGACTCCCTGAACAGAACCGACCTCGGAAATGTCGGACAAGTCCATTTTACGAACAGGTGGGCTAGGTTTGGTATTTCCCGCACATTATCGCAATCCTCACGTCCATTATCTGTACCTTTTCTCCTAATACCAATTGTTATAACTCTCCCACTTCTGGATGCGATCGTTCGGCAATTGCGTTCATCTGCACTGTCCAGCTACATCTATGGGGAACGTGACTCACCATATACACTTCCCTCTAAAAAATAACGTCGTCCAATTTGCGACGTCATCAAGTTACGAGCGCATGTTCGAATCTCCAGGTAGCTAGCTATCTTATATCGCTGGATAAAATACAGTCGGCGCCTCTTATCTTTTAGCGAAGCGTCTTAGAAGTATAAATAGCAAAATAAGTATTATCAAACCTACTTATTGCCCAGTTTATCGATGGTCAAATGAGTGTAATGTTTTCTTCACTGTATTTGTGCAAGGAATCGCTTTTAATCCAGATATTGAACTTGCTTAGTGATAAAAGCGTTAGTGCGCCACGCCGAAGTGAGTGAGTGAGTTGTGTTTTAACGCCGCATTTAACAGTATTCCAGTTATATCAGCTTAACGTGGGAGAAAAGTGATGCAGGACTCAGACGTTTACCACTTCAGTGAAACCAACGAGCACGGGTATGGTGCTGACAAACCTAGAAACATAATCGGGGCGAACCAGGATTCGAACCCACAACCATAGGTTTCTGGTATCTCCAAGGGACGCAACTCCGCACATCGAATCGCGGCGCATTAGACGACTTCGCCACCCGTGCCCCCGCCACGCCCAAGACTCAGGTTCGATTCCCATCAGGTGTCCACCTGCCTCAGCTGAAGTTCTTCTTTTGCATCAGCAGAAGTAGAAGTAGAAGTTGCTTTTGTTTGTTTGTTTAACGCCGTACTATATGACGATGGTCTGGCAATAATTCAGTCTTGACCAGACAATCCAATGATTAACATCATGCGCATTTAGTTAAGTCCTGACATAAAGTTTCATCCTGACCTTGACCGCCTCCGAGGTCTAGTGGTAGAGCATCCGCCCGGAGAGCGGAAGGTCCGGGGTTCGACCCCCGGCCCCGTCATACCAAAAGACGTTAATAGATGGTACTTGTTGTTCCCTGTCTGGCGCTCGGCAGCAAGGGGCTAAAACAAGGACTGGTCGGCTCGGAGTCAGTATACTGTGTCTGAGTGGGGTATTCATGTTAACTGCGGCATGGTATCTCAGTGGGCTAGCACTATAAATCGGCATCCAAGCAGCCACACACACACACACACACACACACACACACACACACACACACACACACACACACGTCGCTATATAGGTGCAATAATCTTGGACGCGACGTTAATCCCATTTCACCTCACCTCACTTCATCCTGACCTTTGATCTAGGCCCAGAAACCTCCCTTATGCAGTTTCAGTATTTTTCCCTTCCCTCTATTGAAATTAATCTCAAATGTCAATGAACAGTGTGCTGTCAACACAGTCACGACGCGACCTGCAGAGCGGCCTACCTCGGTGGTGTAATTGAAGTGTGTACTCACCAGGAGTGTTGCAGCAGGACTTAGGTCGCATCGACCTGATAATAAATGACCTAAATACTAACCGGTGTACAAGAGGTTTAGGGTCTCATGTAAAATATCATCCTCGAGTAGCTTGTAGTTCCATTCAATAATATAAGGGTAACGCTATTTTTCAGGGCATTATCATTTGCATAAGCCCGAGGTCTTCCATTAACAGTTGAAAAGGCCGACGTCATCGAATAATTGACGACATCTTTTATTTTGATAAACTTTCCATGAGGTTGCATAAAAAGCTCCGCGGACTGATATGGGTCATCATCAGGCTTGCGGTCTGGTATGGCTTATCAAGCCTGGAGCCTGATATGGATAATGACGTTTCTTTATTATCGGGGTCGCAAAAAATACGTATCTAGACTACCCGTGAAGATCCGGGGAAGAAGGGTGGTCAGGCTCGCTGACTTGGTTGAAACATGTCATCGTATCCCAACTGCGTGGACCGATGCTCGTGATGTCAATCACTGAAGCCGTCATATAGATGAAATATTGCTGAGTGCGGCGTTAAACAACAAACGAACAAACAAACAAACAAAAACACATCAAGACTGATACAGTAACTCATATTGTCAGGCATGTACGGTTTAATAACCAGCTTAATCATGCCTCAAAACCACCATTCAGATCAAGAACCGCTGATGTAAGGCTTGTGTCACTATTACTTCAGTACACCCTTAAAGTTTGAGAGAACCTGGTCCCGACGGTGATATACTTTTTTCAGTTTGGAGTCCACTAATTGTGAATAAAGACATTCTTCTTCACTTCATTTACCATTTTATATATTCCTATGTTTTTTTCCAGTTACATCAATTATTATTTGTCCAGGTTCCACAAAACAGATTCTCCAAAAATCTCATGCCTGATTATCAGGTATAAAGCGGTTTCATTGTTAAGCTTTCCAAGTTAATGGCAACGTATACTATGCATGGGTCCATGTCCACAAAGCGATCTTAGGGCTACGATTGTCTATATGAAGTATGGGAGTTACAAACCCCTTACCGCTACGACCGCTTTGTGGAGCGGGGACCACACTCTGGTGCAGTGATGTCTTAGCATTTCACTATTAGGGTTGCCGCATGGAATTCTGGGTAAGAGCGTGGAACGGGACCCAGAAAGAACAGAGTTCACATTTTGACCTTGACATTTCAAACAGACCTAGCAACGGACAGGGTTGCTAGTCGTCTCCTCTGACGTCCGCGTTTGATCTATTAAAAGCAGCAGCTTCGCTTCATGTCACTGTTCAACAACAACAACGTCACAACTATTGTTACGTCATACCATTGTTACTGAAGGTCGAGAGGTATGTTTCGCAGCTAAAGACGGTATGTAGACATCTCCTGATGGTTTCAATTTTAAATACCGAATAGTTTTCATAACTGGCAAACAACACTAACATGCCCATTCGTTCATTGTTCGATACAGTGTTAATGTTATTATTTTTTCTTCAGATAGGCAGGAATTGATAGACCTATGGGACTATCTCCTCCACTGAAATGTCGACCCTGAACTTGTCACACACGTAGTTAATGTTTGCTATTTATATATTATTCACTTCCAAGTCAGTCTCCACCAGATTTGTTTGTTTCTTACATAAAGAATGGTATCAGTTTTATACAGCAAGACTTCCCTTAAATATTCAGCAACCCGTGCTTGTCGTAAGAAGCGACTAACGGGATCGGGTGGTCAGGCTCGCTGACTTGGTTGATTCATGTCATCGTATGTCATTTACGTAAATCATGGTGTCAATCACTGGATTGTCTGGTCCAGACTCGATTATTTATATACAGACCGCCATCATATAGCTGGGATATTGACGTGTGCAGCTTTAAACAACATATAAATCAATTAGTTTAGTTTGAGTTTAGTTTAACATATTTTATTCTCATGAAAAGGATTGGGCACAAGTTATCACAACTTAGAACGCCCTCTCCCATAGATTTACATGTATGCTTATTTACAGTTAATAAATCAAATGTCAGAAAGGAAAGGAAAGAGATAGAGCAACGTATGTACATTGATAAATCATTATAAATCAATGAAAGACCACAAGCTGGGTGGATGGTACAGGCTGTGGACTTGTTGTAGTTGATTCTCTAGTTTGACCGTAAAAGACGCAATCTCATTAAAATAATATTTTAATTATATTGAAAAAAGAATCTTGCCTCGCATCTGTGTTGGAAGGATCTAAAACTTAGAAATAAATCTTGTTATGTTTGTATGTCATTAAAATCATTATTGTTTTTTTTTCTGTGAAAAATACAAGTTATATAAGTTGGTATTAAATAGTTACATGTATTTGTCACATTTTTGTCATTTTTTATATAATAATTGATGCTAACTCACAAGCCAAACGAATTGGAAATAATTATAATCACTGACATTCTTTCGCCGAGGTTGTGTCATGTAATTATATACCAGACTGTATTTAAACAAAGAATATTTCTTTGAGAAATAGACACAACAATAACACGAAAAGCTCATTGCATTTTACTCAGAGAAACATTGTTTTTTAAGACTGAAATGAAAACAACCCTTATTCCGTTTTCGTCGGGTTGAGTATTTATTAACAATTCCTTTCCTTATTTCATCTTCAGCACGATTTTTTTAAGTATGAGCTTTTTCATCTGAATAGTAGACAACCGCGTCCTACCATGGTACGTATAAAAAGTATTCCCTTTATTCACTTCTAAATCTTGCAGTGGAATATCGAGCCGCCATTCAGTTCATCATGTCACATATGTTTGTCTAGGTGCGGTTGTGAGTCGATCTCATTAAAATCAGATCTTAGTTCTCGCTACCGCTAAACAAAGATCTGAGGACATCCCATTACGGGTCACACCAGACCGACCTTGCGCGAACTTTGACCGACCAATGGAATGACTGACAAGAAGTCGACATCAGCCAATCAGAAAGGAGCTTTCTCGTGCTTTACGGCACTAATTTCAAATTGGCGACCATGCTTCGAAATACATTTTGAGAAATTCTCGATTATAAATTGAAACCTGAACATAAGAACATTCTGGAATGGCTAATAGATGGCCTAGATCGTATGGATTCAGTCGTTGAGCCCGTAACTATCGTTCGGAATACTCCGTGTTTAGAAATCACATTCCGACTGTCACTTTCATGATCTGGTAAGCGACGCTCTGATTGGTCGGATGAGAGGTCGGTCTGACGTGACCCGCAATGGGATGTCCTCAGATCTTTGTTTAGCGGTAGCGAGAACTAAGATATGATTTTAATGAGATTGGGTTGTGAGTGCGTGTGTATGCATGCGTGTTTTGTCACAGAAATAACAATCACACAACACAGAAGTAAGGTTTGGACAATTCTTTACACTTTAAATGTAACAAGTTGCATGACCAAGAATCTTGTCAACATGACATTTCAATCAAGAAGTCATGAATCCTTCATTAAAAGACAAACTATATCGTAAAATCTTAAGACAACTGACGTGAACACATCGATTAGCACCTTGAACAATGTTCACTGTCCGTGAATCTGTGGTAAACATGACGGAAATACGCGGCATTTAACAACATGTTGGTCATGATTATTTTACTCTGGATTATCCAACGCAGCCAGACGGCCACGCTAGGGTTATCCCCCAGGCTGTAACATGCTGTGTATGGCCGGTCGCACCATCATTTTAGTATCAGATCAGTGGAATATAAAGGATAATACGTGGTCAATACACTCCGTAACTAACGAATAATTGTAATTTATACACCACCGATGTGGCAGATTTAGATCATAGCTTCAACGTAACTTAACGTAACTAACGCATTCTACAGAAGTAGTCCCTATATATACGGAGTCCAGTGGCAGATACTTCACTCTGCCACGAATAAAGACTTAAAGGGACTCAGAAGCCTTCTCTCTGTTTTAAAGGTAATAGCCGAGTAATCAGCTCTACCAAGTTAATTCCCCCACTATCTTGGTCATTGTGACGTAGCAAACGGGACCACGCCCACACAAGGCAAAACTGTCCCAAATACAATCTACGTCAGTTTCATAAGTGAGTGAGATAATGATGTTTAACGCCGCAGTCAGCACTATTCCAGCTACAGGACTGCATATGATTGAGTTACGGCCTGGCAAACCAATGGCTGACGGCATGAGCACCGTCTAATGTGGAGCAGTTCGATGAAAAAAGGCCGCGCAACATGGCCTGACTACCCAATCTTCACCTTTGACGACTCTGGCGTTAGGCAACAGGACATTAAACTACGTTTATAACGAACACGCTTATAACGAACTGACGGATATAACGAACTTATTTATTTTGTCCCGACCATTTGCTGTACATATTCTGTATATGCTTATAACGAACTACGGTTATAACGAACTAAAATTAATGGTCCCGTTGAGTTCGTTATATTCGTAGTTAACTGTATTTCAAACGCTTGCTAAATGGAATGTTAATTAGATATGCGTTTATGAATATTCGTGGTATACTGCTTCCGGTAAGTCAAAGCTATAGAACATTATACAAAACCAAATTTTGCTGGTTTGTTTATGTGAGTTGTGTTTTACGCCGTTTTTAACAATGTTCCAGCAAAAACACGGCGGGGGACACCAGAAAGGGGTTTCACATATTGAACACATTTGGGGAATCGAACCCGGGTGTTTGGCTTCAATGAATATCTGGTATATACATTTTAACATATACATTATACACTCATCCGTTATATTGACACCAGCTATACTTATATATACTTATAGATAAATGGATTTAACGTGGATGTTTAACTACAAAAGGATATCCATTGTACTCACACCATCACCAACACTAAAGCACTAGATATTCCAATGAACTTCATATTTAGCACACATCTCAAATCTTATTTTCGAAATATGTTAAATAGAAGTGCAGGCATACTTATCAAATATTAACATTTTCCCTGCTTAATGCATTATAAATATCAGTTATCTGTAGTAAGATACCTTAACGACGTGACATTCCTATGTAAGAATTCGACTCTTACTGCAGCGTGTATCTAAAGTTTATGTCACAATCAGCCATGTTCTTCTTGTATGCTCTGTCAAATATCTCGTTCTTGGCCACTGTGAAATAATTCTTCCAGTCGCCAACTTCACCTGAAAGACGGAAAAAGAAAACAGAATCTCACTGAATAAATATATGTTTGTACTGGGAGGAGAATAATGTATCCAACATATTTAGGCAATTATCAGATTGGATTTTGATTTCTCGCAGCAAAATAATTTTTTTACTATAAAACAACATATTGCATCCCGTTAGTCGCCCCTTATTACAAGCATGGGTTGCTGAAGACCAATTCTAACCCGGATCTTCACCGGTCTATACTATTATGTACTCAGAATGTTAATCTGTATAGCAATAATGTGTGATAATACAGTCCAACAATAACCGACCACGAAAATGACGAATGGTAACAAGGTTCATATACTCCCCCCACACAAAAGAAACACAAAAACACATTAATGAATTCGTTGTATGGATCAACGTAAAACGGTCGTATGATCCCAATGCACGTACGGCAGTTGACTCCAGTCAAGGCCATCTGCAGAACGTTTGTGCCCACCCTGTGAGTCACGAGCTTCCTGACATCTGCCCATGGAAGGAATGGTTGTACTGTTATATGGCAGAGTAATTCATTGTTAATTGTACAGTAAACTACGGTTATAACGAACACGCACATAACGAACTGACTGATAAAACGAACTTATTTTTCAGTCCCGACCATTTGTTGTATAAATGTCGTATATATGCTTATAACGTACTACGGTTATTACGAACTAAAATTAGTGGTCCCTTCGAGTTCGTTATAACCGTAGTTTACTGTATTGCATTGTTTTTTGTTGAGATTCAGTAGAAGTTCAAAAGATTGTGTTTTGGCATTGATTAGTTGTCAAGAATGTAGTACTGTCTAATGTAAGCAGTGGTGTTGAAGTTACTATATGTAGATGTTTTTTGAACTGAAGTGCGATCTAGAATGTTCTAGAACCGCTAAACTAATCCAGCACTTTATAGAAACGTCTAGGAGGCATTTAGACTATATAAAGGGGCAAGGGAGTGCCTCTCTCATTTCACATTACATAAAGGTGAGGTGAGGTGAAATTGGGTTTAACGTCGCGTCCAAGATTATTGCACTTATATAGCGACGTGCATGCACGTGTATGTGTGTGGCTGCTTGTACTAGTCCGGACTGATGCCGATTTATAGTGCTAGCTCACTGAGATACCATGCCGCAGTTTAACATGAATACCCCACTCAGACACAGTATACTGACTCCGAGCCGACCAGTCCTTGTTTTAGCCCCTTAATGCCGAGCGCCAGACAGGGTAACAACAAGTACAATCTTTTAACGTCTTTTTGTATGACGCGGCCCGGGATCGAACCCTGGACCTTCCGCTCTCCGGGCGGACGCTCTACCACTAGACCACGGAGGCGGTCCATTACATAAAGACCAGCATTGTAGTCACCCTGGATATCCAACCTAGGCCTATTGTGGAAGCTAGATCACTGTTGCTCCTAGGTGAATGATACTACTACTGCTATCATATTTCATATTGCCATTGTATGTGTACTGCTATTGAATTTTGTACTGTCATTCTATTGTGTACTGCCATTGTAATTGATGTGCAGTATTTGTATTGATTCGTAAACCGAGTTAATTAAATAATACAATTGGTAATTGTATACGACTTCTTTGTTGTTTGTTGGTTTCACACTGCATTCCTTCACGCCAAGATTTCTGGACGAACTTATTGTTTCAATTTGGAAGTCGACACGTAACTGTACGAATCAGACACTAGGGAAGTGCCTGTTGGTGCCAGCTGTGGCAGTTTGCGGCTGTGACTGACGCTGTCACAGCCATCCATCCAACTCATTCCATAAATGTCCAGGACTTGAATGTTGTTAGGTATGTCGATGTTAGTTGCGCTGTGTGTGGTCTGGCATTATCGTGCTGGAATACGGAGTTGGTTTTCTGCATATTAGGAGTGACGTATGGTAGAACTTCATCTTGGTATCTTTGTGCAGTTAAATAATGATGATTTTAAATAATTATACGTAATTATACTTATACATCTTCCCGAGGCAAGTGAGTTAACTGACTATAAAAGTCCAGTTTCCACACTTGCCGAACTGGGCTGGTATTATGGAGTCTAGGCATAGTCCAATCAATATCGCGCACCGAAATCGAAATCCGGTTCGTAAACTGTCATGCACATTTCGGTCGATTGCAGGATTTGCAAAGCATGTGCACCGTTAACTCGTTGTCAACATATATTTTCTAAATCTTTTCATGTTTTTAATCAAGGTGGTCACGTGATTTGATGCACTTCGCGATGTAAGACTCGTTTTATCACAATATAGATCTTGATTATCAATCAGATCGTCTTGACTGGGCGCCAGCGTGTTGTTTGAAGCAAATGCAAGTGATACGAGAGGTTGAATCTGATTGGTCAATAGGAGAGGAATAGAAAGGACATAACTCGTAACAACCACTGATGGCGCTACGATCGAGCCCAGTAATTCCAGCCTAGTTCGGCAAGGGTGGAAACTGGACTTTTAAAGTCAGTTAACTCTCTTGCCTCGGGAAGATGTACTTATATTGCGCTAGCCTAAAAACACTCGGTGGATGCTCAAAGCGCTACATTATTACACCGGTCATTGGACCAGTGTGCTCGTGATTTTTATTCTCAGCTTCCTGGGGAGTATACAGTTATGTTGCTCTGAACGTGAACCAGGATGGTCCTGCCATTGTGCGAGATATCTGCCCACATCATCACGCTACCTCCACCGGATCTTTTGTTTTCCTTTATGCAGTTTAGCGCCAAACGTGGATTCGACACCACTGAGATCATAGCAGACAATGTTGGTCCGTCAAAGTGACACCTCGAACAGATTGACCTGTCTCACGTAGGCAGATCCTCGCAGTCTGGGACTGATATATGACATCTATCTGATGTAGCGGTCCTGGGCTATGGTTTTCAAACGTGTTCTTCCGGACATGGTAAAGGCACGCGTTGTCCCTTGTTGGTATCGATTCTAAAGTCTCGCAAAGGCGCTTGGCTACCGTTGACCTAGATTCACCAGTTTCAAAGCAAACGATGTTGTTGTTTCTTTCTGATTCACCCAGTCGTGGTTTGTGTTTGCTGTCGTGTAATCGCCCATGTAAAGAGGCAGGTAAACAAAATCCTGCCCTTTCATAGACTTTGTCTTCACGTTTCACATCCAGATGGGAGGTCGGGTGGCCTAGTGGTTAAAGCGTTCGCTCGTCACGCCGAAGACCCGGTTTCGATTCCCCATGGGTACAATGTGTGAAACCCATTTCTGGTGTCCCCCTCCGCGCTATTGCTGGAATATTGTTAAAAGCGGCGTAAAACCTTAACACACTCACTCACTCACATCCAGATCGCGCAAGTGGCAGTGGCGAAAGTGCACGTTTGTGAACTGCATCTTGCCCCAGCTGCGTTGAGGTCAATGTAATAATGACTACATGTTTGGACCACCAAAATACATGAAATTCATGATTCCTGCATCACAGTGGGTAACATTCTTACATATTAATGACTTCATTCATTTTGTGTTTAAAGTGTTATATCTCTCTAAGGCCACATCAACAGTGGGACCACAAGCGAGTCGTCAAAGCGCTAAGATTGCTTTGACGAAGAGGGCCGAGTTCCCGACAGGATCTTAGCGTTAGCTGCTTTGGTTAAGGTACAGAGTTTTCGACAGGATCTTAGCGTTAGCTGCTTTGGTTAAGGTACCGAGTTTCCGACAGGATCTTAGCGTTAGCTGCTTTGGCGAAGAGGGACGAGTTCCCGACAGGATCTTAGCGTTAGCTGCTTTGGTTAAGGTACCGAGTTTTCGACAAGATCTTAGCGTTAGCTGCTTTGGTTAAGGTACCGAGTTTCCGACAGAATCTTAGCCTTAGCTGCTTTGGTTAAGGTACCGAGTTTCCGACAGAATCTTAGCGTTACCTCTGTTGTAAGTATTAGAACATGAAACTTACATATATATCAATGGGCTGCTCCACTTCCATTGGCAACAAGCTGGTGGTAGCTTGGCACCACTCAATACTGGTTTTTGTCAATGACTAACATCACACCAATTAGAAGTGCTGGCAAATCCACCCACCTTTTCTGTACATAACAGCTGAACCGTCAGATGCTTTAAAGAATTTGCCTTTCGCTTCCTTCATTTTGTTGAAACTCGTCAACTCTTTTACTTTAAGGTAAAATTCCTCTGATTTCTCAGCATTCAGAAACTTTGCTAGCTTTCTAATACCGGGAAGTGGATCCTGAAATAGATGAAATATTGGATGACATTACCACCATAATACATAGATGAATGCACACTTAACATGCTTGGTTTTGTTGCCGTAACATTCAGTTCCATCCCAGCTCATGGGGCCACGGGTGACCCAGTCATCTGACGCTCCGAAATCCGCAGTGCAGAGTCGTGTGCTTTGGTCGTGCCAGTAACCTATTATCGTCAGTTCGAATCTCATATTCGGCCTGATTATGTTTCTAGGTTTGTCAGCACTATACCCGTGCTGGTGGGTTTCACAATACTGGTACACGTCTAACGCCTGCATCCTTGCTGCCTCCCTCCTACATCAAGCTGTTCACTTTAACTGTGATATGACTGAAATATTGTTACAAGCGGCGTTAAACCAAACTCTCTCTCTCTCTCTCTCTCTCTCTCTCTCTCTCTCTCTCTCTCATGATTAATTATTATTGATTTTCCTATAGTTATGAAACTTCCTGTAATTTAAAATTTGATCTACAAAATGAAGTAAGCAAAAGTAGTAAAACTGATAATATCTGATAGAGTGTTGCCGACATCCTACAAAATTGATACCAAATATGAACCGATAATGTCTGCATAGATTGGGATTGATATGTGTGGAAAGAATGAGGTACTGCAGAAATTTGGTGAAAAGATGGAAACATCGGAAAAACACAACCAACATGACATACACGTGCAACATCACTTGTTGGGCAATAAAACGTTGCCATCTCTCTCTCTCTCTCTCTCTCTCTCTCTCTCTCTCTCTCTCTCTCTCTCTCTCTCTCTCCTTTTGTTCTGTCTCACTCTCATCAGTGTAGCGAAAACATAAACGCTGGGAATTTCACTTGACGTTTCATGTGAAAAGACGCAATGCATTGCCCATACACCACATAAGCCCCAAAGGACTTTGCACAATGCTATACAAATAGAGCGCGTGGCTACGTGCAGTTAACTGTTACCTCTTTTAGATCTTCATACACCAGGGTCAAGGTCGGCAAGTCGGGATGGGTTGTCCCAATGGCAGCCCAGTCCTTCATGTATGTGAAAAACGACCCGAAGTCAACTGAAAAGTGGAGAGTGTTGTATAAGAGGTTTGTGAAACCTAGTTTTTATAATCTGTTGTATGTTATCTCGATTCTATTTTGAGAACCACACTGGACCCATTCGCTTACTTAAATTCGCTTAGGGGATACATTTGCATGTACTCAACAACTTTATCAACCCAGCATTGTGGTTTCTTACCAGTCGCAATTCTTTCCTGCTGCTTTCATTAAACGTGATACTTACCGACTAGACCCGTGAAGATCCGGGGTAGAATAGGTCTTCGGCAACCCATGCTTGCCGTAAAAGACGACTATGCTTGTCGTCAGAGGCGACTAACGGGATCGGGTGGTCAGACTCGCTGACTTGATTGATGCATGTCATCGTATCCAATTGCGTGGATCGATGCTCATGATGTCAATCACTGGATTGTCTGGTCCACTCGATTATTTACAGAACGCCGTCATATAGCTGGGATATTGCTGAGTGCGGCGTAAAACAACAAATAAACAAAACTTACCGACTAGAACCAGACATAGAAACTCAATATCCTTGCTCAAATTAAAAAAAGTCGTCTTGAAAAACATAAAGTTAGCATAATAAAGTAAAAACCGCGAAAAACATTTCATAAATCACCTTCCTGCAAATACCCTTACTTTTTAACATATGGTTATCTGGTAAAATGAAGCTTACACGTGTCCATTCCCTGATTGTAATGTGACAAAGCTGTAATGCATTTATTAAACATACATGGTGTCATAATAACCATTATAATACAACCATTTTGATAAATCATATCGCACTGAAATTATACACTGAATATTCGAGGATGTCTACGACTCAACTTACTGATTATTCCGAAACACATCTTGTCATGAGAGGCGACTTACGGGATCGTGTGGTCAGGCTCGCTGACTTGGTTGATGCATGTCATCGTATCCAATCACTGGATTGTCTGGTCCAGACTCGATTTGTTAAAGATCGCCGTCATATAGCTGGAAAATTGCTGAGTGCGGCGTTGAACAGCAAATAAACAAACAAAGAAACAGTCATAATAATGTTTCATAGTATGGCTTGACAGTGTATTATGGTGACCGAGGTCTAGATCTTCGAAGGATTTTAGTTAAGATTAATCTTAACAACCTGTGTTCAAGGATAAAATATCTGGGCGCAGACAGTACTCTCAGTCAGTAGTTTGCCTATCCGTAAATAAGCTTATTACGACATAAATCAACATTCGACCACTCACTCACTCTAAATAGCTCTAACCTTTCCCATCCAGCAGTAATGAGACATGATTTTCAAATTTCCCATCATATTCATAGCATTTCAGCTTCTTGTGGTGGTGGAACAACGACACTGCCATGTCTTTGGGGTTCCGAAGAATGTAGATTATTTTACACTTCTTCTCAAACACACCACGTGGCAGCTGCTCAACAAAGCAATGCGTGTTTAAAATTCGCGGGGACGGGAACTTCTCTAAGGCGTCATTTCCGATGAACTCTAACATCAATTCATCCTTCTCTATAACAGTCTCTGTGTCGCTCGACAGAAGAAGGCGGGCCATTTCCCACACCCAGTGAGTACCTGGAATATCACAACAGAGAGATCAGTTCATGTGTCAAAGCGAGGCGGGGTAGGCAATCTGAAGCAGGGGTTGGGGGTTGTGTCGAGGTTAGATTTTTTTTCAGCTAAAGCTACAAAAACCAGATATTTTCTAATTTAAAACTATGAGCCTGAATTTTTATTTTAGAAAAAACACCTTGCAACAATGATTTTTTTGTGGCTTGCAATTTATTTGTTTTGCAACAATTTGCAGCTTACTTATTTTTGCCAAGAATTTTCAGGGACAATCTATGTTTATCGATACAACCCCAGGCCTCCACACCCGGAATAGCAAATGGTCGGTCCCCAATACTTGTTTCTGTTTGTTACGCTTCATCAAATGGCTATAAATAATTGTACGTCACATCATAACGTTACTAAAGCCTCCAGGTTTTACACACACAAAGAAATGTTCATTGGATTTACTGGATGTCCTCAACACAGAAATATCCACACACAAAAATGTTTGGCTGCCCCTATCGGAGAAGAAAATTGTTGAAGGACAAGTACAATATTCTGCCTCTTAAAGAAATCTTATCAATGGAAAAAAGAAGTTATTTCTCTACTGCTCACCACATTTAGGATACGCGCAGACAAAGACGTCATCCTCTCTGATGGGGAGGTCACGGATGCCTTTGATGACGTCAGCGGGGGAATCAATGGGGGAATTGGGGTACAGATGATCATCTACTTCCAGGAGAGTGATGTTGTCTCCGCCAGCATCCTGGATCTTTACGACTGACATCCTCAACTGTCACAAGAGAGGGGGTTATTAATGCACGGTAGTGTAGTTCGTCAGAGGCCTAGCCTTGTCTCATGAAACGCTACTACATGTCAAGTTTCACGGAGAAGTATTTGAGAGTTATGATCTGTAAATGAACCCTGCCTACGAATAAGAACCAGGCAAACCAGTGATTGAAAGCATTACGCGCAAGCCACGCCTTCGGGTATGAAGGTACACACTCATCCAGTGAAAACCCGTCAATCAGGACGGTACAGTCAGACGAGAAATCGTCCGGATAAACAATTATCCAGAAAAACGAATCATTGTCATTTGCATATAATTATTTATACGTTCCTAGCAGAATTGTCCGGAAAGCCCCATTTAATAACAGGTATCTAGGTGATGTCTCTGGTCAAACGTAAGCGTTAAATGCTAATCAGTAAATACACCCCTCCCCCATTTATAACAGGTATCGAAGTGTATCTCTGATCAAACGTATGTGTTAAATGTTAATCGGTAAATACACACCTCCCCCATTTAATAACAGGTATCTGGGTGATGTCTCTGGTCTAACGTATGTGTTAAATGCCAGTCAGTAAATACACCCCTCCCTCATTTAATAACAGGTATCTGGGTGGTGTCAAACGTATGTGTTAAATGCCAATACATAAATACACCGCTACCCCCTCTGACCGACTGATAGGAAGTTTCGGTCGCGTTTACAAGGTCACATATAGTTTAAATATGTAATGAGATGACACATGTGCTTTGTGCCACGGACCTGAGATCTGAAGATGTTTGGCCCTGGTTTATGCCAGTCAGTGAGTACACCATCCACCCCTACCCCTCCGACTGACAGAAACGCAGGTTCGATCGCCTTACTTAGGTCAAGTATATATCAAATATGAATTAAGATGACACACGTGTATAGCCGCCACGTACCTGAGGTTTGTGGATGTTCGGATTTGCCTGTGAGTTTGTTATATAGTATAGGATAGACTGTAGCTCGTAAGTGTGAAACTTTATTTTGCGAACCGGTGTTCTGACGTTTTGTTCCCTGTAAAAAATAACACGCACGCTAACGTATCTAGCTGATAATACCAGCAGCTTTTTAGAATATGAATGAAGAAAAACGATATCGCGTACGATTAGATATTGATTGCTGATTTGATCAATAAATGGAGAAAACGATGCCATAAACCGTTTATGTCATTCGTATCTAAATACAGGGGTTCAATTTAAGGTAATCTGCTATTTTATTCATATTTCATTTCAATATATCTACAAAAAATGTCAGAATAAAATTTAGAAACATTAAATGAGTTTATAATTTGTCAGGAGGAAAGCATCTTGTACCGATAAGGTTTGAAAAATCGATTCATATTAGTGTCATTAATCGACTGTCATTAATTGGCTCAACTCGAGTCCCATCATACAGTAACACCAAAGGTCCAATACGTGTCTGCCGGGCCAATACGTGTCTATAGGGCCAATACGGGTCTATCGGGCCAATACGTGTTTATCGGGCCAATACGGGTCTATCGGGCCAATACGGGTCTATCGGGCCAATGCGGGTCTATCGGGCCAATACGTGTCTATCTGGCAAATATGGGTCTATCGGGCCAATACGGGTTTATCGGGCCAATACGGGTCTATCGGGCCAATACGGATCTATCGGGTCAATACGGGTCTATCGGGCCAATACGGGTCTATCCGGCCAATACCTGTCTATCAGGCCAATACGGGTCTATCGGGCCAAAACTGGTCTATCAGGCCAATACGTGTTTATCGGGCCAATACGGGTCTATCGGGCCAATATGGGTCTATCTGGCCAATACGGGTCTATCGGGACAATACGTGTCTATCGGGCCAATATGAGTCTATCGGGCCAATACGGGCCTATCGGGCAAATACGGGCCTATCGGACCAATACGGGTCTATCGGGCTAATACGGGTCTATCGGGCCAATACGGGATTTGAGCGAGCCATTACGTCTTTTGTGCCTGATTGTATTCTTTACAATGCAATAGGCTGTTGCCATCACACTTTGTTAGAGTGTGGATACCGCTCTCTTATAACTGTGACATTGGTACCGTACTACCTGGAAAATATAGTTCAGATAATCAATTAATAAATGTGTTAATAACAGGTGTCTAGGTGGAGTCTCTGGTCAAACGTATGTGTTAATGCCAGTCAGTAAATACACCCCTCCCCCGTTTAATCACAGGTAGCTGGGTGGTGTCTCTGGTCAATCGTTTGTGTTGAGCGAGCCACGTCTTTTGTGCCTGGTTGCATTGCAATAGGTTACTGCCATCACACTTCGTTATATTGACGGTCGGCAGACTGTATTGGCCCTGTGTTCTTGGAAAATTATATTGGCCCTCGGCAGGTTCTATGCCTCGGGTCACCACAGCCTGCCTCGGGCCAATATGGCTGACTGGCGTGTAACAAGGCCACAATGAAAACACACATAGTAATGACATGATAATATTACACATATGGAGAATTTTTTTCCGATGTTTGCATTTGAGCTGTTATCAGCGCTGATAACTCTGTTGCTAGGCTGACGTCACAGGGCATTATTTTGCCGGTTTCAACAAATTGCATCATTTCGTGACGTGTTTCTAAACGTTTTGATGCTAGATCATATGGTAGGCCCTTTCCTCTTACCTCAAGTTTGACAGAACTCCCACCAGATGAAGAGTACCACAGTCTCTACGCTGTAGTCACAGGTTTTTCCCCTTTACAAACTGTGTCGTCTTATGCAGATATCTCTCAGTACTACATGGCCTACAGTCGCTATTGTTGACGCTACCTGACCTGTATGGTGTAAGATTAGTATGCTGTGTCACTGTTAGGTTAGGTTAGGTTATTTGTTGTTTAACGCCACACTCAGCAATATTCTAGCTTTATGACGGCGGTCTGTGAATAATCGAGTCTGGACCAGACAATCCATGATTGATATCATGAGCATCAATCCACGCAACTAGGATACGATGACATGCATCAACCAAGTCAGCGAGCCTGACCACCCGATCAAAACCACAATTATGATTCCTGTGATCTCCAGCGAGTAACCATTTCCTGTTTGTTTCATATTTAGCCAACGTCAAACGTTGATGTATACTTTCTTTAACCCCGGCAGTTTACGTCCGACTGTATTTAAACAAAACCTATTTTGTTGAGAAATATCCAAAATAACACGAAAACGGATTTTGAAGACATTTCATTTCATTTTACTCAGAAAAACATCGTTTGTTAAAAAGAAATGAAAACAACCCTTGTTTTAACGTCCGGCTGAGTATGTGATGTCCGTAGTATTGACATTTGAAATATGAGGGGCGTTCAATAAGTTTTGCAACTTCAATATGAGACCAAGTCGCAGAATATCTTTTGTACTTTTATTTTTCAATATAATCTCCATTCACCTCAATAAACTTGTTCCATTTGTCCCTCAAGCTTTTAATACCACTTTTATAGAAATCCGCAGATCCCTCTTACAACTCCTCTGTGGCAGCCTTTATGTCCTCGTCATCCTGGAAGCGTCTTCCATGTAGGGCAGATTTCATTTGCCGGAACAGGAAATAGTCACTGGGGGCTAAGTCTGGGCTGTAGGGTTGGTGATTTTACTGTTCGAATCCACATTCACATATGGCAGCCTGTGCAATTCTCGACTTGTGAACCGGAGCATGTCTGGCATGCTGTTTATGGTGTGGGCATGTATATTTTGTTCGAGAAATAACATTCACGCAACACGAAAGTAATGTTTTGATAATATATATTATATTCATAATGTCATTTTGTCAAACGCATAATGGCTCAATGAATAAGAATGGTCATGTAACATGTAGAGAGAGAGACAATTGACGTTAAGACATCGATGAGAAGAAAAGTTAACAATATGAAAGAAAATGATCGTCTTTTAAATGTATTTTCTTAAATGCATGTCTTGAGGTAATATTGTATTTGTGATCCACGTGTTCCCGCTGTTTTAAATAAATAAAACAACAACTAAAACACACACACACACACCCCAAAAAAATAAAAAATAATAATAAAAAAATAAAAAAATAAAAAATAAAACAACAAAAAACCCACAATTTAACAATCCACAAAAACAAAACAAAAACAAACCCAGATTGATAAGCACTAGGAACAGTGTTCATTGTCCATGAACCTGTTATAATTATGGTGGAAATGCGTGACATTTAACAACATGTGGATCATGATTTCCTAAAATGAGTGAGATACTGATATTTAACGCCGAGGTCTGCACTATTCCAGCTGTATCACGACAGCCTGTATTGTATATAGACGAGTCTCGGCCCGGCACATCAATGGTTGACAGCATGAGTAATATCAAATGTCGATGGGCACAGAGAAACAATCACACAATGGGCGACAATTGCGACAATCATGCAATCGGCGCCAATGAAAGTAAAGGTAAATGGATGACATGTGGAGCACATTTCCACATTTGACGCATTGGAGAGAAAATGATGTCTGAATAATTCCCTATTTTGACCTGCACCCTATGTTCACGTTTATTTTTCAGGTGAACAGTTGACTTGCCTTTGCACGTGTTTGTGACGGGTGCCACCTGTTGGGCAGGATATGCTCACCGAAACAGGAACTCCTTGTATGATCACTATTTGTTATAATGATACACAGATACATGCTCATGGTATAGTCGGAATCTTACAATGGAGTGAGTGAGTGAATGAGTTGGGTTGAACGCCGCTTTTAACAGTATTCCAGTCATATCACGGCGTGTCAGCTTAATGTGGGAGGAAAGCCGAAGTGATGCAGGTCTCTGACGTTTACCACTTCGGTGAAACCCATGAGCACGGGTATGGTGCTGACAAACCTAGAAATATAATCGGGGCGAACCGGGATTCGAACCCACAATCATCATCTTCCCGAGGCAAGTGAGTTAACTGACTATAAAAGTCCAGTTTCCACCCTTACCGAACTAGGCTGGTATTATGGAGTTACATTTTGGCTGGACTAACGAGTCTATGCATAGTCCAATCCAACTCGTTGTCAGCAGATATTTTCCAAATCTTTTCATGTTTTTAATCAAGGTGCTCACGTGATTTGATGCACTTCGCGATGTAAGACACGTTTTATCACAATATATAGATCTTGATTATCGATCAGATCGTCTTGACTGGGCGCCGCAGTTTTGTTTGAAGCAAATGCAAGTGATACGAGAGGTGGAATCTGATTGGTCAATAGGAGAGGCATAGAAGGGACATAACTCGTAATAGCCACTGGTGGCGCTACGATCGAGCCCAGGAATTCCAGCCTAGTTCGGCAAGGGTGGAAACTGGACTTTTAAAGTCAGTTAACTCTCTTGCCTCGGGAAGATGCACAATCATAGTTTCTGGCGTGCCCAAGGGACGCAACTCTGCACAGCGAATCGCGGCGCCTTGGACGACTGGGCCACCCGTGCCCCCCCTTACAATGGACTTCAGCAGAGATTACCTACGATTACGAAAGGGATTTGTCGCTTTTATTTACAATTTAATGATAATGTTCAGCGGTATAGGAGCACAAACGAATGTTGTTTATTGCTTTCCATAACCCTTCAAGATATTAAATATTTCGGGCAAGTGATGTGTTTGTCATGATTTTCAAAAATCATCTAGATAGTGAAACGGACATGAACATGCGCATATTTCGGGAAGTGAGATATAATTTTCATAACTTTCTAAACCAGGGTCATTTATGTCGAAATGGAATCAGTCAGTATATAAATGTCGTTTAACGTCACAGTCTTAAACTTGGATACACATATATGAAAGACTATTCACTGTATACACACACGCACCTACACAGAAGCACCAGATTATGTAAAATAGAATTCTAAACAAAATTCAGTAAGTATTAGATTTAAAGTATAGCCTTGCATAGTAAATATAATATCAGTTCTGTAGTAATTTGTTTCTTGTTCTCGTGACGATACATGGGCATATATTACCCATTGGACACCTTCATCTTCGATTCTTACTGCAGCGTGTATCTAAAGTTTATTTCACAATCAGCCATGTGTTCCTTGTATCTTCTGTCAAATATCTCATTCTGGGCCACAGTGAAATAATTTTTCCAGTCGCCAACTTCACCTGAAACACGGAAAAAGGTAACAGAAGCTCACTGAATAAATATATGTTTGTACATTTTGCTGATTAATCCGAAACTTTACAAGCACATTTGCGTGTCTTCATATTCTAGCAACTTCTAAATGCCATAGAGTCCATCAACAATAACGAGCTTCGAAAATTGTTAGTACGTTCTTTTAGTCCATCAAAAAAACAACAACCGCAAATGCAAAGGTATGGATTCATGTAATGGATGAACGGAAAGCAGCCGAATGTTCACATATGACACATGCTACTACAGTTGACATAAGTCGCCGATGTAGACATGACATGTCAAATATCAACGACCAAGGCCATCTGCAGAAAGTATCGTATGTGCCCACCCTGGGAGTCAAAGACATCTAATGACCATGAAAGCAATGAGGGTACGATTCGGACCTTGAGGAATGATGGCCCACTGGGCCTGTGGTACCCGCTGTGACAGAGTCTGTGGATGACGCTGTTGCATCCGTCTTTCCAACTCATCCCATAAATGTTCCATGATGTTCCAACCTGGTGTTCCAGAGCTCAAGGGTGGGACTTGAATGTTGTTACGTATACCGTTGTGATGTTTGTGGTCTGGCATTATCTTGCTGGAATACGGCGTCGGCGTTCACGTCAACGTCTATACAACCGACATCTTGCATCTGTATGACAAGGCGAAAAAGGTGACTCGTCGCTAAACTACAGTTCTCCATCGCAGGTGAGGCCATACTCACATGAACAAGACACCAATGACGTCGTAGATGACGATGTTGATACGTCAAAATGACACCTTGAACAGACCGCCTGGCTCAAATACCTGTCTCATGTAGGCAGTTTCTGACGTCGTAAGCAAACCGGTATGGATGACCTGTAGAGATTGGTGGTCCTTTATCATAGATAACGAACCTAGGTGGTCATCCTGAGCAGTCTACCAGTTCTGGGAAAGCCATGCGTTCTCCCTTATTGGTAACGTTTCCAAAGTCTTGCAATGGTGCGCGGGGAGACATAAATCGCCCTGGCTTCTGCTGAGCTGGCTTCACTCGTTTCCAAGCAACCGATGGCGTTGTTTCTTTCTGCTTCACCCAGTCGCGGTATGTGTTGACTGCTGTGTAATCGCCCAGATAAAGAAGACAGGCGAACGAAAAGCCTGCACTTTTATAGACCTTGTCATAATCTTGCATGCCACAGATGGCGCAAGTTGCAAAGGGAGAATGTCCACGTTTGTGGGCTGCATCTTGACTCCGCCGTCCTTGATTAACTGGTGGATCCTTGACACCACTCAATACTGTTTTTCCTATCAATTAATACCATTACATAAATTAGAAGCCCAAGTGCTGGCAAATGTACCCACCTTTTCTGTACATAATAGCTGAGCCATCAGGTTCTTCAAAGAATTTGCCTTTCGATTCCTTCATTTTGTTGAAACTCGTCAACTCTTTTACTTGTAGGTAGAATTCCTCCGATTTCTCAGCATTCAGAAACTTTGCTAACTTTCTAATACCGGAAAGTGGATCCTGAAATAGATGAAATATTGGCTGATATCACAAAAATACATTCATACCCTTAACGTTTTGAATTTCGTGAAACATTCTTATCCAACCCAAAGAGGGGCGCAGAGTTGCGTCCCTTTGGTCGTGCGAGCAACATATTACCGTTGGTTCGAATCCCATATTTGGGAGGGTTTGTAGGGTCGTGACACCGTACCCGTGCTGGTGGGTTTCATAATGCCGATAAACGTCTTAGACCTTCATCTCTTCGGTTTTCCGATGAATTTAGCGAATATTGTTGCTAAGTCGAGGCGGGGGCACCAAGGATGGGTTTCAAACATGGTTTGGAATGAAACTTCAGCCTCCTGTAAATGGAACAAGTGTTGTTCAGCCCACCACATGCGACGTAACTCCCGAATGAGCATAGGCACAGCTCATTACCCAGCTGGAGCAAAGTGGATTAGCATGAACCTTGATTCAAGTAAAACCATCCCATATAAATAACAGAGAACTTGGATATCCCTAAACATCCTGAAAAAGATGGCAATATGAATTATGCAAGATAAAGTATTGAGGCTGTCTGTAGTATGTTTATGCAACAAAATGGGAAACATTTACTGGTATTATTTCACGTTTAATTAACTTTTTCGATTCGTATTACCTATTTAAAAACACAGTTAACCACAGAATGTGTTGATGCATTTTCATCGTTTGCAGATCAGGAATCATAATAATTAGTTGTTTTTGCACGGGAGATTACATTAATAAAGGGCAAATATATATATTCATCTAACCTTGATATACACTACTTTTCGATTAATGAATTTAAATAATAACTCCGGTCAGTGAATCAAGCACAAACATATAACATGTCTCCCAATATTCAGAAAGCCAAAAAGGCTCGACTTCAAAGCGTCTTAAAAATCCAGGTGATGTGTTATATGAACATATCCAATTTCAAATTCACTATCAAATAACCACAAATAGACTTCGCACAATGCTATACAAATGGTGAAGTTAACTGTTACCTCTTTTAGATCTTCATACACCAGGGTCAAGGTTGGCAAGTCGGGATGGGTTGTCCCAATGGCAGCCCATTCCTTCATGTATGTGAAAAACGAGCCGTAGTCAACTGAATTGTGGAGAGTGTAATATTTTAATAGTTGTATTTTATCTCGATTCTATTTTGAGAAATACCACGAATCGCTACGCTGACATACATGTTAACATAGCTTCGCTGAGATGGTATGTTTACGCCTTGTTCAAAGATATATTAGAAGATGCATTTTTCGAAACTTTCTCAAAATTGTCATAGATTGTACAAAGCTACGATACCTGTCGCACCTCTGACAGAACCAATTTGTGGGTGTTTCCTAATGACTCCACGGGGGATTTCTACGATACGTTATTGCTACGATAGTTACAAAAATAGACTATTTCCTAACAAAACTCATCTTGGGACTAAGAACGTTTTCGCTGTTCGTACTATTTGTCAGCAGTTTGTCTAGCTGGAAAATTAGGTGACTGTATCATAAAACAACATTCACGTACTCACTCACTCCAACTAGCTCTAACCTTTCCCATCCAGCAGGAAAGGGAAATAATTTTCCCATTTCCCATGATATTCATAACATTTGGTCAGTTTCTTGTGGTGGTGGAAAAACGACACTGCCATGTCCTTGGGATTTCGAAGAATGTAGATGATTTTGCACTTCTTCTCAAACACACCACGTGGCAGCTGCTCGACAAGGCAATGCGTGTTTAAAATTCGCGGGGACGGGAACTTCTCTAGGACGTCATTTCCGGTTAATTCTAACATAAATCTCTCCTTGTTTATAACAGTCTCTGTGTCGCCTGACAGAAGAAGGCGGACCATTTCCCACACCCAGTGAGTACCTGAAATATCACACGAGTTCATATTTTGAAGCAAGTTGTAGTAGCCAAGGTGCAAACATGAACGTCAGGCCAAGACCCGGGTTCCATTCCACATGTGGGTACAATGAGTGAAGCCCTTTCCTGGTATCAGCTGTCATGATATTACTGGGACATTGCTAAGCAGCAGTATAAAACCGTCTCACTAACCCACTACTATGATGGTGTTATTTGCGCCCAGTACGTGTTTTATCAAATATATATATGATTGCACATAAAACGTTGGGGAGGAACACTGATACACAGAAGGTAGTCTGGTGTTAGAATACGCGAACCGTATATGTGGCAGGATCCGCTGGTCGTTGGTTCTGATCCAACCTTCTGCTGGCAGTACCACTACCCAATGCTCGTGGGTTTCACCAAAGTGGTAAAGTGCCACATAACACATCAAACCGTTAATGAACTGAAATACTGAAAGAAAAGTCATCCATACAGCGTGATATGGCTGGAATATTGCAAAAAGTGATGTAAAATCACTCCTATTTTTGATGGTTAATTTGTGCCCAGCACATGTGTCATCATGTAACATAGGTTAGGGCAGCATTCGGTTTCGGGGAGGAATGAGTAAGTGAGTATTATATTACGCTGCTTTTGGCAATGTTCCAGCTTTATCACGGCGAGGAACACCAGAATGGACTTTACACATTGTACCCATGTGTTGATCGAACCCGATCCTCTAGGCGTGACGAGCGAACGCGTTAACCATGAGGCTACCACACCGCCCTGTCAGGGAGGAACAATGACACATTGATTATCCTACATTTGTTAAGTCCATTGTCCAGATATGAATACTATTTGTTTCGGTTTTAATTGTTAGTCAAATGGCTGTCATCATAGCTGTAAGAACTATATAGTCACACACGATAAAAAATCCTTCAAGTTTTACACAGGCAAGAAATATTCATTGAATTTGCTAGATGCTCTTAAAACTGAAATGTCGACTCACACGAATGTGTGACTGCTCCTATCACATAATTGTTTGTCTTGAAGGGTTGAAACAATCTCCTGCCTCAAAAAGAAATCTTAGCAAGGGATATTAAATGAAGCTATTTCTCGACAGCTCACCACATTTAGGATAAGCGCAGACAAAGACGTCATCCTCTCTGATGGGGAGGTCGCGCATGCCTTTGACAGCAACTTCAACGGGGTAATCAACGGGAGCATTTGGATACAGATGACCATCCACTTCCAGGAAAGTGATGTTGTCTCCGCCAGCGTCCGGGATCTTTACGATTGACATCATCAACTGTCACAGAGAGGGGTTATTAATGCACGGTAGTGTAGTTCAAGTCTAGCGATGTCTCATGAAACACTACTGTATATAAAGTTTCACAGGCAAACACTCGGCCATGTCACAGAGTCACCTGACCCATATTGTCGACTATCTATGGGAAATCGTGAATTCTTATAATTCTGACGTGTCTTAAAGCTTAACATTTCGTGACCACTTATATGCAAGCAAGTGTTTCCCAGTTCAGTTGGTCATTAGTGTGTTGAACTAAAATGATCCCGAGAATAAGTTTGTCTCATCCAATTGTTCGATGCATCTGATTACTTGATTTGTTTGTTCTTTAACGCTGTATTCAACAATATTCCAGCCATATTACATATGATGAGTGCGTTGTGTAAGAGATCGAGTCAGGATGAGACAAACAAGTGATTAATATTAAAAGCAACGATCTTCCTCGGGGTTCGATGACACACAATTACCCCCATACCCTGACTTCCCGATCCAGTAAATTGCCTCTTCCCACCAGGAAGACCGCTTGGGATCAATTCACAGCGTAAATGAACGATATTGTACAGTAGATTACTGTTGAAAACAATTCAAGTTAACCAGCAAAAAATATTAGGTTAGCTTTTAATACTAGAATATAACAATAACAACATTTCCTAGAAAACATATCAGGTAAATGTTGTATAAAATAACCGAACATTCCACACATCCGATTCGATGTACCACAGATCAAATAATAACTATCGAAGGAACGGAAAATCAGTTCGACACAACCGAGTTTTTGTAATACCGGAATTCGACACAACGATGTTCGACTGTATAAACATATACGGATGATTCGCAGCGATGTAAAACATGTTGGTCATAAACAGTGGTGTTTTCTGAAGACAACTGTAAACGTTTTGATAAAACTCGTGATTGATAAAGAGCTTGCAAATGCATTCAGGCAGGCATGTTTAATAGTGTGATTGGTTAGTTGGTTTTTGGTTTAACGCCGCACTCAGCAATATTCCAGCTATATGACAGCGGTCTGTAAATAATCGAGTCTGGACCAGACAATCCAGTGATTGATATCATGAGCATCGATCCACGCAATTGGGATCGATGACCGTGCATCAACCAAGTCAGCGAGCCTGACCACCCGATCCCGTTAGTCGCCTTTTACGACAAGCATAGTCGCCTTTTACGGCAAGCATGGGTTGTTGAAGACCTATTCTACCCCGGATCTTCACGGGTCTTAATAATGTGAGCACATGCAGCTGTCTAATGACAGCACAATGCAGCGTAGATAGTATTTATTCGTTTATTAAAAACTCCAAAACTTTTCCATATTCATAAAAAATCGCAGCCAAAAGCAGAGTCGATTGTTCGATTTCGACTATATCATGAGCACGTGGTTATGAATCACTATCAAATAGTGATGCCACCAGGTGTTCGCGAAAAGGTGAGCATATTCGCCCCACCAGTAAGCCACTCCACGTCTTAAAAGTGTAGATTGACCAATATGATTTATGATAATAGTGAAGGATAATATCAACATTTCAAATAGTTACATTGTCTATGCAACAGAATAACCAGTCAAGATTATCCGCCGATTCCATTTGGCGTAAAGGACAAAGTAGCTATGGTTGTTGGTTGTTGGTTGTTGGTTTGTTGTTTAACGACGCACTCAGCAATATTCCAGCTATGTGACGGCGGTCTGTAAATAATCGAGTCTGGACCAGACAATCCAGTGATTAATATCATGAGCATCGATCCACGCAATTGGGATCAATGACATGCATCAACCAAGTCGGCGAGCCTGACCACCCGATCTCGTTAGTCGCCTTTTACGACAAGCATAGTAGCCTTTTACGGCAAGTATGGGTTGCTGAAGACCTATTAGCAATTGAAAGTATATGAATTGAGCACTGAAAATGACACCAGGTGTTCGCGAAAAGGGTAAGCATGTCCTGTCCTACGGTAGCACCCGCCATTTATACAATTTGCATAAACCAATTAAGTATTTATTGCTTGACGCCGCGCAGCAGTACTACAGCCATGTGACGGTGGCATGTAAACAAACCCAACGTCATTAAAATCAGATCTTAGTTTTCGCTACCGCTAAACAAAGAGCTGAGGACATCCCATTACGGGTCACGTCAGAACGACCTTTCGCGAACTTTGACCGACCAGTGAAATGACTGACAAGAAATCGACATTGGCCAATCAGAAGGCAGCTTTCTCGAGCTTTACGACACTAGTTTCAAACTGGCGACTACGCTTCGAAACTTATTTTGACATATTCTCGATTAAAAAATTTAAAACTGATAAGAAGAACATTCTGGAATGGCTTATAGATGGCATAGATTGTATGGATAAAAATCATAAAACCTGTAACTGTCGTTCGGAATACCCCGTGTTAAATATATCGTGGTTGCATGATTAGAAAACAACATTCCGACTGTCACTTTCATGATCTGGTAAGCGACGCTGTGATTGGTTGGATGAAGGGTCGTTCTGACGTGACCCTTAATGGGATGTCCTCAGATCTTTGTTTAACGATAGTGAGAACTAAGATCTGATTTTAATGTGATTGAATCATACCAGACAATCAAGTGATGAATGAACAATAACAGTATATTTATTGTTGTTGTTGAAACTAGTCAAAACGATATAATAAGAAGTCTCTAAATGACATTTAGACGTGACACACATAAGAGAGAATTTATCGATGTCAACTTCTTTATTACGAGGAACACAACGTTTCGGAGTGTATGCTTTCTCAATCCAAACAGCGCCATTTTGAATCCTAACTGGATCAGTGTTACACCGACCTATATACACGAGTTGAAAGAAAGACCTCTACATGCCATATAACACATTGATCTTCTGCTGGTATACCATGCAGCTAGTGCAGTTGGTGTCTCTCGTCATACATGTGGTTTATGCCAATCAGTAGATACATCAACCCACCCAACCCCACCCCACCCCACCTCACCCCCACGACTCCGACCGACTGTTAAGGAGTTTCGTTCGTTTAGAAGTCAAATAAATTGTGCAAATGAATCAAGATGACACATGTACATAGTTACCACTTACCTGAGATCAGTAGATGTTCCGATTTGATTGCGAGTTTGTGGTACAGACAGCACCACCTTTATAAAGAAATATGAAACTTAATTGTGTACAGTCGAACCGGTGTTCTGACGTTTTGTTCCCTGTAAAAGAATGACACATCTAGCAGCTTCTCAGATTACGAATGAAGTGACACGACACCGAGTACGATCAGATATTGATTGCTGATTTGCTGATTGTAAAGAACGGTGACATAAAACGTTGATATCCATCGGATTGTATGTGTTATGGGGGCAAGGGTGGCCCAGTCTTCTCAGTCGCGGCAATTCGCAGCGCACAGTTGTCTCTTGGGCACGCCAGTTTCTATCATCGTCGGTTCGAATCACGGTTCGCCCATTAAATTTCAAAAATCGGTTCATGTTACACGTATGGGAAGAAATAGACCGATATGTGCATTTTAGCGGTTAGGTTGAAGTGATATCACGTCACATTGCATCGTTTTTTAAGAAATATGTGATATTAAGTCATTAATGGTTACAAATTGATAACAAGCAAAATTTAATGCGTTGCATCAACACGGCGGCAAATTGTTTGTTGATCAGATTATATTTTATAATAATGTAATTGCCCCAAAGTGTTTAATCAACACTGGCATTGTTTAAAACAATATGTACAATTTCTTTCATGTTAAACCGTGTTTTTGACACAACTGGTAATCCAGGATAAGTTGAACCAACTCAAAAAACGCGTTTGAGACAAGTATGGGTGCTCAGAATTTGGGCAAACATATTTGTTTTGTTACATGTAGGAGAGTATGTACGCACGTCGTGCAGATGCGGGTCATTCGTCCCTGTGGACACACGTGTTGCTCATAAGACCTAAGAGATCGGCGTGACAAGTCGATACCAGAATTCTCTAAAGACGTTTGATAGTGAGTGAGTGAGTGAGTGAGTTGGGTTTAACGCCGCTTTTAACAGTATTCCAGTTATATCACAGCTTGTCAGCTTAATGTGGGAGGAAAGCTCGAAGTGATGCAGGTCTCAGACGTTTAACACTCCGGTGAAACCCACGAGCACGGGAATGGTGCTGACAAACCTAGAAACATAATCGGGGACATTTGATAGAGGTTGATTACAAACAAATAAAGATGTCAAAGCTAGGTAAGCATGACCAAATCATACATTCTCAAGCTCGAAAATTGGCCTACAATGTCATAAATTACATGGAGAAAGACTGTACAAAAAACTCTCAAGCATTGTCAAAAGCTAACATTGCCACTGGTCTGCCTGCGTCTACCTTAAAGAGCAGCAGAACAGAAGGTATCCCCGTGACAAAGATGAGATTAGTTTCATTGGCCCAAACAAGTCGCGAAATGGCCCTGTTATCAAATCCCAACTTGACGATTTCGACCAGTGTGCCGTTCGCTAATTTGTACACAATTCGTATGTAGTGCGAAAACAACTTCAATATATGTTCATTTCTTAAACAATATATTTAGTAAAATGTAGCATGTGAAAACTTGTATGCAGAACGAAGCTGCCGTATGATTCGTTTGTTTGTTTGTTGTTAACGCCGCACACCGCAATATTCCAGCTGTTTCACGGCGGTCTGTAAATAATCACGTTGGACCAAACAATCCAGTGATTGACATCATGAACATCGATCCACGCAATTAGGATACGATGACATGCATCAACCAAGTCTGCGAGCCTGCCCACCCGATCCCGTAAGTCGCCTTTTACGGCAAGCATGGGTAGCTGAAGACCTATTCTACCCCAGATCTTCACGGGTCGTGTCATGATGTAGATGCAGGTGACGCTCTGCCTGTGAAACAACATCCCTACCGAATGAATCCAATTAAGCTTGAAGCCTTGGAGAAGGAGATTCAATACATGCTGGACAATGACATTATTGAACCAAGTTATAGTGACTGGAGTTTACCTTGCACTCTTGTGCCGAAACCTGACGGTAGTTACAAATGTTGTACTAATATAAAACGTGTGAACGCTGTTTCCAAAATTGACTCTTATCCAAAACCAAGAAAAGATCCATGCATCGTCAAGATCGGTAAAGCCAAGGACGTATGTTGTGCCCTTAAACATCCAATGGTCTAAAGTCTACAATGGGAGGAGCTTATGTGATCACGTGGCACAATCTTCCGCAAAGCTGGTTGACGTCTAACGATCGCATCGCTGTCTCGGCTGTCATTGCGTGATACGATGTGTCACTCACTTCAGGTATATAACATGTAGTGTATGTGTCTTTGTGTCTGATTGTGCTGTACTGTATTTGCGAGTCTCGACTTCGGACAGATCGAAAGTTACGCGAATTACAGAGTCAACCCAACTCGCCTTTCTCCGAAACATTCAGTGAAGCACAGTAGCCCTGCTCGAACCATTGACATGTCTTTGCTATTACTTCCACAGCAATTCATACCCAAAAACAGTTAAAACCTCTTGTCACCCAACTCCATACTTATACAATACATCTTTCTCTATTTGTTATATGCAAGAGCAAAGCAATTTCTGCGTATGGCAAAAGTAGGTCAACTATAAGATATTTTGCAACTGTACTTTTTTTAATTTCCGAAACCCTGATAAGATTCCAGGGAGTTAATTAACATGTTATCCCAGAAAAAGAGTTATCATGCTTATAATATATGGCGCCTAGAACAATGTTTATTGATCAGGCCCAGGACTGAAGCAATCAGGACAAATCATTCGAGAGTTGAGTTGGTTTCCTTTCTTATGTGTCTGAGAGACAGAGGTTCAGAAATGTGCAATCCTCTTTCTGGATAAAAATAACCATATGAACAGAGATTCTGATTTTTTCCCATTTTCAACCACACATCCACACAACAATTTCCTTCATTCTGTACTGCTTAACAATCGTCCACATACATGTAGAATATATAACAAAACTGAAGCAAAATGTATTGCATACAATCCAAGGTAATCAAGTGACACAACTTTTATCTTCAAACAATATCTTATCTGATGCCTCATTTCCATAAAATCTGCTGTTTATATATTTTTTCAAATTCAATTTACATTTATAAATTAAACATTTGGCCAATTACTGATCATTACTGAGCATTTGTCTGTTACCAAAAACGGAAGAACTGTCAAAAAGTCCAAGAAAACATGTAAAATAGTTTCTTCTCTAGCAAGTCATAAACTCCATTGATCATGATCTAACATTTTCATAAAAAATATAAACAAAGTTGTTGGTATTTATCGGTGCAGAAGTCTTTCCTTGAACTACCTAAGTTTCAAGTAACTTGAAATGCCTTGACATAAATTTGGTCCCAGTCAAGATCACTATTATTTGTAAAGGTGCAATTTTCCCATCCAAGTTGTGATTGTGATTTCACCTTGACCATGCACAATCCCATCTAGACTGAAAATTTCACTACTCTCTCTCCCCCATTTCAGCAAAAATGGGCGGCTTCCTTGGTGCCTCAAGGCGGACAGGGAGTGACCCTCTCCCATTTCAGCAAAAATGGCCTGCTTCCTCAAAGCGTCAAGGCGACAGTCACTGTCCACCTCAGAGGTTCTGCCAGCTTGCCAGGTGAGCTTCATTCAGCCCCATGCACCCTAGGGTATTGGTCAAATATAGAATACTAAACGAGCTCCCGTGTAATACCAATTTTATGAAACGAGTGAATAGTTGTGGTATCTGACGAGCGAAAGCGAGTCAGATACCATAACTATTAACGAGTTTCATAAAATTGGTTTTACACGGGAGCGAGTTTAGTATTTTATTTATTACTGGCCATTTATAACGTTTTTAGAATTATACTGTTGAGTGTGAATAGGCTGACACCTACACGATCCACGGCATAATCCAATTGAGTTTAACACAGTAATACTTCAAACACGTCAAAAGTTGAAACGTATGAATTTAATACCAGACAACAGTCCACCTTTAGAATTCAGGCGTCCGTTCCACAAAATTATCGTAGCGTTAAGGTTATCGCAACTCATATACTTTAACTTAGACCAACGACTGTCGTCGCGCTACCGTACGATCGCCTTGTGGAACGGGGCCTTGCACCTCAAAGTTTACAATCACGTCACAATACCCGATGACGTAATTTGTGGAATTTTGTTGCAAGATCCTTTAGGCGAAACAATGCCATGTGACGTCAACCTAGCAACAAGGTTGCTGGGGTCATCGAGTGTGCATAAGCTCCTCTCAGTGATCTATCATCTCCACACGCAATGTCGTTGAATAAGCCAAGGGATGTTGAGAGCTTTCAAAATTTGTGAAACGTGTTCCGAGAGTACATAAGCACGCGTTTTGGTATTACACAATGTGTAATACAGCTGTATGTTTATTAAACGGGTGATCTCTTCACGGGCAAGTAATAAATATCATTTCTTTTTCTCTCTGTCTTTTTCTAAAATACGTGTGTAGACTTAAGACCTCTGTAGGTTTAAGACCTCCTATAGGAAACCTTAAAGCTACAGAAGGCCTTAAGCCTACAATGATTGGTGGGTACCTTCCTGGACTCTCCAGGCTGTCATGGGCTGGAGCATAAGCCTCTCCTGATCCCTTTGACCATGCACAACCCCATCTAGACTGAAAAATTCCATTCACTCTCTCTCCCATTTCAACTAAAATGGACGGCTTCCTCGGCGTGTCAAGGAGGAGGTCAATGTGTACATCAGATGTTCTGCCAGCTTGCCAGGTAAGCTTTTATACAGCCCCATGCACCCTAGGGTATTGGTCAAATATCATTTCTTTTTCCCTCTGTCTTTTCTAAAATACGTGTGTAGACTTAAGACCTCTGTAGGTTTAGGACCTCCTATAGGAAACCTTAAAGCTACAGAAGGCCTTAAGCCTACAATGATTGGTGGGTACCTTCCTGGACTCTCCAGGCTGTCAAATGGGCGGCTTCCTCGTTTCGTGAAAACAGTCGGTGGGCAGGTGAGCTTCATAGCGAGCCAGTATATTTGAGAATTTCACAAAAGCGTAAGATAGCAGGTGCATTGTCAAAGCTGAATCAGCCATTGGATGGGCTATCAAGGCAAGAGTAAGTGTCCTTTCGCAATTCAATGAGCGGTCTCTTTCATGACAGACTACTTCAAAGATACATGACCCTGTG